CACCACGCCGGAGGACCTGAAGCGGGTCTTCGAGAAGTACGGGGACGTCGGCGACGTCTACATACCGCGGCATCCGTACACGCGAGAAAGCCGTGGCTTCGCCTTTGTGCGATTCTACGACAAGCGCGACTGCGAGGACGCCATGGACTCGCTGGACGGATACGTCCTGGACGGCCGCGAACTGCGCGTCCAAATGGCGCGCTACGGGAGGCCGTCGGACCCGTACCGCCAGTCGTCCTCGCGAAATGCCAGACAGAGCCGCCGTTCCCGTTCTAGGTCGAGGAGCCGTGGACGTCGATCGAGGTAGGCATTTTCACTTCGCCACGTTCTGGCGTTCCCTTCTAGGCCCCCCCCCCCCCCTCGTTTGTGTTCAAAATGGAGGGTTGTCCGTTGTGTTTTTACGCGCCACGCCGCTACCGGCGAGTGATTAGGGTTTGGCTTTCACGTATTAGTGACTTTTCCCCACCTGTGTCGGGCTAACGCAAATCACCTGAATTGTAGATTATCTATGCCAGTGCGCCGTTTATCGCAGGCGCAAAAGCTCGGGTTGGAAACGAATGGGACGCCGGGTTCGCTTCGTTCTTAATTGCGCCGCTGCGAGCCTTTATTTGCAGCGCATTAATCTGCGAGATTACCTTTAATGCTGGCTTTCTGTAGGCTTTTGTTTTACTCTTAATATGCACATAAAGTTCATCGCGTGAGTATATTTGTTTCCTTTTCTAGTGCGCAGATTTCTCGCTAGGTGAAGATATAGCGCAACCGGCGCGAGTAAGTGAACTTGTTTTTTTTTTTTTTTTCGCGCGCGGCTTTATTTATAAAATGTGCGCACGGCATCTCCTCGCGGTTGATTGTGCAAACTGATGTACGTGAATAAGCCAGTTCGGATCCGAGACTCGGTACGGGTGCTGAAACAATTTGCAAGTGTGGTATCTCGTGAAATCGTGGGTTGGTCAGTTTTGCTTCATGCGCGACCCCCCCCCCCCCCCCCCCCCCCATAGGATTGAAAAAAATTTGTGGTTATGTTCCTGGTGCTAAGGTATCCGGCAGTTTTGTACCCCAGTTTTTGCTTTTTTTTCCCTAAAGGAAACCTTTTTTGCCTTTCAAAATCCTGTCAATATCTGTAAAATGCATTTAGACATCAATGTTTCCCAGCGTGCCATTCGCAACTTTCACAGATGGTGGCGTCGCCATGCGGCATCCGTCGTAACTGTCGTTTGGCAAATGTCCACGCAGCCTGTCCATGGCATCGTTCAGTCGGCCTCACTTTGGCGGTTCGCTGGTGCTTTAAATTGTCACTGGCAATTTATATATGGTTATTCTGAATTCGTTAGTGAACTGTCGTAGTAGCAATGATTTACTCTTTGTTGTTTGCTTGCTTAGCTAGAAGAATCGCGAAATATCTTGGATGCCGCTGTGTCGACGTCATGAAGTCAAAGGCGAGGTTTCCTGCTTTGCACGAGCACGGCTGCTCGATCTTCCCTGGCCGTAGCACGAGCAGCGTTCACAAAACTGTGCGTGCATTCCTTCACACCGCAGCAGACGATGTGCCCGGCGCTCGAAACTTCTTTTCCTTCAATATATGGTGCACACACGTTTCTCACCATGCAGTGTGAGATATAATACATGCTAGAATTAATTACCTTCTCACTAAAGCTTTGACAACACGGTGGTTGCTGGTGCGCCAGCTGCACGATCCCCCAAACGACAGCCATGTTGGGCTTGTACTAGCGCCCTCTCTAGGTGGTGAAAGTTGCGAATTGTTGTAACATGCATTATGTTTTTTTACTATTTTTATAGATTATCAAAACCTCGAGGCCAAGTTTAGCATGACTTGCGTCGATGCATGTCGGTGGCCACATGCGATTGATGCTTAAAAATTGTGCTCGTTACAATAGCTGTTTCTCCTCAGAATCTGCGCGACGTGATATGGCCGTTTGTAGTAGAGCAGTTGGAAATTTGCTGACTCTACCTTCAGTACTAGAGTAATGGCAGCAGTTTCGCTTGTCCCCCATGTACAGCCGCAGCCACATCTGTGCAGACTGTGCGAGCAGCTGGTTTTCACTCTGGGGCGTGGCTTTCTGACGTGGTGAAACAGATAGGCATGCTGACAACATCCGAGCCCGCAACTGCCTTGAGGTTTCGCACCGCAGAGCGAAATATAACTGCTCGTGTGCTCTGCAGAGACGTGGTCGGTCGTAGCTTAGACAGGAGAGTATAAAATTGTTCAGCATCTCAAGAGTTTCAATGGTGTAGCCGATCGAGCCATTGCAGAGCGTGGTGGTTGATTGATTGATTGATTTGTGGGGTTTAACGTCCCAAAAGCGTGGCGGTCAGTAAAGCTTTTTGAGTGAACCAATAAGGCCAGGAAGGAGGAAAAGGCAAGGCCCTGTGGAAATCTGGAACCTATGAGAGATGCATATGTTGGATGAGAGGGAGGTTTAGCAGAAGAATCCCGCTGTTTGCAAGAAATAGGTCGGTGAGTGGTCTCGGCAGGTTGTTTAGAAAAGGGTGTTGGTTCTTTGTGAGTTGGCACTTCCAAAATCGCCGAAAGAAGTCGCCGCCCGACGTGAGCATCAGCGACGTGGGAACGGGTACGTCTTTGCTGGGTCAGCGGTGATGTTCGCGCAAGAGAGATTAAACCCAAGCGCTAACCAAGGGAAGACCGAAACATAAAAGTATGGTTGAAGAAAAGTTATTACAGCGAAAGCTGTTACGAGATCACAACTCTGGTCACACGCAGTTGTCCGCCGCCTGTTTTCGTAACCACATCGCGCGAAATTACAAAAAAAAAAAAAAAAAACTAGCATAAGGCACAGTGGGGCTCGAAACCTGAGTCTGCTGGGTGCCATCCCAGTATTCCACCACCGAGCTACGCCATTGCTTGCAATTGTTGGCAATCCTAGCGCCAAAGACACAGCGGGGCTCGAACCCAGGTCCGCTGGGTGCCAGCGCAGTATTCTACCACTGAGCTATGCTGGTGCTTGTTACTTGTTGGCAAACTTGCCTTAGGCAGGCTTGATGTCGGGAAAGCAATCGCGTTAATGCGACTTATAAAGCGTTTTAAAACAGTGAAAGAACAACCACTCGTCGCACAATACGAATAGCATAACGAGTGGGCCTTCCAATGCACCAACCCGTTACAGAAACTTGTTCTTGTTCCCCTTATAGTAACTTTTGTGCATACCCACTTCAGCCACAATTCCTCGTCGTCGTCAGTCACTGCATGAACAATTGGCATGAAATTCCTTGGAAGTGTTTAGCGAATACCACGCTTCTCAGAAGAATGACGAAAAATAGCATAGCAAATGCCGGCCTATTACCCAAAAGTTTATTATTGGTGCCCTAGTGGATATCAAGCAAGTGTGCTTGCAGTAGTTACCCAATGAGTGTTTTGAAAAGGCTTTGAAAGGCCGCTCTTCTAGCTTTCGCTGCAATTGTGTTGGGCCTTCCGCGCAGGCTTGGCTTTTTTTTTTTAACTCTTATTCCTTTGTTAGACACAATATTAATGAGAATAGACAGTAATTCCGGGGAAAGTATAGCGGATGTTATTAGAAGTATATTCAAATGTAAATGTGACACGGAAGGGTCATCCGCTTCGTGTTTTTGATGTTATTCACAAAGTGGAGTTTTCGAGATTTTTTTATTGTATTCTTATAAAATTCAAGTCTGCTTACTGCTTAGAACAAATCCCCCACTTCTTTCATTTATATGGTGTTTTTACCCTCTGGCACCAAAACTCTGTACACCTGGTTAGAAAGTTGTGTTCCTGGGCTGACTTTTTATAGTTTTTTTTTTTTCTTTTTACAAACTATTCTTGAGGAGAGTATAGTATAATGCAAGTGCTTGGGTACACAAGCTGCTTGGGGTGCCTTGGCACTAAAACTCTTTTTTGTATAGGTTAGTCTCCTGTTAAAGTATAGGTACCTATGGTGGGGTATCCTAGATCACATCTGTAGATCTGGCAGGTTGCTCTTAGTGTCTCCTTCCTACACTTCTACATGCTTTGTAATCTTGCCTATTTCTGCGTGTTACTCCAACCATCTATATAAAAACGAATTATCATAACTCAAGTTATAAAAGCTAATCCTGGGACATGCATTTCAAATATGTGTTCATGCATGGAGGCTTTCATCCCTTAAAAAGGGATATTTTTAAAAAGTTCGGCGCTCTGCCTTGCATTTGCAAAATTATGCTGCGATTGAATTTATATCAAAGCTAAGCTTGTAAGAACAGGTACTGCAGTGGGCACATCATATAGTCGGAAAGCTGGCTTTCCTGCTATGCAGTTTGACCAACTAACAGTGGCCAGTCAATTACTTGAGAACAGCATGTTTAAGTGCAGTTTGCTTGTGCTATGACATGCAAAATTGCTCTTGTGGCAAAAACGCATAGTAGACAAGCCCAGCACGTGTGACTGGAACCGAGTCTTTACTTGAAGCAGGACAGGTGCCGCCACTAGTTGGGTAAACATGCAGTGCAGGGAAGTGCGCTTGCAGATTATGAGAAGGGACTTATAGTGTTTGTAGATGTTGTCTTTAGCAGCTCTTCTGCATTGATCAACAAAAGTTCATGTATCGATCAACGAAATTTTAAAGTCTTAAATTATTCTTGGGGCAGGAGCCGGCGCCGTTCAGCGTCTAGAAGCCGTAGGCGTTCCAGGAGCCGGTCCCGGCATCGCCGATCAAGCTCCCGGTCTCGCAGGTGAGCACCGTGGTATGGTGCTTTACTTTTGTGGCGGCTTTGCTTAATTCGATTAGAAGGGTCCATTTTTTTCACCCTCTTTTTATATTCTTTCTCTCTCTCTCTACTTGCCTCTTTCTCATTTTGTCTCTTTCATTGATTTTTCCTCTGACTTGCTCACTCATCTTTATATCTTTTTTTGTGTGTGTGTGCATCTTTTTGTAGCTTCTTCTTGCTGTCTTTCTCTCTTTTTTCTGCATCTGTGCTAGTCCTCTCGTCTGTCAGAGTTACTGTATGCCATAGAGGACAAATCGTAATCTTCTGTTCGTTCTGCATGGCACAATGCAAAGCTCAACAGCTGCACTGTAAACTGCCTCGAAATGAGGAGTGCATCCCAGACATACTTTATTGATAGAGCCTTTCGAGGAGACACAGTGTCGGCACAGTGTTTACTCTTTGCATTAGTCTTTAGAAATAACTAAAGTAGCGCCGTTCATGTTAGTGTGCAGGCTCCTCCTCTCCCCCGTGTTTGGTTGTGCAAATGCCGTCGTGTCAATCCTCTTTCCCACTGTTTGGTCACACTTTACCTCTCTTTCCTTCTATATTCCTCTCCCTTCCCCCACACAGGGTAGCAAACTGGCTCCGACCTGGTTCGCCTCCCTGCCTTTCCTTTTCTCTATCTCTCTTTCTTTGTTCGGCTGTGCCATGGCCGCTAAAGCAAGCGTACGCATACCCTCTCCCATGCCCCAGGAGGATGTATCTCTTTTGCATCCGCAGTTTCCCGGTGGACACCATAGAGGTGCTGCTGCAGCTGGGAGAGGAGGTAGAGACGAAGGGGCACGGTTGGCGCTACTTTAGTTTATTCTCGGGGCTTTGGTTTTCATTGGTGCTCGGTATGAGTGCCATCTCATGCGAGGGGATAGCCATTTAAAAAAGAGGGTGTTCCAACTGGGTGTCCTGCTTGTGAACGCTACATGCAACACTCAATAAGGTCGCAGCTTTTTCTTCGATCCAAAGAGTGTGTTTGTTCACGAAGCCCAAGTTCAGGGCCCCTCTCCGGATGCAGGATGAGGCAAAATTAAGAGAAAAAGAATATCGGTGGTGGGAAACCTGTGCCAATTGGAAAGTACTGTGCCATACTGCACCACAAGGTGGTTCTGCAACCGAAAGTAATGTTGACAGCACGCATCGTGAGTGGATTATACGTGATGGTTGTCATCTTGTACACTTGCACTGCTTCATTTGCGTAGACTTGCGGCGGTGCCTTTTTTGGTTACCATTGGCAAAGAACGAGAGCGATGTGGCAACTATCGAAAAGTGTGCCAGTATTCTTTATCGCCGGCAAAAAGGCTACGTGTGTAGCGTAGCACCGCTTTACGCCTACTGCACGCTTTTAATAGCTGGCTACCAGCTGAGAGCGCTGAGGCACCGATTGCTACCACCTCAATCGTTGTGCTGGACTGTGTGCTCAACGTGCATCACTTTGCGGAAACAAAAGCAGCTCGTTGTTGCGGATTTCAGCGCTCTGGATCGCGGGCACAGAAACGGCAAGCCTAGCACATGCTTTCATGAAACGACAGCCCAAACGCACTTCTGTCCACAGCCAGGACTGCCAGAGCATCCCTTGCAGAAATCTTACATCATAGTGTTAAGGCATGACAATCATTTCCGAACATTGGCAAAAACAAAGAAACTGCTTCGTAGCGGGCACGTTAGGCAATATTGGCTGTGGCACAATGCTTAAGCAGGAGACGCATAGTACAAATTCGAATACGATTTGCTGTTCAGCCAACAGCCGCATCTGATAGACATCCAACAGGATCCGACAGTGTGCGGCGACAGTTCGCACGTCGCGTGTACATCCAACTTGGGGAATCGAGCCGGTCTGGAACCGCGCCGGTCTGGTGGCCGCAGCTAATGGCAGCGCGAAAAGGGGTGCCACAGGTGGGCGCCGTCGCAAGTTTCTGTCTCGTCGCTCCGATAGTATCACCGTTGCCTGTGGCATCAAAAACCTTAAACTGTTTCTGACACGAAATAACTCATGATTGAATAAAGTGACGCTCAAAGTGTTTTCGAACCAATGACGAGATGCCTAGCCATGATGAAAGCCCTATTCGCAGGTAAAAAAACAGTGGCACCGGCGATCTCGGCGAGCCGGCCGGCTTTGTTCCCACCTTTGCTCTTTACATCGAGGCCATTGATTAAACCAGTTGCACGTGTTGAAACGTCATATAAGTGTACGAGTTTTTATCGTTCTGGTAAAGAGAATCGCTCGACAATGAGCTCACGTTGGAAAGAGCGGCACTACCGAGAATCTTTGCGTTGCTATGCCTACGCTCGAAGTAGATAATGAATGTGGACTGTGTCGATGTTTGTTGCTTGCAAAGGCGTAGCTTTGTTGGCGATACTATTTGACAAGGCATGGCGTGAGCTTCTTTATTTTGTGCTCAATAAAGAGGATACTATGTCTTCCGAGCGTGCAAGCTGAGGGGCCGTATGTTGGTGACTCGCTTGCTGGATTTCGGGCCGACCGGTCGTGCGCTCGCGCGCTCCGCGCGCTTGCGATCTCCCGCGTCATCGTGGCTCTGGCCGACTGGACTCGCCCTACGTCATCTCCTGCCGCCGACGACCTTCCACCTCCGACGACAGTCGGAGGTGGAAGGTCGTCGCGTGTGTATACATATGAACGACATTTCACTGCAACGAGCTGCGCGTGCACTGCTATGAGCTTGTTGCTCCAATATCCTTCAGTATCTTATTTCATTGCTTCTGTACATAATCATACTTTTGTTTATTTTTTCGTGCCAATTTTGTGGGCTTGCTGCATTTGTACAAGTTATTATGCAAACTGAGGGAACATTAAAGTAAATTGAAGCTAAAGTTTCTTCCTCCGTGTGTGTTATGGAAAGCCCGTGCATGCTCAAAACCAAGGTAGCTACTCCAAAAGCAGATTTTGCCTGCTCCAATGGCTGCTCCAAAGTGCCGGAAGACATTCCCGCAATTGATGATGTATATATCAGTTTGAGAAGTCTGTTCGTACCTCACTTACCTTCCCTTTCCCCTTTTTTTCCTCACGAAAAATATCAACATAGCACGTGCTGCCCAGAACTTTATTGTAACCTGACGATGATCTTTGCATGCAAGACCATGAGTATGGCTACTGCCTTGCAGATGACGTCATGTGACTACCTCCTATACGATTCTCTTGTAAATGCCGGCGATTGCACGTGGTGAGGTGGCGAACGCTGGACCGGCAAGCTCTACATTGTGGAACGTCTCAGCCTTTTTAGCGTTCGGGGAGAATCATGTGCATGTTGACCAGAATGCTTCAATGGACAACAATATCATCAGTGATATAATTAGACTTGAATGCGTGAACTGTGCGGTCAAAAGTCTTGAGCTAATCGGAATCGCATTGCGGCGTTTTTGCTTCAGAATTTTGGGATTGCAACAGTGGATGCTGTTCCTTTATATAGTAATGGTAATATCAGACTCGCTGAAATTCTGACAACACAGTCGATTCTCTCCAAGAAGTTCACTACAATGAAGGTACACTTGTCTCTTGCACAGTGTCCTTTATTAAGTGGTTCGACTGTACATAGGGTGCCATTATTTTTTATAAATATGGCTCGGATGAAAGAGGGCTAAATTTAGGGAAAAAAATGATATATGTGTTATGGTGAGTACAGTCGATCCTCCCCATATCAAATTTGGATATATTGAATTATTGGCTTTGCCGAACAGTTTAAAAAGATCCCCTTGAATTTCCCATGCAGAAGTATAGGACTAGTGCACATGTATATCGAATGCTGCGTCAAAGCCAAGAAAGTGCATTTTTTCCTAGCAAATATTGATCAATTTTCGGCCAGGTTTGAACAAGTCGTGATCCATCTTCGTGCGCAGGTGACGAAAGGACAGTGTTATTCCATTGCACTGGTCTGGTCCGTTGCACAACGCTTGCGAGTGCGCCGGTATGTTGATGTGTCTGCAGGTCTTGGCACGCAGGCAGTGTTTTTCAAAAGACCGGTTGCGGAAGACACCAAAATGAAAATGAGAAGTGACTCTGCTATCTTGTTACAATGTTCGCATTCCCTTTCTCATTTGTTGGCGCACAGTGGTACGCGAGCCTGAAAAGCAGGGCCTTCGAAATATGCAATCTCGTGCCTTATTTTTAGTATTTTCGGTTTTAAATCGCATGTTTCAGAGGCCATGTTTTTTCTAGCTTTTGTATGAAAGTAGCGGCTGCCAGCTACAAAGCCACAAGTGACATCGATATCGCCAAAACGTCGACAGTGGGAATTCGGTGTTGTTTTTTGCACCTTGTGGACTTGAGTACTTCTCGCCTCATTCCAGGCAAGTTCTCATTCGGGAGTTGAATAGAACGTTGACATCGCTCCAAGCCATAATTTTTATTGCTGCTTGCGGGTCAAGTAAACCAGCCCCATGAACTTCCTTGTGGGCCAGGTGACTTCTGGTGCGTCATGACCGCTGACAGCAGTCTGGTTATATTATACAGTCAGGACAACACGGGTTGTTTAGATAAAGAAAGTACATATTGGTTAATTAGCAGGGCATATTAGTTGGATTCGTAGTTCATGGTTCTTGATCGTAACTCATTGCAGGTCAAGGAGTCGGTCAAGGGAGCGTAAACGCTCCCGCAGCCGCTCTCGCAGGAGCCGAAGCCGGTCCCGGGATCGTCGCAAGAGTCGCAGCAAGTCAAGGGAGAGGAGCCGCTCACGTAACCGCGAGGCTAAAAGGAGCCGTTCCAAGTCGAGAAACAGAAGCCACTCAAAATCTAGAGAACGCAGTCGTTCTAAGGAGCACGGCGGATCAAAGTCCAAGCGGCGCAGCCGCTCAAAATCGAAGGGCCGTCGCAGCCGTTCCAGGTCAAACGACCGTAGCCGATCCAAGTCTAAGGAAAGGAGCCGATCCAAGACCAAGGAGTATCGCTCTAAGTCCGATGAGCGTGGTCACAGCAAGGATCGCAGCCGATCCAAGTCCAAGGAGAGGGGTGAGAGCAAGCGCAAGAGCCGATCCACATCCGCTGATCGCGGCCAACGACAGAGTCGTTCCAAGTCCAAAGAGCGCAGCCGCTCCAATTCCAGGGACCGCAGTCGTAGCCGCAGCCGGAGCCATCAAGACGGCAACCAGCGGGACCGCAGCAGCCGCAGTCGATCCCGCAACGGAGATGCCCACAGCCCATCGCAGAGCCCCCGAAAGATGGCAGAGGATAGGGCGGATTCGAGGTCAAGGTCGCGCAGTCCAGGAGTAAAGCACAGTTCACCGCCTCCTGATGCAGCAGAGTCCAACGGTGATCGTGAGATGCGTTCGCCTGAGCGAGACCGCCGCTCACGGTCCAAATCGCAGGACTCCGACTGAGACATGTGAGGATTGTCTTGTGCCGTTTTTTCACATCCTTGAACGAGGGAAAGCATGTCACTCTCTTTCTGCTCTCTCTTGCGAAAACATTATAATCCTTAATACTGCTCCTTCTCTGTCCTGCTTCAGAGAAGCCTTGGTTTGCCAAGTTTTGGGGGTAAAAAAAACATTGCAATGGGCTTTTCTCTACCTTATTTTCCTCTTTCTTTTTTAAAGGTCATTATTTGGATGTCATCAACTTATTTGCAGCCAAATTGTTGGTAAACAAAATCTGTTCACTTGCAGCTTTGGATTACTCTATCGAAGTTGCACAAAGGGGTTTTTTTTTTTTTTCTCCTCACCCTGTGTACGCATGGTCCTCATTCTTTCTATTTTTCTTTTTTAAGATGGTGTTCACAGTTAGAATTTTGCATGCAGGTCTTCTTCTGGCATTACATAATTGTAGCAGAAAAAAAATTTCAATGTTTCATTTTTATTTGCGGTTGGTAGATTTTCCTGCTCTTCGTTTTTCAAATTGAGAGGGTACTTGATGCTCTCTTTTCTGTTCGGCCACAGCTTAAACGTTTGTAATCACTTTAGCAAGGTGTGTGGGTGTACTGAGTATTAGGCTTCAAGCCTCTTCTTCGTTACAGTCACGTAGTAACTGTGGAGAGTGTTCAGATTCTGCTGTTGCCTTTGGCGTCCTGTTTGAGAAGCATCTTGCCCATCGAGTGTGTGCATAGTTGAGCATTTGGACACTTTTTTTTTTTTATTGCCTGCTGGCATACTGCCGTACATTGTCCCTCTGTAAGCACACCTGTTTATTCTTCTTGTCCTGTATCGCAGTTTTCATATTAAAAGCATCATGAATCTAGGAAGTGTTTGTGAGGTATGGTAATAGCCTTGTAACAATTTAGCGGGAGTTGATGTTGTTCAGTTGTAGTTGCTTTGTGTGCCAGTTGGTGAAACTGGCACACAAAGCAACTTTTTTTTTTTTGGCATCGCGCAAAAAAAAAAAGGGCGAAGTTGTAACTCGTTTGTAACTGTTGCAGCTTATCAGTGTGTTGGCTATACTAACCTCTAATAGCTGGTGTACAACTTTTACTAGGCACATGTTTGATATTTGAATATCCTGCCGTAAATGCAGGAACTCAAATGTATAACCTACAGCTGATTTCCCGACAGTTTTCTGGGCATTGCATTGTTATGTGGTTGCACTTGTGTGGCTTGTTCTCATTGAACAATTGGATTTTTTTTTAACATGTGTGGGCACTCTGTGGTTGAAAACAAAGACTAGGAAGTCTTACTGGTTTTAACCACATCACATGTTCTGTTAGGAGTACATCATCACACTGCAGCTTGGCTTGAGGTCGATTCTCGTAGCTGCCAGATGCTCCATCATGACACTGGCACCTGTCACTGTTCATTGTCTTATCACTTTTGTTTTCATCGGTGATGTGACACTAGAGATGTCGAGAGAGGTCAAATCTGGAACGACCGCCGTCTCATGACGGCGGCTGTCCATGACGGAGCATTTGATGGCTCATTGAACCTGGCTTCATGGCTCATTCACATGTGACTAGCATCGGTTGTGCTACCGAATTAGTTTCAATGCGACTGGTCACACGTGGCCTCTCTGGCTGAGAAGGAATGGCTTTGGCTCAGTTGCAGATTACTTAAATTTTCAGTCGCAAACATCCAGCAGCAAGTTGTCGGCTTATTTCAATAGGCAATAGCGATGCTAGCACGACATTGATGTAGCTCCTGGCGAGTAGCGTTACATAGTGTGAGCCTCAATTGCGTCGAATCACAAGTGGCTGTCGAGCCGGTGCTAATTGCAAGTGTGGGTGGGCCTTTTGGACGGCATATCAGATGAAGGGGTTCTCGTAAGACGGTAGAATCGCTGCGAATTTCTGCAAAGCCATGGCTGTTCGGGAAGGGTTGTTGGGAAAGGAGGGAGTGGTGTGCAACATTTTTGGTGCTGACTGTCGCCGTGTGTTGTTGCCCCCCTGTCTGTGCCCGCAGGCCCTGAGGTGTGAAGGGCGTTGGTTAAAGGCGTTGGTGGCTCTGTCGAAACGCGGCGGACACCAAGTACGAGTTCCCGGCTGCGCTGTGTTCGGGCGGTGGTTTCCAGAGTGCGGGGACGTGTGCTGAAGCTTGCGTGCAACCCCCAACCCACTTGCTCATCACCTCCAGGCTTTATTCATTTTTTTTTTTCATCAGCCATTTGCCTTCTCTCTACTAAATTTTAACGACAAGGATGTCTTTTTAGAGTAATTGGCAGATGTCTTGGACACATGTATTGAGCTAAAGCGTGCATCTTTCAGGCAAATCTTTAGGTTTTCATTATTCTTGAAATGAAAGGAGTTCGATTAGCCATGGTGGCTTGGCTTATAAGCAAAGCTTCCTGAAATCGCTAGTATCTCTAACTCTGAGCAGCCTTTTCTGAGTGTGTGCAAAGAGGTTTTTAAAAACAGACCTGGTAACTTGTAGATTCTCTACACTGCAAGCTACCACCTAAATAGCAGGCTGGTATAAACTTTGTGAGAGCACACCAATACTATCACTAATTGGCCCATTGAAGTCTACTTTATTTGTTGAATGCCTGTTGTTTTAATTGAACGACCATTTCAAAGGTACTGCTTGAGCAGCGAAGCCTGGTTGTTCGAGGCAAGAGATCGAGAAGGCCGAGCGAGCGGTTTGGGGGTCGGAAAGGGCGTTGGCGATCCGGGCGATTTCGGGCTCCTCGTGGAGGCAGTTTGCAGCCGGAGCAGTGGCATGCTGTTTGGTGTGGTTCCGGCGTGTTGCTGATTTGCAGCCTGTGCGAGAGAGAAAACGAAAAAAATGCCGGCGTAAGTAGTTTTGATCAAGATGATGGTGAGCCGATTGTTCTTGACTGAGTCTTGCCACAGGCTGGGGCATCTTCCTTCCTGAGGCGTGCGTGTCGTGTAGCGGCCCCGGCCGTAGTTCCGGCTGGCGTTCCAGCTTTGGCTCGTGCGATACAGCGGTCCTGGCATGCTTGCTGAACCTGTGGTGCCGAGTTCCGCGTGGTGGGGGCGTTTGCTGAAGGAGCTGTGTGGTTTGGTTCCACAGCTTTTTTTTTTTTTCTCTCTTCATTTCTCCCTCTAGGTGCGGCATCCCTGAAGACCAAAAGAAGCATTTGAACAAGCATTTGCACAGAGTAGAGTATGCAGAATGACTTGGCCTTTTTTTTTTTCTTTTGTCTGGCATTCTTCACAAGTCTTGGCTCGAGCCAAGACATGAAGTGCTACGAGCACTTCGCTTGTACAAGGGTATGCCTGGAGTTACGGCATTAAACGAAAATGTTAATTGTTCAGCTGCATCTCAGAATAATGTGTTGACATTGTTGCTGAGACAGGTCACAATATTGTTGTCACTTTGTGGGAAATATCTTATCCGCAGGCATCTCCTGCAGTGATGCACATTGTTTGAGGCTGGTAAACGGGAGCTCGAATTTGATTGCATGTTGGCTTCAGAACTGCAGCACAGATTTCGAACAGTTGACAAAAAGGAGATGCAAAAGGCCTGGTATAGTAAGTTTTAAAAAATCATTCCATTGTATACTCCGTTTATAACCACCGTCTCAAAAAATTATTCATTGTGCCTTTGATAGCACGAAACTTATTTGACTTACTGATTGGTGCTTTTTTTTTTTTTAAATTATCTCTAACACTGACTGTACAGCAGGCCTCTGTTATCTGCATGCTCTGCTCTTGCGAGAATTGAATAAATGTGTTCATCCTTCAAATTCAATGTCTCTGCTGTCTTTGCCTTTTTCTGGTGGGGGGCCGTTGCATTTGTTAAAATTCTGAGCACGTCAACTACACTGGTGTATAAAGGGGAACTCGTCTGGCATAACGTTCGCGCTCATGATAGAGCAGCAAACTTGATTTTTATTGCATTTAAGTCTGTGCTTGTGTGTGATGATTTACACTTCAGTAGTGCTACAACGTCGGCAATTTCAAACAGTGCTCGGCTGTGCACCTTGCAACGAGGGCTCCTTTGGCAGGGTCGTAATTCTCTCTCGGCTGTTGCCAATATGCTGGATCTAACACCCTGCCAAGGCGTTGTATTCTGTACTCCCGCACAACAGCCCAGAGACCACGTGACCTTTCGCTGCAATGAAAAAGTTTACACCGCATTAACTCGATTGTAGGTCCACCTATTTTGTCCTAATCTGAAATCCAAAGTTGGCGTGTCAACCTAGAATTGAGAACTAGTTCAGTTGTAAAGTCTCTCAAAATGATCTCGCTGTTTGCAAACTGTGTGACGTCACTGCGACCACCATTCCCTCTCTCGGAGCAGATGCTGGTTGGCAAGAAAGTTCTGCTGGTGGGATCTTTCTGCATTTCTTCGACTAAAATTTCTGCACATGGCTGTTTTCTAACATCGCAGCTGCCTATAGTGCATGATTTTGTTAGGTTAACATGTTGCGATTTGCTCGTCATAGCAGCTATAGGGAAAATGTTTGCCTTTTCAAAAGGGAACATTCTGCCCGTTCACTTTGATAGGCGTTTTGAGAAATATTTGTATGGCATAGATGTAAACGTATGTACATGAACTCTTGCACAGTTACCTTGATGTGTCTGATTGCTACAACGTATTTGCATACTTGCCTGATACACGAACTTGTAATACGCATTGTTACTTCATGAACATCAAGCTGTAAAGGTAAGAAGTGCTCGTGAAAAAAACAATCTGATGGTTACATGAGGGCTCCAATAATATGAGATGCACTTTTATTGCGTTTGCGTATTTGCCGTGGCGAAACGTATATGCAGCTTCGGTGATGTTAAACATGGGCTTATAGCTAATGCGCAGTATTTTTCAGCCCAGGGTTCATGCACTTTTTTTTCCTTCATGTAGCGATGATGCCGTGATGTATCCACTCATACATGATTACGTAAGATGCATTTTCACTTCGACTGCAATGTTAAACCTTGAAGTTTCATCGACAACTGGTTAGTGCCATCGGCCCACGACGGCTGCCAATGTTCTCACTAACAAGGTGCATCATCATTCACACAGCTGTTGTCGCACAGGCGGCCATGTGTGTTCATTTTTCCAGTCAGCCAGCGTGGCAAATATTTTGTCATGGAGTTTACCACACACCACAGCTGTTAGAAGACATTTAAGCTTTAAAAAAAAAAAATTGGCCCCGTATCTGTATGTTACACAGCAAATGTCGTCGAAAGACGATAGGGTGCCATTTTAGCTCTGCTGGACAGACGGTTCCATACACGTATCAATAATAGTCTTGCGTCTGGATTGAGTGAACGAAACGTTTATTTGATGTTCTGCCCAAGAAAATCGGCGAGTGGTATACTGGAGGCGCTGCGTGCCTCGAGCGTGCAGCGGAGGCGAACGAGTGCATCGAGTCGCGTCACACGTGAGACATGAGCGCCATCTGGCAGTTATCCTGGAAAACGGGGCGCGCGCATTGCGCGCCCATCTCTGAGGTGTAGAACGCAAGGCGACGGGTGAGTGCCACCACCGTGTCGTATTAGCAAAGCGTTGAAAACACTTGCCGTTTTGTGCAAGCGTTGCGTGGCCAGCGCCGCGTTATAAAGGCTACTACCCTTGAAATTGCTTATGTATGCCTTTTCTAGTAAAAAAAATACACATAATTTGACGTGTTATGGTGCCTCAGATATGCGCAGCAATTGCTTTTTACTTGACAATCACACAAGTGTGAACGCTGAACCTTGAGCAATATTGGTGGGCGCTGCGGATGAGATCGGCCGTTTGAAGTATCGTTTGGACACTTTGGTGCCGTTTAGGGTACCGTTAAGGGTGGATAAACAGACTAATGTACAGACCGACAAAAATTTTGCGCCGAAGGTCCCCAAGAAAGACTCGTCTTTGAGAGAGAGAATAAACATTTATTAATAACAAATGCACACTGAGCCTTCCTTGGGTGGGGCCCTCAGTCCAGGGCTCCATTGCCTTGCGCGACCCTGCGAGCCCGCTGGACCAGCTTCTGCTGTTCCTGCCGGCGTAAGCTGAGCAGTGCAGACTCCCAAGAGGAAGGGGTGGGATTGGGAATGGGAGGCACGCCCTGTGGGGCAGAGCATTCCCACGTGGAGTGGTACACCGTCGGTACGGATCCACAGAAGGGGCAGTAGGAGGGGTAGAGAGTCGGATGAAAGCGATTTAGCATATAAAGGCAAGGAAATGAATTGGTCTGTAGTTGCCGCCAAGCGACAGCATCTGCTCTGTTAAGTGAAGGATGAGGGGGAGGATACGTATAACGGCTCTGTCGATAGTACTGCAGCGTAGCGTTGTAGTTTAGTGGTTCTGTCGATGCGTCGTCTGGATTGGACAGCTCTTCCAATGGAGCCCGGCCGGTCAGCTCTCTCGTCTTTGAAGACTTGCCCCGAGCGTCGCGCTGAGCCTCCAGCGGGGGTGTTTTGTCAACTGATTCAAATCTTAACCCCGACTCTAAGATGCATGTCTTGCTTTAAATGCAAAACGTTTCCGCCGATTCATTTCGTTAACTCAAAGGTGTTGAGACAATACATGGGACAGTGGGTCAATATGAAAAGACTAAAAATAAAATTTGTGACAGCTCGGTTTTGATAAGCTGTGTACCGAAGCATAGTGGCGCCAGCTCTGTGCCAGCGTGAAAGAGCCTTGGGGGGGGGGATCGACGCGCTCGGTCATCGCGGACTGAGATGGTAGCTTACGGCTGCGAAGCTCCAGGACGTTACCCAGCAAGTTTCCACCAAATGCAACGAGCAAGGTTGCGTAAAAGCACAGATTATTCGAGAAACGTTAGCCGCAACAAGCTGGTACCGGCAGGAACTCGGCAAGCACGAGCCACACATGGACGTCAACGTCTTCTTTCACGCTGGCACAGCGCTGACGCCACTATGCTTCGGTACAGCTGCTTGAGTTTTCGTGGGTTGGTGATGGTGGCGACTTTGGTGGGTGTCACTACAGAATAATGTTAATTATACTCGTGTTTAGGAAATCCTATGCCGGGCTGTTTTGTCAGATAATGAAGCAGGATCAGACCAGTGTATTGCGGGAAAACCTAAATTGCGGAACGAAAGGAGATAACTATATTAGGATTAATGTTAATTAACGTGTACAGGGTTTCATGAATTAAAGGCAAAAGTGGATTTGCAGTCTGTCCCAAAAAATTGGCAAGAAATGTCGATGAGGATGTGCAGGTGCATACAGCATCGAAGCCAAATAATTTCCAATGGGGAAGTATTTTGTTTACAAGTGAACAATGCGAAATTCCCTTGTGAGCTACCGGCACTTTCACCTTTCAAGTGTGAATACACTTTATAAGCGACCCCAAACCATCCACCGTCGTCGGCGGCGTCCGCAGTCTTCTCTCTATCTTTCAAAGAAAGAGGACTTGGCTATAGTGGCTTCTAGCCACCATACCACGGACGCGACGCTGATATCGGTGTCAGTAACGCGCCTTATATCTTTAACGCCGCTGCACGCGTCCCCCTCCCCCTTCGCTCGCTCCTCCGCTTTCCTCGCTCGCTGCCGCTGCGCGCGCCCCCCTCTCTCTCGTGCGCCCCCCTCTCTCTCAGTCTCCCGTCGAGAGCGGGTCGTGCGATGGATGTCCCGGAGGCAACGCTACCATCAACAACGAATGCAGTACAACCGAATGCCAGCACTGCTCCCGTCGTTGGAGGTGACGGTACCGCGGTGGTTTCGCCGACGTTGGAAGACAAGGCGGCGCTGCGAAGGGCTCGTGAGACCGAACGTAAGCGGGCGAAGCGTGCAGCGGATGCCGAACTGCGTGCTCGCGAGGCCGAGTGCAAGCGGGCGAAGCGTGCAGCGGATGCCGAACTTCGCGCTCGCGAGGCCCAGGACAAGCGGGCGAAGCGTGCAGCGGATGGTGAACTGCGCGCTCGCGAGGCCAAGATGAGGCGTCAGCATCGAGCTGCGAACGCGGCCCAAGAAGCGTTCGATAGCATAGCATCACCCCGTGCATTCGCACTTAACCATGTTCACCCTCGGAAGAATGCTTGGGAGTTTTTTTTTTTCTTGCAGCATAAGTGTGGGTGTTATAGTAGTAATGTCCCCAGCTTCACATACAAATACAATGTGGGGTCTTGAAATGGCGAGGGACACCCTCTTGGAGTGAACGGACACAGCAGACGCGGTCGGTACAAACTAAACAACAACATACATTTGTTTAACTAATTTAGAATCACGATATCGTCCGCCGAAATATTATAACAATAATCGTGATCAAATCGCTTGGACATCCTTACACAATATTGCCATACACTCCTAAACATGACTAACACATCCAAGGTGGCGTCACCAACGCTTGACTTACCACGAGGGCCCCCGACGCGCAACCCGCGGGACCACGCACCGGGGACCTACCCTAGAGACAACCGTTCACGGCAATTAACCGCCACGCGCAGAAGAGAGCTGCATATTTCTTGCGCGCCTCCATCAAGGCTTGTCTGCCGCTAGGGGTCACTGCCAGCACTCCCGCTTTGACAACCATATTGATGATGATAGCGGTGATTACGATGGGTGGATATGGCTGTACCCTTTAGATCGGGCGGTGGCTAGCGCCAATAAGCCGTAATACTTAATGAACCAAAAAATAGATTTATTTTTTTCCCCTTAAATAGTGATGTTGAGGATTCGTACTTTGCAGTGAAGGGTTTAATTTTCACCGCTAGCCTACACAACGCCACCTATCGCTCAATAACCGCGACCCCGAAACGCGGCTTGTGCGCCACGCAGCGCAAACAACTTTACAGGGGAGTGTCAGTACCCTCACAGCAACACCAGAAGTCAAGCATGACACGACTGCACGACGATGAACACAGATCACAGTTCAGGACATGAGTGACGAACGTGACTTGCATGTCGCGAAAAACTTCCCACAAAGCTAGTGGGGGGACACGCCCACTAGCTTTGTGGGAAGAGGGTTCAGCTTAAATTGAGGACGACGCAGCGAGCAATGGAAAGAAAAATGGTAGGTGTAACCTTAAGAGACAAGAAGAGAGCAGAGTGAATTAGGAAACAAACGGGGGTTAAGGATATTATAGCTGAAATCAAGAAGAAGAAATGGACATGGGCCGGGCATGTAGCGTGTAGACAGGATAACCGCTGGTCGTTAAGGGTAACTAACTGGATTCCCAGAGAAGGGAAGCGGGTTAGGGAGAGACAGAAGGTTAGGTGGGCAGATGAGATTAAGAAGTTTGCGGGTATAAATTGGCAGCAGCAAGCACAGGACCGGGTTAACTGGCGGAACATGGGAGAGGCCTTTGTCCTGCAGTGGGCGTAGTCAGGCTGATGATGATGACGTCATCACAGTCACACTACCGGTGCTCTCCTGTTTTGGCACGCCTTCCCTGCTTTCCGTTATTATCTCCCTCCTCCTTTGGCTGGACGTCTGCTTGGCCATACTTAACCCTAGATATAGTCGTCCGCCGGATAATTAGCGTCTTTTCTCGGTCCTTCGCGTCCCACACTAGGCTTTAAGCAATGCTTTTCCTCTCAAAGGGTCCATGACCTCTCCCAGCTAAACTATGCTGCAAACGGGCTCGATTTGGAGTTTAGTGGGCCGACCCGATTCGTTGCATCATATGAGTGCAAACATAGTTGACGCGTACCGGCTCGGATTGGACAGCTTCGCAGTAAAAGCATGGCTCAAGAGACAATTTCGAACTCTAGTGTTCTCGCATCTTGTAAGGACAGCGGCAACAGTCGTTTCAATGCTGATTATGCGGCTTCATAACGATGTTATAAACATTAGATATTTACATCGAAGACTAAAAGCTACCGTATTGGCACGATTGTAAGTCTACTCGAATGTAGGTCGACCCGACCTGAAACCACGTGAAAAAAAAAAAGAGAGCATGCGCACGTCATTAAAAAAAAAACGATTTACCATGTCTTCGATGAAAACGAGATCCGGTGTACCAAGGTGGCTTCACATCAGTGTTTTATAGGAGTGCAGAAAAGCCACCTTCGCAAAAAAAAAAAAGGGGGGGGGGGGGGGAGAGACCTCTACTAGGGTACATCACGCGACGTCACCAGCACATGTGCAAGGCGGCGGTAGGCAAAGCACCTCCGCTTGAGGCTCAGCGCGGCGCTCGGGGCACGTTTTTTTTTTCTTTGTTTTCAAAGCTTAAACTTTATCTTACTCTGACAAAAATATCTGTGGTGTGTGGTAAACTGCATAACGAAATATTTCCCAAGCTGCCTGATTGTTTCTGGAGAAATGAACACAGGTGCGCAAATTAATTCTAGTAGTTATTGGCGCAGTTTACCGCACCGCAGGCACGTAACCAGAATTTTTTTCAGGAGAGGGGCTTGGTGTACCACCCTCTGGCTACGCCCCTGCCGCACTGCAATTTATACGCGAATTTTTGAAGCACCGCTAACAACCTGACTACAACTGCCCTCATGTCATGGGTCAGCTGCTGCCCGGGGCAGGCAAATTTCTTTCGTTCTCTGCCACACTGCGGCGCCACCGGCTAAATGCACGTGTCTATTAGCTCCTTATGCAGTGCTGTTAGGGAAATTCTATGGTTAGGTCACCCTATTTAGGTCAAGCTCCCTGACCACGGTGGCTTTTGCTAACAGTCTAGGTGGTGTCTGACTTGTAAACGCAATTGTCCATGCATCCACTGCTCTCCTGGAACTTTTGGGAAGAAGTGCGTGCCAATTTCGGGTCCCTCCTCCATGACGCCATTACAACGTGAAGGAGCTTTCACAACTTTAGACACAAATGAAAGTACAGGTATGCATTTCACCACAACTGCGGGCTGCGCGCCGAGGGCCCACGTGGCAAGTCGAGCGTTGGCTAAGCCCTCTTGCGTGTGTTCTTGTGTTTGTCATGTTGTTGAGTGTTGTGCAATATTGTGTAAGGTTCTTTAGCATGTTGATTGATTGAATGGCGTGCCATATCCTCTCTTTTGCTCACATTCATAATTTGCAGCGTATGCTGAAAGTTTTCATTTGGTGTAGCATAGCGGTAGACTACCGCACATTACAGATGCTCCACGCTTCATTTTGATATTCATCTTTTATTGCACGACACTTTTTACGCTGCTCGTAATGGAGCCGTGAATGTTCACCAGGAGTGACAGCATGTATCTGTCAATCAAATCACGAGACAAGACAAAGCAAAAAAGGAAATACTGCAGCACTGGGCCCACATAGTGGTATACTAATATGAAACAGAGCATCGACAAAGGCAACACAACAGCCAACTAGCATGGTAAGTTACTTGTGAAGACCGGAATGAAATTGATAATATCTAGACTAAACCACGGAAAAAATTTGACATTGGACCCGTTCAAAAATCGCTTTTTGGTAGCGAAAAACCAAGTGGTTTTCAGCATAGACTTCCATAATATTATGCTGGAGGGACATCTGGCACTGGTGCCCATGGTAGTTGCAATGCACAACGCTTGAGCCATCACAAGAAGGATAGACAGTACATGGATTTGCCTATGCTTTGTTCTTTCGGCTTCGAGTGGCCTGTAGCTGCATTGTAGCCACATGAATTTCAGCAAAAGTTCAGCAGCCCAACCTTACCACCCTGACGGCTCACGAGGTTCACAAGAAGTCGTTCGTTTATTCAGAACAAAAGCCAGCACACAATGATAAACAAAGCCACAAGCGTGGGGACCTAGCCAACCCATGTACATACACTCAAACCTTGACAAAACAAGTACTGACGAAATCAATTATTTATAACAAAGAGAATGGCTTTGCCATGGTGTTACAAATATAAGTTTATAATGAATTTTCGGATATAACAAAGTATTTTTGTGACAGATCTGACTATGTTATAATGAGGTCTGAGTGTACCTTATCATTTTATCATTCCTATGGTGGCTGATCAATGACAGCGCCCCAGTTCCTTCTAGTCAGTATTGTAGGAAACTCTATGGCTTTCAGTACCTGAGAACTGTCAGTAAACCATTAATTATTCCTAACCCTTTATTAGTTGCACGAGGCTAACAAGATGAGAACCCAAACGTTTCACCCCCGAATGTACGTAATCGTCCAGGCGAAGTTTCTGTTCCTAACACTTCTATTTGGATTCTTTCATAGATCGCTTAGGACGTGACACCCCTCGGGTAGCGCAAAGATGGGGTTCGCGCTGAGCGTCTTCAACCACTTCTTCACGTTGTTGGGAGCCCCGCATGCGAGATTGGCCTGCAGTAATGCGCTCCAAAGGGCGATGTCGGCGAGGCCTGGCACTGAACCCAGGACGTAGGGCGTCCTGCCCAGTTGTGCGTTGAGGGCCTTGAGAACGGCTTGTTGTTCTTTGTTCTTGCCGTGGATGACGCCGTGGTGAGCCAACGAGAGCCAGTAGTCCATCTCCGTCGCGGTCACCGCATCTCCCGACTCGTAAGAGGGGCTCAGTAGACGCCCGAGGTACCTGCAGCGTATTTGAGCCAGAAATGACGTTGTGTTTCAACCAATATTGCGATGCAGGCTTGTCAGTACGACATCTCGGAATCATACCGTAGTGCATGCAGGTGGAAACGTTAGTAGTAAACTGCATATTTTATGTGTTTATTTCACTCACTCACTCTGAAACACGCGTATTTGTTCTCTATTCTTTAGTAGGCATGATATTGCGCACGCTTGCACAAGAGATGCAATGGAACCTTGATGACGACGACCTGCATTGACAACCATCCGACAAAAATAATTACCCGTTTCTTCTCCAACTCGAATGTAAGATGCGCCACATTTACATACCGTAAGTTTAAAACATTATGAGTCTAACCAGGACTTTAAGCATAAAGCTGTTGTTCCCTAAAATAAGCTAGACAAGTACGATTTTCCTTCATTTAAATGGAAAATTTATTCCTCTGGCAGTTCATTTTCTACGGAGACCCAGCTCTCTGGACTTCAAGACCATCCCTGGTTTCACTCAATTGTGTGCACATCTCGAAGCCGTTATGAAGTTCTATCTACACAGAGTAGCTTATGCGGATCGGCAAGCTCGTCTTAGAGGTTCAGATATTTTCTCATTTTTGGACTGTGGAAACCTTTTTCGGCCGGCATGAAAATTGAAGATACCGTCGCTCAGTTTTGCTACTTACGGTCGCAAGCCTCAAGCACACAAAAAGGATGCGACGCTGCGGCCTCCAGAGTAAAAAATAACTTTTCCTTCGCATGAGCATTCTACATTAACCCATATATGCCCAAACTTGGAAAAATTAACAAAACTAGTTTATTTACCTAAAATGATTGCTTCTACGACCTCAAAAAACAGAACAAGGCTTTTATTATTTAAGGATTTTCATTTGTAGTTGTTTTTACATATAAAATGAAAGGCCAATAAAGCCTAAGCCTAAGAAATGTACAGGTAAACACGAATGCACGCTAGAAAATTAACCACGTGTTTTTAAAAGCTAACTAGTGTTTCTACCGTTCCCCGACGTCAACGATAGAGCATGAGTTAGCAGACACATGCTCAGGCAAGCTATCACGATGTTTCCACGGCTGCTCCGCTGCCTGTCAGCATTATTGATGCCCAAGTGGTCAATTCGTATGGTTTGGTGCCCGACCTTGTACAACCAACCATACAGCTGCACGGAGTTAGCAGGATTGATACTGTAGCTTGACGACAAGATAGTGCCGACATCAGGAGGTGCACCGCATGAAAGTCGACTCTAATGTCAAAATAAAACATCATCTCAGCATTTCTTGAGCATTACACTTGTGTGGAGCCGTCTATCCATTCAAGAGGTGTGAATGACGGGCTGAACTCTTGATTTGGAAATTGGTGCCTGATTTGGTGAAATTGGGCCTGAAACGCTTTGTCAAGTAACCATATAATGGACTCACTTGAACAGGTTTTTGCCCCACAAGTTCAACGTCGCAAAAAATTTTAAGAATTCATCCAGTACAAGCGGAGTTACAAATATCTCTTTCACGATGCAATCGCATTCTCTCTTCTTTCATTTCGACAAAAGCGTAGAGGCTAAGCGGGGAGGAATGGCATGAGCAAAGAAAATGCGTCATGCGCGCCTCATAACCTTGAGCCCCTTTTCTCTCTTTCTTTCCCCCCCTTCAAACATGCAGCCTTTTCTATGTGATTGCACGCACACCCTTTTTTCAATGCGATCGACCGCACACCCGTGGACAGGGTGCGGCCTACCGCGGCGATCCCTGTAACAACCGAGCGCGCCATGTTCAAATCAGCCAATGGCTGATAGAAGCCCTTCTACAGGTGATTTTTTAGTTTCGTCTGTAATTTGTCGAGAGAAGAGAAAGCAACATTTAGCTGACTTTGATAATTTATTGTGAATTGCAGGCCGCCTGCGGTGCCATATTATTTGGCACCCCTGTTGTTGTTTGTTTCTGCTTGATTCATTGCTGCTTGTTTCTGTTTGATTCATTGAAAAAAGAACTGCCAGACGTTACTATGAGGAATGGGAAGAGTAGTTCAAAAGTTCAATTATCGCCATAGAGTTTCGTACAATAATACCTAGAGGGGAACCTGGCGCTAGTGTCTACGCGGGCTCTTTCAGCAGCGCTTGTACCCCCATGGCAATTATGGGAAGTACAGGCTTCGGATGCGCTTCGGATAGATTACGTTCTTAAGATTCGCGACACTGCTATTCCGAGTGTAAAATAATCTCATATGAGCTTATATTTCTTTTAAACTTGCTTTATTTATCTGTACGCAAACTTAATTACGAAAAGATTTTGTGACCAGGCGGCAAAAGTGAAACCTGGGCTAATTCAATCGTCAGGGTATGCGTTACTCTGCCACTGAATTTTTGCATAAAAAATTCAATGACTTATTTTTTTACAACACTTGAAAACAAACATGCTTGTTTTTGTCTGGAAAGTATGCATTATCTTTTTATATAAGTAACAATACAGTATTAAGTAATAAACGCTTAACTTTTTGTCTTCTGCGATGCTATGTGCGTCTGTCCAAGTGTTTTGCCCCCAAAGAACCTCTGGTTCGTTGTGCGGTCGAGTCAGCGGAGCGTGACGGTGCATCTACTTAGCTTCGTCATCGTTTTGCAGTCGATTTAAACCGAGTCTAGGCAAGACGCGTTTGTGGAAAAATATAAACTCGATGCAATATCCTGCACTGGTGTGAAACGCTACATCTATGCGCAGCGGTGAGTGAACGACGCTTCGCGTAAACTTTCAAATATGACTTGTAAAGCCCGAACGTTGCAGCAAATCAAGAAACCTAGCGGTCATCAGCATCTTTGAACAGCAAAGGCGCTGCTTCAGCGCTTTGCACCCCACTCCACTACCCACGCTTCGCGAAGAACGAAACTGAAACTGTAGAAAAACGTTCGTAGACAGTTCGCTAGCTAACCCTATCAGATCCGAAGCCTGCACTTCCCATAATTCCCATGGAGGTACACGCTCGCAGCGACAGATTCCTCTTTAGGTATTATTGTATGAAACTCTATGAATTACCGCCCAGTTAAACTGGACAGGTCACGCCATCTATCGGGGCCAAGTTGAACCAAGTACCTCGGGGCCAATGGCAGGAAATTGTTCAATGGCTGCTACTCTCATTCAGCTTCTACTAGTGTTGGCAGCCACGCAGTAAAGCCGGGCCACGTTGTGCACGGCAACAGTGACGTCAGAAACTCTGCTTGAGGCATGCAATTTGAAGTGCAGTAACCTGATGCGGAGCACTAAAACGCGATTTTATTTGAAAATTAGCACTTCCTCGGCACAAAAGTAACCTTATGACGTTTCTGAACCATTGTTTCAGAAATCAATGTCAACCTAATAGTTGCCCTTAGTGTCCCTTTAAGGAATCCAATGGGAGGTCTACGGAGTAACACCCACTGTCATAGGGGCAAAATAATTGAAGGAAGTTACTTGCTTTAAGGAGCGAATGTGCAATGACATATTATAACAGAAATTTCAAAAGAAAAGCCACATTCTGTTTAAGCAGTTGCCGCCTTTTGCTCACCTGATGAGATTCACCTCTCCCACAATGGCCGCCTGGAGCATCGGGCTCACCATGACTTCGCAGTTCTCGTCCACTGCAAACGAAAAGACAGAAGGGAAGGCGGGTAAGAGTCACTGCGACGTTCTTACACTCATTTATCTATAGTGTGCTACAACTTAAGAAGCGTGATCGGAGCACTGCAGCCTATGGCCTTCGTGATTAAAAAAAAAAAATAGTCCCACACATGCACTTAGCAACGTTCTCTGAAGGCCAAGCGACTCATAACCTTTGCACGTCCGCCGAGACGGGCTTGCGTGGATCCACCTTTGAGCACAGACTTCTAAAGTTGCGCCTGAATATATAGTACAGTACGCACATTTTCTTTAAGCAGCTTCAAACGTTCCACCAGCATTGTAAAAAAAAAAGTATTGTTGGATGTTGCACATTGCTTATAACTATACACTATACAGGCAAGAAATAGCTTGAATACACTCAAACCTCATTATAAACAAGTTGAATTTCACAATAAATTAAGTTTGTTATATCCAAAAATTGGTTATAATATTATTCCTAAAACTAAATCTATAGCAATACTATATTTCATTATATTCGTGTTTGCTATTCACTCAAACCTCGGTATCATGAACCTGGATATAACATAATATAGGTAATAACGAAGTGCATGAAAATTAGCCCTCCATTAGTTATACTGTTAGAAATATACCTTTATAACGAATTTTTCTTATATAGCAAACTTGTTTTTGTGTAAGATGCAACTTTGTTACAATGAGGTGCGAGTGAATTGAGCTTTGAGTGAACAACATATACAGGCAAAAACAGCTCATAGTGCATAAAACACCTGGTTTTCGTTTTGGACTCTGAACTCCAAAATGCATCGGGCTTGGCCACTAGAAGACTATAGACTTTGCAGAAAAACTGATAAAGTCCATAAAGCGATGACTGGGGCCAGTGAGTTCACGTCGAAATTCTGATTGGGACATGAAGGTATTTGGGAGCACAAAACGGACAAGAGGCTCAAGAAGGACTAAACAGGTCGAGCGTTCGCCCTGTTCAGTGCTTCTCATGCATCATGTCTGATTTGCGCCCATTAGTACCTTCATGGATCAGTACAAGCTCAGCCAATGTCCATGCTTCTAAATCCAATTTCCGATTGGGAGTTCATTGAAAGAACCACAACGAAGAATATACTCAGGGCAGTGCTTTGTCTCATTAAACACTGTTAGGCTGATTCTCTCTTTTGTAACGATTCTTTCAATCAGTGCATAATAATGGGGTGTAATGGTTAACGGTACATTGTGGAAAACAACTGTTGACTGTGCAATGGTGTCTAACTACGGTGAGGAAGCAAAGCTAAGATTGTAGAGCCATCCGGGATATCCAGGGCAAAATATGAACATGCCAGCATGCTATCTTTTCATTTACCTAAGGAAAGAGCTAGATTGGTTTAGATGAGTCCATTCAGTTTCTCCCTTTCTGCCAGTTCTTTACTACCGTAGTTTTGGACGCATGCTTATCCCCTTCAGTGGCAGCATATACAGATGTACACATCGAATTCAGAGGCACGTCACACCTCGCGTGTTTATTCAGATGCCTTGAAACGCGGTGTGCACATTTGTGCGGGCTGCCTGAGTGGACGAATACCGGTCATTTAGCTTCTTTACGCTGCAGAATGGTGCAGAGGACCACTTTGCTGGCAGTTCTACCATGTTCGATGACCAGTTGACGTGCAGTTTTCCAGTAATCACATCAAGAGTACTTTTTTTTTCTTTGCTTGAAACGAATGCAACCAAAAAAGAAACTGTGCTTGCACATAAGCTTAGTATTTCGTTCTTTCTATGCGAAAATTGGCTCTGGCTGATTAAATAATAATTAGATACATGCTGATTGGTATTACTTCAGAAACTCACGCAAAACAAAACATTTCTTCATTTTTTTTTCTTGGAATTTAATACTGAGTGCCTTGAATTCGTGTCATGCGAATTTGACACACTTACAGACAGTGGATCATAATTTGCACTCGAAGGCACAAATATATGCTCATGCACATTTTGTCTCGTGTTCATCAAGTGACCAAGTTCATTGAAGTTCAACGAATAATCACCTTGCTTCCACACGAGGGTGAGGGCGAGGTCGTGAGACATGCGCGATTCTGCCAAGGGACCCCTGTCGGGGCCGGCCGTCAGGAAGCTCAGGTTTGCGGGCAAGGCGCCCACAGACGAATGCGTGTGGCATGCAAACAGCACCCGCATGTGCTGCGACAAGAGGCGACGCAGGGGCCAGAGGCTCCACGGCGGATGGTCGGGCGACGCGTTGACGACAATGTCCACGAGGGAGCCCGTCCTCTTGCCGACCTGCATCGGTGCTCTAGCGGGGACAGTCGCCTGCGGTTTCGACAAAGAAAGGGAGTCGAATGCGTGTCCCACTGCGTGATCAAGGTAGCTCAAGAGTTGAAGTTCACTCTTGATGCCAAGAAAGCAAGGAGGGTGGGAAAAAATGTACTCTGTAAGCTGTTTTCTGCCAGCTCTCGTATGTTGTCGAAAAAAACTAGGCAATGGGGAAAGGGGTCTACTTTCAAGAAATATGCATCACCCCACTCATACTACGGCTGGTGATAGTGCGAACAAAAAAAAAAGGCATCATTACATGCAAAATCAGTACAAAGATAATAATTATACAGAGTAGCAAATATCGTCACAAATATACAGAGCCGCCTGGGCTACGAGCTGCACGGGCTAACACTTCATAGGATCACACACATATATACCAAACTAAGTGGACGGGGTAGGGCTTTTTATTATAGCTTGCTTGAAATAGCTTTGGAAGCGTAATTCGAAAGGGGTGGGGTTCCGAATTCATTGAGTGAAAAGGCAATGTTCTGTCCAATTGAAATCACATAACAACACAACATTTATAGACTGCAATTAATGGCCCAAATGCTCTTGTCCTAAAGTGAGATAGACTCATTAGATTGCATTTAACAAAGAAAACAAGCTTCCTCTCTCTATTCTATAACAAATCGTGTAGTAAGGTCCCTAACATGCAAGCCCATGAAACATCTCTCAGAACGTATTGCTGCAATTCAAAATGGATAAATTTGATAACTCCACAATTCAAGGTCTACACAGGCAACAAGGAGCAATGCTACAAACTTGCATTGCATTGACAAATTCAATGACCTCGTTTGACGGCATCCAAGCATCATAATTTTCAATAAAGAAAGACCTGTCACCAGCCGCACTAAAACAGTTCTAGAAAATAAATCACACCAAATTACCATATCATCGATCATGTAAAACTGCGAATTCAGTTCGCAACAATGGCACAACGGTCACGTGACCAACAGTGCCCGTTACGTCACTTTTCTTGATAAGAACAGCGAAAAACGACAAAACAATGTACCGTATTTTGCTACGAATAATGCTCGGCGCCTGGGCCACGAACGTTGAATTTGTACACAATGTACGTGGGGAAACGGCTGACACTATAGCGTGTGCAACTGTCGATGATTTAGGCGCAGCCGATGCATGCAAACTAACGCAGCTGCAGTGCAAAGACCTCCCGTGCGAGACGTATGTCAACGTCCTCTCACGTTTGCGCTCACCGTTTCAGCTGTTCCACCAGGAATGGGTTGCCGAGAAGTCGACTTGGCCGCAACGTTGTCCACAAGCCCCTTCAGGTGGTTCAACCTCTCTATTAGCTGCTGTTGCCGGCGTTCTAGCTCGGCTACCATGTCACCCGTGTCGTTGATGGGCATCTGTATTAGAAAAATCACGAACTCTCACAGACGTGATCACACCATCAAATTTTCATAAGCCACGCTGCGCAAAGGAGGTTGCTAGGGAGGAATCACAAGCAAGTACTTTCGGTAAGAAGGCGCAGATAATAAACGAAGCGGCCGAGATCCCTCTAAACTAGGTCCACGCTGGTAACATGTGTTCACAACCCCCTCACTTCGAGATGTTATTTATAGAGCAACGGTCGGCTACTATTTATACAACAATCGCGGTGTGCAGCCATTTCGCCACTGCCGGGCTATTTGTGCGGTAAACATTTACCTCGAGTTAGTGCTGATAAGGTGTGCTCAACAGGTAGACACGCGAACGCTGCAGGTAAACACGAATCCTGCCAACGTGGTTGCGTCAGGTCTGCTCTGACGCCGCAGCTGCCACTTACCACACCGTTCGGCATGTTGGCAGCGGAGGTCCCGCCGTACACGCTCGCCACCCTGTACATGCAAGTCGGGAGCTCGACGGAGGCGATTTCTTGGTAGATCGGCGTCACTCGGTACATGCAGCCGACCGGTGCGGCGGATGCCATGTTTAGAGATACAAGTTGTGTCAGCGCATTGACAGGTGGCGCGAGTTTTCCCGCTCGTTTGAAAGGCTCGCTCTGATTGGCTAAGGTGGCCATTATTTTCGGATACCAGAAGGATCACTTTTTTAATGGCCGATCACGTTTGCATCGCAATTCTGGCCCGCTCGATTAAAGCCTTTGCTTCCTACGGCTGGTGTCAAGGCACGGCCGTCGCCGCAAACTTTGAGATTAGCTGGTGCGACGATCTTTCGCCTTTTGAAACGGCTATGGCGGCTGCCAGTCTGGGCCAATCAGAAGCCAGCCTGGCGCCGAGAAGGATAACGCAATATGTCGAACAACAGAGCCGTGTGTCGCGCCCGCTTGATCGATTTCGTGGCCGCGTGACGCGAAATTTTGCCCAACGGTACGGTGGCCGCGTGATTTGTGCTTTCCGACTGTGCGTGTGAACACTCTGCTGCCCGCGGGCCGAGCTCGTATGCGGAGACGGCGAAGCGACGTTTGTCAATGGATGGGTCACGTGATCCCGACAGCGGTAATGGCGGCTCGCAAAATGTAGGCCCAGTATGGACCGTTTGCAGGGAAATACCGAGCCCCAGGTGAATATTGGGCCCCAGCCGGGCCGGAGAAAGCTTCCCTAGCGGTTTCGGGTCGATACCGAGACCCAGAGATGTCCTCGCGGGGCCGCAGGGGCCGCGGTAGACCGCCCAAGTCGGCGGTACTGTCGCATAGGCCTAGCCTGCTGAAAAAGCCTCGCTACCTCTACGCTGGCTCAAGCAGCCAGAGCTCGCGGCTCGGACTTCCCTTGCGCCCGTACGAGAACAGCACGCCGCAGCTCAAACAGAGGCTCCGCGAGAAGTCGCAGAAGGTGCGTTCCTTCATTCAGAGCGTGCTCGGAGGAGGGGACGACGAGGACAATGACTTCGAGCCGCCTCCGTCCAGCGGGGACGAGAGCGACTACCAGCGCGCCGAGGACGAAGAAGACGACGACGACGGCTCGGTGGCGAGCTACGAGTCGGACGACGTGAGCGTGTACTCGCAGAGCAGTTACAGCACCATCTCCAGCTCGACGCCCGCCAAGCGCAAATGGACGCGACGGGCGCACAGCCCGGTGTTTCTGCAGGAGCGCGAGCTGCCCGCGCTGGCGCTTCCCAAGAGCTCGGAGGATCTGATCCTGCCCACGTGCCACACCATGCGCGCCCTGAGCATCTACGAGACGCTGCGCCACTTCAGGAACATCCTGAGGCTGACGCCGTTTCGCTTCGAGGACTTCTGCGTCGCCCTGATGTCGGACGAACAGTCTGCGCTGCTCTCGGAGGCGCACATCGCCCTGCTGCGCGCCATTCTGCGCGAAGAGGAGGCCGCCGGCACGCAGTTCGGTCCGCAGGACCTCAAGGACAGCATCAACGTGCACCTGTACATGGTGGACGCCGTGACGTGGCCCGCGGTGTTGCGCATGTACCTGACGAGCGACCCGGAGTACCGACCCATGCTCGCCGCGCTGGAACGGTGCGAGTATCCGTTCACCGCCGTGGCCAGCAAGCTGAACGTGCTGGAGTTTCTGTGCGACCAGTTCCTGACCACGGCGCAGGCCCGCGAGGACATCACCAGCGAAGGCGTGGCCAAGCACGACGACCACTGCCGAGTTTGTCACAAGCTGGGCGACCTGCTGTGCTGCGAGACGTGCCCTGCCGTCTACCACTTGGCGTGCCTCGACCCGCCCCTGGAAGATGTGCCCACCGAGGACTGGATCTGCACGGTCTGTCAGGCCAACCAGGTATTGAAGCGTAGTATGGCGAGTCGAAAAGTGGCTTTCGCAAAGCCCCGAATGGTTTAGGAATCGTGCTGTGTGTGTGCGGTTGAGATGTTGATGACGCTGCTGGTTCGAGTGGCACGAGAGGCTGGTGTTTCCAAATTCATGTGGCATGGATAGGAGGCAGTGTTGATTTATCGTTCATAAATAACACCTTTTTTTTCTCGGCTTGCTTGCTTCTGATATCGGCGTCGCGGTTTATAAGCTTTCTTTTTTGACAGTGCTGTCAATGTTGTCGAGTGTGTGAAACCTGCTGTCCTCGTCACAACTTTCCCAGTAACCGTATAACTGTTTCATCCGTGCATTGCCCCACGAAATGACCAATTTGGCTTCAATTGTTGGGGGCACCCTCTTCAGTGGTCTAGATTTGCCAGCCACCTCACTAAAGTGAAAGTGAAAGCGAGCAAAGTCTACAACACATGTTGATAGTGATATACAAATGAAGGCTTGTTAATTGTATGGACACATGCATCACTACAAACTGTTAATGGCAGACGAAACCTACCATAATTAAAATAGAAATTTGAATTGTATTGCACACAACTGAGCACAATGTCAATATCAACCTGGTTCTAGTTTAAACAAGCAACTGCGTCACGAGTGTGCATTGGTGGCTATGCTCTTTGCATGTGCTTTCTTCTGCAATTTACTATGGGACGTCAATATCAACTTGGTTGCTAGGCCGACAACTTTCTATGTTGCAATTTTGTGTTTGCTGCATTGCTCCCGGCGTGCGCTCATTGCTGCAGTTGTCAACACGGGCCCCACGTGCACACAGTAAGTTACTGTGTTGCGTGGTCACGTGGCAAGACGTGTTTACAAAACAAACGGTTCTGGCATCTTCCACCCTCACGATGCTCGGTGAAACCTAAACTGCGACTGAGTGCTACAAAAACGTCTGCTCCTGTGTCGTGCACAAGCAAGTGTGGCTTCCAGCCACGACAAGAGCATCATTGGCAGCTTGTCGCAACAAAACAGGATACAAATACTGCCATATAGGTACTTCTTTGAGCGGGTGGCGAGTTATTTCATCGTTATCGATGGCACGCGACAACTGTCGTGAATGCAAGATTCCCTACGACAGCTGGAGGATATTGATTTCGCCGTGCAGGTTGTGCGGAATGCATGCCATGATGAATAGGAAAGTGGCTCTCATTAACAAACCTTCTCTCGGTGTAATGGATTAATTGATGAAAGGTGTAGAATTTGCGGAAGTGGACGTGCCGGTGCAAGTAATGGGAGCGGGAGGCAACGTTTGTTACTTGTTTTTGAGAAGTGATGTGGTTTGTATTTTGAGATGGTTCCTCCTTACAGTGTACTGGCCTTTCACCCACCATATTCACGCTTTTACAGACTAATTGAGCTTTGGATAACTGATAAAGTACATCATGCCAACCTAGATCGGGTTGGACCAGTTAAAAGTAACCTCACTGGAAGATGCTGGACTGATGGTGATGAATAGTGCTTTGAAGTGAATAAACACGTAATTTTACCCACGTTTATATTGCTTGTGGGCTAGATAGCATAACCTTGCGATGGCTGTCACTGTGAATTGTTATAAAACTCTGATGTAGAAAAAGAAGTTAAGCTGAAAAATTATGCTATGAAAACTCATGTCATCAATTCCACTGCCGTAGGTTTAATAATAATGGGAAAGAATGTGTTGAAAATCACTTCTCAATTTCCCACCGAAATTTTCATAGGTGAAATCGTGGATCTTTGAAGCATTTTTCCGTATTTTGTCTGCATTAGGTCAACGAGGTTTTGTTGAACGGGATAATATAAGTTAATGGCTCTCTCGGTGGACAATGTTCTCCGTTTTTACCAATTTCGAGCTATTTACGCCCTAGTAAACGTTCAGAAGTTTCTGACATCAATGCCGTAGCTTCGATGTGTTGTAGCCATCCATATTTCGTTTTTGAATGTTTTCCCATGGTAAGCGGCATGTTATTGTGAACAAGTAATTTACTAAAATGAGAAAAATTGTTTATCTTTGATGTCTCTTTAAATACACAGAAGCAGATCCAAGCAATGTTACTTAATTTTTTTATAGATCGTAATCATTAGTGTGACCTTACTTGCCAGACAAACCGCACAAGGCTTTGTAAAACTTTTTTTTTTATTCCTAACAAAGTGTGTCGAGGTACCTACGTGAGATGGGACTAAAGGGAAGCGTCAAAGGGTAGTCAACTAACGTGTGCCACATTAGAACGGTCAAGCAGGGCACTCTGGCTAGTCTTATCGGCGTTTCTACTAGTTGAATTGACATAGAATGGCTTCGAGTTGACATAAAATGGCTTGCTCGTTCGGTGGGGTACTGATACGAAAAATTTTCATTTTTTTACTAGTGCTGCGCCTAGAAAACGAGTGCTTGTGCCCTGTAAAATTAATTATACATCTTTAAAAGCTAGTTTTGGTTTCTACTGTGCCGTGTTGTCACGATGTGATACAACCTTCTTGTCATGTGCTCATCCAACATGTGACATTTTCATGGCTGCTCAGCGCTGTGGCTCTGTTGAAGATGTACAAGGGGTCATTTTGTATGCTCATGGTAATGCGCAAGGGCCCTCGTTGAATGTTTTCGGACCTGATGTCATGGCAGCTAGCCATATCAGTGCACGAAGTCTCCGAGATCGATACTGCAGCCTGATGTCATGCTACTTTTGATGTCGGAAGGTGTGCCTTGTGAAAATTGATATTAAAGGGACACTAAAGGCAACTATTGAGTCAACGTTGATTGTTGAAATAGCAGTCCGAAAATCTCTTAGTGTGACTTTTGTGCCAAGGAAGTGTTTATTTTGAAATAAAATCACGTTTTAGTGGTTCGCATCAGTTTAGCGCACTTCGAATTAGCCGCCTCAAGCGGAACGTATCAGGTCACTGTTGCTTTGCATAACTAACATTGCCCGGCTTTACTGTGTGGCTGCCGACACTAGTAGCTGCAGAATGAAAGCAGCGGGTGCCACAGCAGCAACAACGGCCATTGAACAATTTCCTGCCATTAGCTCTGAGATGGCAGACGTGTTTTGGTTCAACTGGCCCCGCTAGATGGCACGACCTGTCTACTTTAACCAGACGAAAACTGAACTTTTGAACCATTCTCGCCATTCCCCATAGTAACAGCTGGCAGTTCTTTTTCCAATGAATCAAACATAAACAAGCAGCATTTTATTGAGTCTTGAGATACGAAGGTTCCTTGCTGGCGCAGCTAGTTCGATTACTAGTGATTAATTGTAGGCAGTACGTCTGACTTGATCGCGATCATGTTGCGAGCATCCTACTGTGGCGCATTTGTTCTCGTGCATTTACCTTAATTTTTCCGTAAGTAGGGCAGTGCTGTTGATAGTATTGTCGTTTCAGACGTCATACATTGAGCTTTCACTCTGACATAAATCGTTATTTGATTGATGTCTCTTTAAAAGGGCACTAAAGAGAAACAGGGACTTGGTTTATATTGACGAACTGCCCTCTGTAAACTGTGCTGCCATGGGGTTCACTATCATCAGTTCATTATTCACGAAGAAATCAAAGTTAAAGTTTCGTTTTTAAATTTGACGCCGAAATCTGCGTGCGTTGTGTCCCAAGTTTCAAAATGCATTTTTAAAATTTTTGCCTCATTGTCTCAATGAACTTTTGCATTTAAGCAAGTTCTATGCTACTCACAGATTACACTGTACTTCATCTTTATAGATTGCAAGCTACGGGAAAACCAGCAGACGCCATCATAATCTATTGACGTCACTGTATTTAGTGTGGGAATGTCAAAGTGGCTCTTCACCCGCATTTTCTTTTCGCGCATTTTCTTGTTAATTAAGTGTGGTGTCGCAGCGAAAGTGGTGTTTTCAGGATTATTAATACGCAAAAAGCAGTTTCGCTCCTTAATGTCCCCTTAAGGAAAAATAAAATATCTCAGCATCATTTATTGAGTGTCACACTAGCACAGAGCCACCTCTGCATATGGCAGATATGTATGGCAGAGTAAGCACAGCTCTGGAAATTCGTGCCGTTACCTCTTTAAAAATGCATCGCTTGAGCACACACGCGGCACCCGTCTGTGTAGCTGCAATTGCAGCTCTCAACTTCTTCTCCAAGTAGCTGCAAACACAAGATAAAAACTAGGCCCGATTTGCGGCCTGACAAGAAGTTCGCGTCCGTCAGCTGCTTTTCTTTATCTTGGTCTGTGCTCCTGTGCACTTCCAGATGGTTGCTGCAGCAGTGGCGGCGACTTCAAGCACAGTTCTTAAAATGTCGCGACAGCACATCCTCTGATTTTCAGTTGAGACAAATGCAGGATGCCTTGATGCTTTAGCAGCGAAGCCGTTCAAGCCAACCATTAGTTTGGGCAGAGTGGACAGAATACCATCGTTATCACAGATAGGACATGCGTTCTCTTCGTCCTCTTGTGCTTCACTCCCATAACGCGTGTGCCATTTTGTCCAGTGAGAAATGCAATGACTGATTGGCAAGAGAACAAGCACACAGAGAGAGAGGGAGATAGAAAATAAGGGAAGGACTGAAACAGATTGAAGCAATGTCGACGGAGAAAGATATAGAAAGAAAGCAAAACAGGAAGGAAAGGGAAGATAGAAAAATATGGAGAAAAACATTGAAATGGAAATAGATACAAAAAAGAGCTAAAAGAAACTGAAAGAGAGGGAGTGAAAAAAAAAAAACAAAGTTGAGACCCAAGGCAGGCCACCCAGCTTTGAACTACCTTCTGGTTTGGCACCATGAGTGTGAAGCTGAAATTTTGTAAAAATTTTCTTATTTTATTAGCCATTTAATTAATTAAAGGTGATGGCAAATTCATGTAGTCTTTTGAAAAGGTTATCCTCATAGAATACAGATCTTTTTTTCCAATTAGGTATTGGCTTAATTTTATTTCTTCTTCTTTTTTGTGTAGTTATACTTTGACATTCGTTTGCTATTGGTACTCTGACTGTCATGGGCTCCTGTGCAAACCTTTTGGCGACGCTCAAAAAATATAGCCGTTATCTTTGATTTGGGAATTAACCTTTGCATCACCGCCAGGGTCGAAGTTGATTGGCTAGTTACACTGTGCTCTAGCATACAGCGCTGTGGTGTTGAATTAATTGACTGGAAGAATGGTTACTAAATGAGAGTTTTAGAGTTATCCGTGTTGGGCTGGTGTTCTTCGAAAGAGTAGATTTGAATGCAAAACTCTCTCTGCGGTTTGCAGATTCTTCAAAACGCCTTATTTGGCTAATGCTTCATCAGGGGTGCATGCAATCTTGAACACGTTTTGTGATGCATTCTGTCATGCCACGTCAGATTGGTTGACATTTAGTGCATTGTAGTCTAGGCTTGCCCATGCATTTTGGCCGTGAGAACAGCAACTAGAATTGCTCATTGCTGTCAATCATTTTATCGTCTGCTTGGCAAGGAAATGATGCAGACACATTTTCTTCCAATAAACTAAATAGAACAATCTCCAAGTGACTTGGATTGGATTAAATATTGAGCACTTGGACTGTAGAAATGAATTAGCCTGCTTTGTGCCTGGCGTAGTTCAATCCCATGCCAACGGTTTGCGAAAATGGCCACTAGTTCCGTCTTTGAAACGTCTCGTGAAATTGCTACATCATGTAATGCCCTGTTTAGACATTAGCACAAATCAATCTTTGAAGTCATCATGTTCTTCAGTTTAAAGCTTTGCGAAACAATGCCTTCAAATAGTGATATGCAGTTAGAGTAACTCTGTATTACTTGGATCATTGAGAACTTTTCCGAATTCATTGTACAGTGCCCCAGCAAACGATCAAAATGTGATGCATTATTTCGAGGCAGCTCTCGCTACTATTGGCTCCCTCCTCTATCCCATTCTCTAAGGATATTGAGCTCCGTTCTGTCATAGAATGCATAAAAAAGTTCTTCCATATCCACGAAGTGGATGATGATCAGTAGGCGAAGCTCCGGAGGTAAACCTGGTAAACCATGAATCCTCCGTACATTTTGCCCACTCGATTTTATTACAACGCTCCCCCTTGCGTACGTCGCCGCACTTCCACCAATGACACGCACCATATGTAACATCATTCCAATTTTATAACATCTCGCATCTTTCATCATCAACTACAAGTACCACCGTCTAGTTTACAACATCTTCCATCTTCTCATCATCAAATACAAGTACCAACATCTAGTGAACACTGCGAAAACTAAACGAGCGGTGGCTACATACAGGAGACGGTACCGCCATCTAGTGAACACTGCAAGAACTAAACGAGAGGTGGCTACATACAGGGGACGCACAGCCCACGCCTTAAGGAGCTTCGCCCCTAAAAAAGGTTGTGTCCCTTGAGTTAAACCCTGTATGCTTTGACCTCAGCTTTTTATTTATTTATTTAGATAGCAAAACAATCTTAATGGCTACCTTGTGATGTAGTATGATGAGGTGCATTATGAAGAAATAAAACAACGCAAAGGTGACATTGTTCGGAGTCAGCAGCATTGCTGTCTGGCAAATTTCACAGTCAAATAGGCTGAATTTTGTTTGTTCGCTTTGTGTTTTATCACTGTGTGCTGTTATTTTGTTCTTGCTTGTATGCTTCATTTGTTGTTTAACCACGTTCGCAGGTGTCCGGCGTCACAGACTGCATATCGGACATCGAGAAAGGGGGCCTTCTCAGCCGACAAGAATGTTTGGGCCTCGATCGGCACGGCAGGAAGTACTGGTTCCTCTGCCGAAGGATCTTCGTGTGAGTAGCCTGACTTTTATTGCTTGTGGCAAGGTGGTGTGTGTGTGTCACGAACTGAAGCATGACATTGGTTTCTTGAATGAATTCTGGACAAAAATTCTGAAAAGCAGGCAAAAACATTGAAAAAATTGTACTCAAGACGCGACTGTTTCAATGAACAAAGTTGGTTTCGCGTAGTTTTGTACAGTTCGCTTTATCTCTAGTGGATTGTTGGTAAACGGCGTTTGCATGACAACACTAGTTTTGAAGTGACTTCCCACGGCACATGTAGAGTGCACGCGTTTCTGTCCTCTTGCCCTTCTACACCTCTCGTATACATCTCGCGCCCCGTTTCCCCAGAAACACTGAGGCATGCCCCATTATTTAGGGGGCTTTTAAGTCGGCCAGGAGCATAGTTCGTGGCCAGTGCAGTGGTTCTGGGAATCTTGTGGGAGCTGAATGAATATCAACCGAATATGATTGAGGCTGTTGGAGTATGTGTGAAAGAATTGCGAAGAGGTGAAAGGCAGGGTACAGTTGGATGCTGCGTGGTTGTCAGTTGTTTGTTTTCCATTTCACTTGGACTACAATGGCTTCAAGTACCTGCCATCTTCACAAAGAACGCTTTGTTCTTGTTGACTGTGGGGTTGCCAAAGCCCCAAGATTACCTTGCTTCACAATATGAATGCGTCGAACCGGGATTCACATTTCAGCGAAGGGGAGAACAACGAGGCGTTCTACTACTCAACGCCAGCCCAGCTCGAGGAGCTGCTCGACGTGCTCGACGCGGAAGACTTGGAGCTGGACCTGTGCCGGACCATCGCCGAGTTCCGCGAAGAGATTGTCCGCCACATGGAGCTCACCGAGAAGCTCACAAACTCGTCCAAAGGAAACCGGAAGACGTACCTGGACTCCGAAAACGGTACCTTTGCGTCTTCCAGTCTTGAAAGCCGAGCTTTGTTCAACTCTTGCCTGCTCATAGCATGAACAGCTTTAAACTAGGGCCAGTCCTAGAGGTAGTCTTTAAGGGGCCCTGCAACAGTTCTCCTGCTAGAAATCATTCCCTCGACAAATGACGCAACAAGCTTGAATGGCTGTATCGTAAACTCGTAGTCCACGGTAATTGGCTTACTTGAGTACTGTGAGTCCCATTGTTTGCCCTGGCTATCGTTGGATGGCTCGACGTGCACGCGCACTTGATCACGATTAGACTGATAGTAAGCGGTGCCTTGCAACGTAAAAATAAGAGAGAGCTTGTGCCACGTGCCGACGGATGGGCGCCTCCTCCTTGCCCCCCTTTTTAACACCCCCATCCCTATGTAGCTTTCAGTGCGCTTGCTGATAACAAAAGGAGAAAGTGCTTGGAGGATGTGACAAATCCTTGTAACTCCAATAGTACTTGACGGATTGTTATGGAAAACATTGCAACAGTAGATGGGCTCTTCATAATTCACAAGTGCGCTTCTCTGCACTGCACGTTTAAACAAGTAATGGTGGCACCTGTCGTGCTTCCAGGGAAGATTCGGACCTGATTGAATATGCTGGGCTTGTCTATTCTGAGTGTTTATATCAAGAGAGGACACTCGACATTTTCCACGTCATTGTGTGAGCGAACCGCGCTTGAACAGGCTATTTGCATCGAGTGACAAGCCGTCATTACTTGTCTAAACTGCAAAGCAGTAAAGCTGCCTTTACAATTATAAAAAGGTCTATTCTTAGAGCAACCGGCTTTTTGCATGAAGTTTTGTATAAAGACCATGCAAAACATTAATTGGCAGTGTTGACTCAATGGGGCGATTCTGTCACTCTTGCGAGGCTTCTGTCAACAGGGTGCCAGTTGTCTTAGTGTGTTGGATGGTGTCATTTGGGACTCTTGAGTAAGCCTGCGGTCATCGCCTGGTGTCGCAAATGTAGTTGGCTGTATGCTTGGATGCATGTGGGATCAAGTCTAACAATGTTTCACTAAAGTGGTAGTAACCTTATAATAATATGTGGGGTTTTACGCCCAAAAACCACGATATGACTTTGAGGGACGTGGTTGTATCTTTAAAAATGGTTAAATTGAAGGTGCCACTCGAGTGGATGATGTGCCGCTGCGAGCGTTTTATGCGAGGGGACAATACGTATCAAAAGTTATCTGGGGCTACGTGCCCTGAGATCCAGTCACCTGTGCAATATGTGTCACACAGGTTAATAATAAACTACTAATAAATAATAAAAGAAACAAACGAAGAACATGCAGTTGGACACACCTATAGGATTGACCAAATTGTTAGCCCGTAGTGTCTCTGACTATGTAGGTCTATCCAGCAGCCCTTGCATGATCTTTAGATTGCCTTTTTTTTTAGTTTTCTGCCAAATTTTTATGAAGCTAGCTGTCACATTCTGCATTTATAGGAATGTCTCATGTGTTACGTTTCTGTGGTTCCAAGCATTGCGGACATGCCCCCTAAACAGGAGTTGAAGAGAGATGCATTCTGTATTGCGTGAAATAAGCAATAGTTTTCTTCGATTTCAGCCCATTTGTCAGCTGGCTAATTTGTCTACGTCCTCATCTAGCTTCACCGTAATGCTGTTGCAAACGTCTTCTCTTGTCCTAAATTTTACAGTTAGGTACCAGGTACCTGTTACCAATTTTGCATAAAGGTAGCTGTGTTGTGGGGTGGGTAACAGGACATTGACAGATTGTACCCGTGTGTTGTTGCAGCTGCCCTGGCCAAGGTACAGGCTGAGCGGGCGGCGAGGAGAGCCAAGGAGGAAGAAGAGCGGAAGCTGCGAGAGGCCCAGGAGGCGGAGGAGCGGCGGAGGATAGAAGAAGAGAACGCGGTCAGTCCCCTCTCAACATTGCGGGGCGAATGCCGTACTGGAACACTAGTTCCAACGTGCTGAGGCTCGTCTACTGTGCGTGTCTATATCATGAGAGCAGCCTCTACATTTTCCACCTCGTATGATAAGCAACCCGCACTTCAGTGGGGTATAGTGACTAGCCGTCACTAGTTGTTCATACCGCAAAGCAGTGAAGCTAGCATTACAGTTTTGAAAAGGGTCTATTGAGTATAACCAGGATGACTATTGGCAGTCTGAGAGGGAGTATTCAACAACTCGAAGCACATGGACAAAGAATATTGAAGCCTGTTTTTTCTGAGAAATCCATATGTATTTCTTTGCGCCTCTATGCTTCAAGCAAACGCTTATTAATTTTAAAACCATTCTGGCACCTTGTAAAATTCTGCAGAACTCGTTTGCAAAATGGAGTTATCTCTGGGCATTTATTAGTAAGTGAACTAACTCGATTTCATTTAGTTTAATTATTTGTTAAGGGCCTTAGGCATTGTTTACTCGGAAAATCAAGAAGTTAATAAAGGCAAATAGTAACGCAAAAGAATGTAGTTAAAACTAATAGCTCCACATTAATATGGCCAAATGTGATTGGTACTTGATGACAATAATAATTACTGTGATATTGCCAGAACAAATGACAATTCTTGTTATTAGGTGTGATGACAAGCATCAGTGTTAGACTGTATTTGTGACTTTTAAATGAGACTTGGCTTAATGCTGGAGGATTCCCTCATTGTCTAGTTTTGGCTAGCGGTATTTGTTTGCAGCATAATGAAGCATAGTGTGCATTGCAGTGGGGATGAGGTTTTGGTACGTGAACCAACAGGAGTTGATCGTAAACTTTAATGTTGCAGGCACTCGCGGCAGCCAGCCTCGAAAGCGCGGCGCACCGCTTCCTCAACGCGGAGGATGACGGCCTACTCATGCCGTGCCCCACCAAACCCGAGGACGGCTTCTCGCACTTGGCGGAGGTGCCGCAGATGGTCGAAGAGGAGATGAACGTCGCGTCGCACGCCAACATCCTCGACATGGGCATCGACGAGCCCAAAGTGGAGTGCGGTGGCGGAGTGGAAGTGGCGACGTCTGAAATGCTGGCGCCCGCAGAAGAACAGATGGAGGTGGAGACGAAGCCCGTTGTCACGGAGACGGAAGAGGAGGTGACAACCACCACTATGGTGACTACGGTGGTGACTACGACGACAAGCACCAAAACCGTCACTGTGGGTGAGTCGCAGAGAGACATGTTATAAAATTTTGAGTGATTAAATTTACTTTAAGAGATTCTTCTCATTTAAAGCACGTTTCAATGTATGTGCAGATGTTATGTCTCATAATTTGGCTTACTGACAATTCAATTTGAAAGCAAGGTAAACAAGGACTATTGTGTTTCTTGTACTTGATGATTTGAGGACTTGCACGCTCGCAAAGATATGCTACGAAAAAGGGATTGTCATGCATCCGAGGCACATAGCTGTCATTTCATTCTTTCGTTATTCTTGATCTTTTCGAAACATTTAGTGAAAGTCAAGGAAGAAGATCCGGATGATGCAGCCAAAGTCGAATCCAAAGCAGTGCCTGAAACCAAAGAGGGCGAGGAAAAAGAGATGGAAACGGAGCAGTCTGATGCGAAAGCCGACGACAGTTCTGCGTCAGCGGACGGCAAGAAACCCTCGGAGGAGGACAGCGCAAAAAAGGCGGCCGGCAAAGGGACTGGGAAAGAGGAACCAGACAGTGAGGGTTTTATGACTTGGTGTGCTCTCTTTGCGTGGTCACCTGTTGTAAGTGATAGTCAATTGTATCACGCGGTGATATCTCTGTGCTGCTCTATGTGCTGCTCTATGTGATGTCAGCCTACATTCAAACTGCTAGCTATGTTTAAGTGGTGGACGAAAAAGGAACCACAGAAAGTACATTGCAAAATTTCTTTATACCAATGTCAGCTTGGAATCTGCCGTATTTACTCTCATAATCCCTGCACTTTTTTTTGGCAGAAAACTGATGAAAAGTTGGGGGGTGCGAGAATTACGGGGGGAAAACTTCCCACAAAAACATACAGAGCGAAAAAGAAAACAAAGTGGCCGCAATTTGGAATTCTCACACGAGCAACTAACAGCAAGCTTTGAGAAGTACTAATTAAAATTTACCTCGGCAACAATAAGAGCAGAGGTTCAACCCAACGCAAGATTTATTTGAGACACAAAAAATGCAAGCAAATAGTCGAGAATCAGAATACCATACGCAAAGCTTGTGGGTGTTGCAGGCGTAGTGGTAGCGCTCGTCACTCAGCAGGAGCCCTTAGAAGGTAAGCGTAGGATGTCAGTATTGGACTGATGGCTATGTAACAGAATCGTCCGCTGTTTCCTTCTGAAGAAATAAGTTTACCATCAATACCAATCTTATGCACACGGCAGGCCCAATGCGTCTTAGTGGCTTTCAGCTGCCGTCACCAGTAGGGAACAGAAAACTCGTCGAATCTGAAGGGCCTACCGGCAGCCCTGTTGCCGTTGTTTAGTGCATGATCAATCACTTTCAACTTGAAAGCAGCTGTGTAGCTTCAGTTTCGCTTCATAACGTGACAAGATTACCGACACAACAATCAAAACACGCCCCAACGTGCATTTGCCGCTTTGGCTTGGCTTGAATTAGATTGAATCTCTGTGCTATAATAGTACACTTGATTCTTAAAATATGGCGCCATATGGTGTGTGCTATCATCATTAGTGGTTTGAATGAGCAGACAACGTTATTGTGGCAGTTTTTGAGGGTGCGATAATTACTCGAGGAAAAAAAGAATCTTATCTTTGTTGGGCGATGTGGGGGGTGCAAGAATTATGCGAGTGCAAGGATTACAGAGTAAATATGGTACATCTCTCCATTACATGCATTATGAATACTGAATCAAAATGGAATATATTTAATGGTATGATGCAATGTAACAAAGTTCAACAATTTGAAATCTGAAAGGGTTTGACTTGATGGTTACAGTGTTTTTTGCATTGACCCAGGCATGTCTGCGGCATGTAGTTTTATGAAACGCTCAACCTTTTTTTTTCCAGGCGGTTCTCGCTCCTCCATTGTGACTCGATCCAAGACCGGTTCGCTGGTTCCCCGGAGCTTTGCCTTTGACACCACGAGCCGGTCCACGGGCACCGCCAAGAAGTCTGGTGGAGGGACAGGGGGCGGCGGTTCGCCAGACGGTGACAGCGAGTCTGTGCTGGTGCTCACCAAGGATGGGGAGATCTCTCGGGTGACACGGAGCAAGGCAACCGGTGCGGTGGCCCTCAATTCAGGCTCGCTGCTCTTCAAGCTGGGCATGGAGGGCAGCTACCGCAGCTTCACAAACCAGTACAACAGCAACACGCTGGCCCTGAACAAACACCAGCACGCCGAGGACAGGGACAAGCGGCGGCATCTGTCGCACAAGTTCTCGCTCACTGCGGCCTCCGAGTTCAAGGTAGGGGGGGCGGGGAGATAGTTATTTGGGGCTTTATGTCGGTGGTTCTCAAATGGGGTGCATAATATCATTTTTGGGGGGTCTTCAAACCCATGGGCACAAGAAAGAGAAAGAAAAACATTTTGTCCAGGCAAAATATGTTTTGTAACAGTGGATACTTCTGTTTTTTTTTTTCTCCTCATCGCACCTTTGCATTGTGGCAGAGCTGACTTGTGCTCCTCTTTCTTCATGAAATGACAGCAAAGCGTTGCAGTTTTCTACGGCATGTGTCTGCAAACATAGTTAGACACAAGTAGAATGTGGCTGCAGACTGCACAACTTACTGGCCAGCTGTTGAGATTCAATTGGTGTGCCTTTGTTTGAGAATTGAAAGACAGCTATTTCACTCTGCATGTTGGGTTAATCTGTGCCTCTCCATTTTTTCCTCACTGGATGGGGTACTTTATCACTTCCACCTGTCCACAAAGGGTCACCAAGACGTCCGTGGCTGGGAACCATTGCATTGTACTGTCTTGTTCCTTGATGTGCCACAGTAAAACTATGAGACGCAATCCTAAAGCGTAATCATTATGCTTCTTCAAGATGGGTCAGGGTGAGGTTCTGTGGAATGGCAAACCAATGAGATGTGTGCAAAGATGGGCGAGGGTGAGGCTCAGTACGACATACCAGTCAGAGGCACGACAAGAAGGGGCGTATCGAGGCCTAGTGAAGAAGGCGAGCCTATGAGAGGTGTGCATGAGCCTGATAGAGGGGGTAGCTGTTTCGACAAGTGCTTACGAAGGAAAAATGAGTGTCTTTTGTTTTTTTTTTTTCATGCCACACTTTTTCTTTTATTGTGAATCGGCTGAACAAAGGGCGCGTCTTTCGCTGGTTTTTTTTCCTCATGCGCACAGTGGGGCGGTGCCGTGCACGGCAGCCGCGCAACGCTTGTAGGCACCCTGCGGCAGACCCTGCTCCAGCTGGAGAGCAACATCCCGGCTGCGCTACTGCACCCCAACTGGGCCATCCACCGGGGAAACTGGCTGCGCGCGGTCAACATGTGCACCTCGCCCCGCGACTTCTCCCTTGCCCTGGCCATCCTGGAGGCCTCTGTCAAGCCAGTGCTCTTCAACGCCGCCTGGAGCGACTCACTCGGTGCGTGCTGTCGTTTTATCTTTTTCTTGGTTGTGGGAACGCTGTGCAGACTGTCTGAGAGAACACCTGCATTCACAGCATATTAGTCACGCCCGTGAAGATTGTTTTCTTATCCACTTGCTGTTACAGGGCCAGCAATATCAATGGTGCTCATTTAAGTGTTGCCTTCAACAGTGTACATTCGGCATGCTGTACATTTGGCAAACATTTGAGGGTTACGACATGAAATTGAATTACAGGTGACTTCATAAGTGACAAATGGCTATAAGAGACACGAATATACCTACAGTAAAATACGGGTTGATAAGAAAATGCATACCAGGTACCCTGCTTAGAAAGGACATCTCAAATAAAAAAAAAAAGAATTGCGGCCTGGAGCATGCCTTTTATAACGGGGTTTAATTGTATTTGAACTTTACAAGTATTCAGAACGACTAACAAAGTAGGACTAAGGCTAGCGCTATTTCAAATGCAGAAGCCTGATGATGATGATTGCACTGCGCAATGCGCAAACCTAATCTCGACTGAAATTTCTTGTGATCCGCATATAGTACGGGGCCAAAATCTCACTAGAAACTAGAAAAGGGACTCTGCGCGGGATTTTACGGTTGCTTTTCTGAACGCATCTTCTTGACGAGGTTCGATTAGAGTGCAGACTGCTTGCAAGACTGTCAACACACTATAGTTTTTGGTGACGTGTAGCTATGTGAACATTCTGTTTTTTTTTTGTTTTTTTCCTCGGTTTCATTTTGTTGTGTGTGAATGGTGTTTTCTTTCCTGGTCTCCCCCTCTCTTAGATTCTAAACATGTCAGCGCTTCCGTGGCCTCGCGATTTGCGCTTGGTACGTATGGGCCAGCAACTGCACGCTGTTTTTTCAGAATCAATCTGCTCGCGCCCAAGAGTTGTTGCCTAGACAAATGCCTCAGTTTGCTACACTTGGTTACAACCAGAGGAAGAAAAAAAAAATGTGCGCTTCTCCCATAAAACTGTGACGTGCCTGCCCTTCACCCGTGAAAGATGGTCGTGCTAGTTGGTTTCTGCTCGAATCGCATGTATTTTCTTGGCTTATATAAATACAGTCGGTCCAATGATTCTCTAGGAACTGCTAAAAATATTTCAATTGTTGTGAAAAATTGAAATATTTGCGCAAAAGTCGTAAATGCAACCAAATGAGTCACCTACCTGGGCTGGGTATGCAACAGTGTTTGCGTTATTTTGTAAAAAGCACCAAAAAAGCCAAGATAAGGTGTTACGAAATGAGCTTGTGTTTATTTGAACAAAAGTGTCACCTTTGCCTGAGGGGTGCTGCTCAACTGCTACAAGACAAACTCTTCACAGTGCACATGCTGATGTATTTTTAAGGGGAGATGCTACTCGAAAAACGATTTTCTTTAATAAGAGTCTGAATTTAACACAATTTAGCATGCTAATAGAGTTTTTTCTCCTCTTTTCAAATATGTCATTTATTTTCATGTAGATTGCTTGGTTTTCTTTATGCAGGTCAGATACTGCAAAATTATGACCATTGTTATGCAACAATTCTGACCTATAAAAATTTGAGATAAAGCATGCAGATATAGCTGACTATGATCCTTTGGAACTGTAGAGTGCAAAAAACTATATAAATTTTGTGTGTAAAAAGGTGAAATACAATAATAAAATAGAAAAATTTACTATGGCTCTAGTTACCAAGGGCTTTCAATGTTATGTAATTTTTGAAAAACATAATCAAGCAGCACTGACAATCTGAATAGATACTTGCACTCTATGGGCCTTCATCATGCTATGTGCAAAATTTCATAGAGGTATGACAACTCTAAGTATACGAACTAGCGTGTATAAGAAGCACAGATCACACAAAACTGCAAAAGGAGAAAAACGCATTTGAAAGTTTGCAACCTTTTTTTTTTTTATCACAGAGTTGTTAGAAATGCATAATCTTTGGCCATAATGTTCAGCAGAACTTTGAAAAGCACTGCAAGTTACTAGAACTGTCCTGCAGCATAGGTTGTGCCCTCACGGTCCTTGCGAGCACTCTCTTCTAGCCGTGCCCTTTTCACTCCACGACGACGGTGGGCTCTTGCTTCTGCTGTCAGACGCTCGGACATTCTCTTGATGCGCCTCGCATCGCGGGAATCACTGAAAGTAACTAGATCTCTAGATGGCAGTATGTTGAGCTCTTCCAGGATGTGCTCGAAAGTAGCATGACCCTTGTTGAACCACAGGATTGCCATAGCTGCGGCAGTCTCGACAACCATTCCGGAGACAAACTTAGTCTTGGGGCAAAGTAGCCAAATTTTGCTGTTCAGGGATTCCGATGCGTTCTGGGTTTTCCCTTTGATGCATCGAGCAAGGAGCTTCTCATCTGTTAGCCGCTTATAAATGGGCAAAACAGCCAATCCCTGTGCTTTTGTCAGGAGAGGTGTGTGGCGTGGTGCAGGTTCACCAAGTGCTTCAGCGCGTTGATGTTTGCACCACGACTCTGTTCCGGCAGGGCAAAACTTGTGGCTGCCAGCATTGTCAGTAGAGCATGAGTGGAAGTACGAAGCCCATACTGCAGTGTACATATCCCGTACACTCCCCCTGTTGCTTGTTAAGGCAATCTGATAGTATGTTTGGAGCTTCTGAATGGCTGGCTCTTTCATTTTCTGCCCTCGTAATGGCACATGCAGCTTCCGTCCGCGGTGCCAAGTCTCTTGGCCACATGATTAGTGCAGTCTTCTTTTTCTATATTGACAGCACCATAGACTTTTGATTCTGCAACTGCACTATATGCTTTGCTGTCACCGTCACTCAAGAATGTCATGAAATGCAGTGGGGTGTCATAAGTCAATGTTCTCTGCCAAATGCGCATTGCAGCCTCCGTTTTCATGGCATGGGAGGAACAGTCTGCATTTTTTTCACAGACTGGGCCATGGAATGCCTGCCACACTTCCTCGTCTGGGCCCATATCCTTGTGCCTACTGCATGTCAGGCAGTAATTTGATATGACCTCGAAGTCTAAGCAGAGGCCAGTATCTAAGGAGATAACTGCGCCAATCCCGTTGTGGCTTTTGTGGCCCCTCTTCTGCCAAGTGCCGTCGAACATAACAGCCACATCAGTTTCGCCTGCTACTTCTTTCGTCAACTCTCTGGATCGGCGCAAGTTTTCACTCACAGCTGCCATGGCAGCGGTGTGCACCTTCTTTGCTATCGAAAAAAATCCTCGGTGGTGCATTGGCTTTGGGAGTCCAATAATGGAGCAAAATCTCGACAATTGCTCACGCCCAATGCCGACAGCGCGTGCAGCCACCACCGCCTTCACATTTACAGCGAAACTATCTCGATAGCTCCCACTGTTGTACCGTTGGCTCACTCGGCTGCTGCCGTCCGCCGTAACACGCAGTCACGTATAGGAGCACGAAAGAACAGTCGCTGAGCATTTGCTGTTTTCGCAATGAAGTTCGAGGAGCGACGAAAGTCCCTTGCGCTTTTCTGCCGGCTCCCGAACGGCAAGTTTTTGAATACCGCAAGCAGGGCATGCCGCACCTGCCACAAGTGCCGTCAGCAAGAGGGTGTCGCACAAAACTGTCGTTGCACAAACCTCATCGCGCTGTCTTTCGTCTTTTTCGAAGAAGCCGAGCTTCTTTTCCGAAGCACTGACGAAAGAAAGCGCAGTGTCAATCCCTTCATCGCAGCCACTGTCACTCGCGCACTCGTCGATGCCGCCGTCAGGCCTAGCACACGTAGGCGCGTTCTTGTTCGTCGCCGTCGTTCGGGGCGCTTTACGCCGCCTTCCCTTGAACTTGTGCTTCGTTCGAAACTTCTGCGGTCTCACGTTGCACTTTTTCGGGCTTGTCATCGCGGAAATATGCGTAGACGCGCAGAAAAGCAGACGGACCAAATGCCGATGGCCGCCACCAACACAGCTGACAATGATTCTGTAGCCAATGGCGATGCGGCTTAGGGTGCCGCGCGTTTCAGACCGCTCAAACCACGTGATAAAAAGGCCTCGTTTTTACATTTTTTTTTTTGCCCACGTACGAAACTGGCGGTCGTCGGAGCTGTAAGAAGAAGGCCGGACGCAACTTTCCCAATCGATCGCGATGGCGGGCGGCACTGCGACGGGGAGCAGCGCGCAGTCAAAAATTCACGAAATTTTGAGCCACCGCGATGCCTTCATACACATTTTTTTGCATTTTGCGGTTCAAATTTAGTTTTGAAATTTTCACAGATGAAAGAAGAAGGTTTGAAGTTTGCAATGCAATAAAAATCAGAAATACGAGAAATTTCGCTAAAAACGCAATTTTTCGACTCGCATCTCCTCTTAAGTTTTGGTGTTGGATACTGATTCTTCGCATTGGTTTGCACTCACCATTTTAACGTCATCTCATCTCTTGTCATTATCGACACTGTTTCCTTATCACAACAAGCGGTATGGATCTACCAGTTGTCAGTTCAGCCGGCATGCATAATTCATTGTTGCACTGTGCGTAGTGTTGAAATGTTGGTGAAGCATGCGCGGGCAATCTTAGTTTATTTCATCCCTTAAGTCACTGGTGCCGCATTTTTCCCCGTTGTCGCATTCCTTTTGTGCTGCTTCTGGAGCTTGTCATGAATCTACAATCGCCAAGGGAAAAGCGAGAAAACAGCAGTGTAACAAACGTGCAGGCAGAGCCGCTCGACGAAACAAAGGCAATGAGGTGAAGCCTGACACAGAAAAAAAGTACAGGCGATGGTGATGGCGATAAGGCTGTCGCACAAATGAATAGGGCAAGTGCATAGAGAAATGCAGAGGTGTTCCGATTATGATGATAGTGGCACATACGGAGCTGGGCATTGTTTCCATTGCCCAGAGTATCTTTCTAAATTCACTTTTCGCTATTTTGAAGTGTTGTGGATATACAAGGGTTGTACAAAAGTCAATACATTCTGGAACATCCAGCATTGTGAACTTTGTAGTAATGAAATATTTTTGCTTTAAACTAGTGACCATTTGGTGGGGACTTTTGAGAAAATCGTTCATCTAAGGTTCACTCTAACGAAATTTGCTGTACTATGCATATGACTAGAAAGGAGCGTTCCTACCTAAAGCAATATGCTTGGCTAGCCAACAGTGTCAGAATCCTCATTTGCCCGGACATTCAAGTTTATGACCCTAAAACGAGTGTTCTTGCATCCTACGGTGCTATCTGCTTAGAATCGTGCGTTGTGCTCAAACAGAGCCAATATTCACACTTGCAGTGCAACCCGTAGTTCCGTAAACACTAGTGGGCAGATGTGCAGCGATGACTGGGCTGAGCTAAGTTTTTTTTCTATGGTTGTAACCGACTATTGTGTGCATGGTGGTTCTTTGGCAGCCACTCTTGCCCACGGGTTTTAAACGCGCAGGCCCCTCGCAATGTATCTTGCTCGGGCGTTCCCTTTATGCGCTTCTTCTTGGCCACCGCAGGTCACACGCACCTGCGGCGGACCACGGTGGCCGAGCGGGAGGAGAAGAAGAAGCTGGAGAAGCGGGAACGGCGAGAGCTGATGGAGGAGGAAGTGGACCGCAGCGTGTGGGTCAAGTACACGTTGGGGCTCAAGCACCAGGTGAGGCATCTTGTCAAGACGTTGCTGAAGCACACTCGTCTGTGGCGCAACATGCATTTCGTGAAAAGGAGAGAAGAAAGTGTTGGGCTTCACTTTCTTTTCTTCTGGCTTACTCCTTTTCGCGAAATGCATTTTGCGCCACAGACGAGTGTGCTTCAGCAATGTAAGCACAAACTCTCCCAAAAAAAGAAATACTTTAGTAAGGATCTTGGGAAAGACAACCGACGATCATAGCTACTGGCCAGTGTTGTCGCCTGCCGAGCATGGCATGCTAGTGAAGCTAAAGTAAAGGGGGCGCCACATGAACCATCGTCCTCTCTTTCCAGCGGTGGTATGTCCGCCTCGGTACAGTCCGCAGAGTTTCGTAATAGCACCCAGATGGAAATCTTGGGCTAGTGTTTGGGCGATGCCGTGCGTGAAGTTTCCGTGCGGCAGCGATGTTTAGTACATGGATAGGGCTAAGCTCACTTTGTTCATTGTCATCCAGTTTGTGGGGTCTCGGCGAGGCGAACGCGCGCACCGCCACGCCACGCTCTTGGAGTGACGGACACAGTGAACACGGTCGGTACCAAGCACACAACATACATACATTTATAAACTAATTTAGACGACGATATCGTCCGCCGAATGATACACCAATTTCAACTAACACGCTACCGTACAAACAACATAACCCAGTGACACACTAAACAGACAATAACATGATAAACACACACTAACACACTCAACACACTAGCACATACCCAAGACGGCGTCGCCAACGCCTGACTTTCCACGCGGGACCCCGGCGCGAAGCCCGCGGTGCCGAGCACCGGGGACCCGCGCTACAGACAACCGTTCGCGGCAGCCGCCACGCGCAGAAGAGGCTCGCTCACCGCTCGCCCACCACCAAGGCCCGCCTTCCGCCAGGGGCCACCACCGGCGCTACCACTCTACCAACAGTGGTACTCAAAGCGAACACAACGCCATCTATCGCCCGGTGGTGGTCACCACCGAAATAACGCCCTGGGGCGAGACACGTGCGCCACGCGGCGCAGACAACTTTACAGGGGGGGTGTCAGCACCCCCACATTTCCCCAACCTTAAATCAAACCATATCCCGAAATCAGAAATTAGCTACACAAGCTTTAACAAAAAAATGATATCGCACGACCATAATGTCCTTGCACCACGACACCGCCGCTGGTCGACACTGCTGTACTGTCCGGCTAGACTTCACCTCAACACCGGCCCCGCAACCGCAACGTTGCCGTCGGCGCGACGATCCGTCGCTAGCGCCGACACGTCTTCCAGTTGCGACCAGCACTCACGAGGGCGCCGGACTGCAGGCAGTTGCGCAGGTCCCAGGCATCTTCATCGCCCGAACTCACGACCGCATTCCTGGCCAGCGACGCTGACGATGTGCAGGACAGCCGGCCGTGGATGACATCCCTCCCGCTGAATACATCAACAAAAAACAAAACTCGAAAGAAACAAAGGAGCGCGGCCCAGGGGAGGGAGCTTCAGGCTTTTCGGCCACGTGGTACGGTGGTTAGTACTGCTAGCTAATACATCGGTGGCGGCCGAGACGCCCATCAAAATAAAAACAAAAATCACTTTTCCTAACTCGTGCTCACAAGAAAAAAAAGTGAGGGAAGCAGAGCGCAACACCTCAACGCTACGATCCACCTAGTTGTGCCACGTGCGACAGGCGGCTGCGCAGAGCCTTAGGCCTAATGAGTCGCTCGGCAACAACCGGCATTCACCCAGCCTAGGCGCAGAAGAGGCAGCCGCGAGGAGACGTCCACTCTGTTGAGGTGGCCCTATCGCTCGCCGCACACAGCAGCTTACCGAGCGATCGGCGTCCACCGCCCCGGCGTCGAGCCGCAATACAAGTCAGCAACGACGCCCGGCTCCCTGAGCCCAAAGATATAGAAGAAGCTATTTACAGAAAATCGGACCACCCACGAGGCTTCCGTACTCACTCGCTTCGGGCCTGGCCTACAAACCACGTGCTCTAGGCCTTGCTCACCCCAGGATGCGGACCGCATGGCTCTCGTCCTAATTCAACAACGTTTTTGAAAACTAACAACAAAAAGATAAGAACACTTGCGAGCAAAACAAAAATAGAAAGTCAACCTGCCGACAAATTGAAACACGTTACAAAACCAATCCCCTCGCTTCTCAACAAAGCACACCACCGACGCTAGCAAAGAAGTCCCCCCTAGGCCTACTCTACTCCGGCTCTAACAAAATCCCTGTACTGAACCGCAAAAACTGTCGTCCGATACTCCAAGAGCTCCACGTTGGGCAGCCAGTGTGGGGTCTCGGCGAGGCGAACGCGCGCACCGCCACGCCACGCTCTCGGAGTGACGGACACAGTGAACACGGTCGGTACCAAGCACACAACATACATACATTTATAAACTAATTTAGACGACGATATCGTCCGCCGAATGATACACCAATTTCAACTAACACGCTACCGTACAAACAACATAACCCAGTGACACACTAAACAGACAATAACATGATAAACACACACTAACACACTCAACACACTAGCACATACCCAAGACGGCGTCGCCAACGCCTGACTTTCCACGCGGGACCCCGGCGCGAAGCCCGCGGTGCCGAGCACCGGGGACCCGCGCTACAGACAACCGTTCGCGGCAGCCGCCACGCGCAGAAGAGGCTCGCTCACCGCTCGCCCACCACCAAGGCCCGCCTTCCGCCAGGGGCCACCACCGGCGCTACCACTCTACCAACAGTGGTACTCAAAGCGAACACAACGCCATCTATCGCCCGGTGGTGGTCACCACCGAAATAACGCCCTGGGGCGAGACACGTGCGCCACGCGGCGCAGACAACTTTACAGGGGGGGTGTCAGCACCCCCACAAGTTATACACGCACACACTCAAACCTCTTAACAAAGTCTCATCTGATACAAAGTAACTTGGTTACATCCAATCATTTGTTGTAAAGGTTTATTCGTAACAGCATGATAAGACTTCTTGTCATTTTGCTCAGTATGACTAAAAATTTGTCACTCTGGAACCTCATTATAACAAAGTTGCATCTTACATGAAAATAGGTTTGTTATATCCAAAAATTCATTATAAAGGTTTATTCCAAACACTTACACCTATTGCATTTACTTCATTATAACCAATATCTCATTATATCGGGGCTAGTTATATCTAGGTATGAGTGTATCTTTGTTTATTGTGTCGTGACTTCGGTGTAAAGGACAAAGAACGGCCCGAGTATGTTTCGTCTGAATTTTAGTTCTTTTGCGGAGCCTGATTGCTCTTGCTGAAATGGTCTAGGCTTGACTGCTGACCAAGAGGACACGAGATCGAATTCCGGCTGCCGCGACCACAATCAATGGAGGTGAAATGCCAGGGATCGGTTGGGTTAGATGTAGTCACACGTGAAAGACCCCGGTTGGTCAGGACTTCTGGAGCCCTTCACTGCAGTGTATCTTGTAGTTACACTCAAACCTCAGTATAACAAAGTTACATCTTACACGAAATAAAGTTTGTTATATTCAAAAGTTTGTTATAAAGGTACATTTATAACACTGTATCTATTAGAAGACTTTTTTTTAATTGCTTTGTTATAATCAATATTTGGTTATATCTGGGTTCGTAACAGCGAGGTTTTACGGTATACCAAGATATTACGATGTGAAACCCTGACAGTTGTTCCTGTTTCGCCGGTTGTTGCCCTCTTGGTGTTTCAGGTGTGGAAGCAGAAGGGCGAGGAGTACCGCATCACGGGCCAGGGGGGCTGGCAGTGGCAGAGCTGCACGCGGGTGGTGCGCCACGTTCCGGCACACACGGTGGGCCTGCGGGCGGGCCCCCACAAGGTGGTCATCGCCTTGCAGCACGGACAGCAGCAGAGCAAGGCCAAGGCCGAGGAGTCTGCCCCCAAGGTACGGGTGGGTCAGACGACTGGGGGTAGAGTATGCGCCGAATTTTTATTGCGATAGCAATTGTATGGACACTCTCGGCTATATTTCGCCTCCGGTGTTGGCGTCGATTTATGCACCGTGTATGTATACGTATCTATATAAATGAAAATGCAAGAAAGGAAAAAAATGCCAGTAAAAAGACTCCGGGGCACGGAATCAAACGTGGGACCTGGCGACATAGCAATCTACGCGACAACATCGCTGATTAGTCAGTGGCTACTAGGACCCGCATAGTTCCTGACCAGTGAAAATTAAGTACATTTTGTGAGGAGGCCACTAACCTACCAAGTTCTAGGACATTTCAGCTAATGTGGCCAAAGTGCGAAAAATGCGCCTTGAAATTCGTGACGTCACATTCGAGAATTCGGGATAAAACTGAAACTTTGTTTTCGGATTTTTTCTTCTGATAAAGCTAAAATGATGAAATTATTGGCATTAGTGCTTCAGAGTAAAACTTCTCAAAAACAATTCATTGTTTCGCTTTAGTGTACCTTTAATGATCACACTGTTGTTCAAGTATTTGAAATATTATAGAACAAAGTGTTAGGGATGTCTTGCTTCATGCTCAGTTTTACTTCCCCTAATGTTAAGATCACTTTCTTATTATTTAACATATCATTCGAGTTTATATTGTACTACTTGTTGTACGCACACATGCTTGCTCTCAGAAATGAATGAAATGAGCAAGGCGGCCATTTTTATAGAGGTGTGATTTCGGTGATTTTCGCAGGCTGTCAAGGAAGGAGGGGAAGGTGAGGGTAAAACGGCGGAGGAGGGGCCAACCGGTGACAGTCCTGCACCCTCCACGGCGGAGACGACGACGAGGGAAGTGAAGATCACCGGCGAGACCTTGCTCAAGGCGATGCTGGCATCCCGGGCGATGGTCGTCGAGCTGGTCGATGTCTCTGAGTCGCTCTCTTCACCTGTGCGCACCCTCTACCCGAAGGTGAGAGGTCGCGGACGACGGCCCGGCCAAGCAAGGAGTCGCGCTTATGAAGCTTTAGGTGTCGCCTCACTTTTGCTATACTTTCTAGCATATGGCTTGCACAGGAAATACAAAACTTGCACTTGCAGACTAGCTTGTGGATTCGCCTTAGACGACTGAAATCCAAAAGCCACCTCAATTTTCTGAGTTGATGGGTGCAGTGCATCTGTGACCAGCCCACCTTTGAACAAGCGTTTATGTCATGTAATGTCACCTAGTGAAAGTCATCATGATGTCATATAGTGACATTATCATATGATGGTGAAATCTCGCGTCAGTTGTGGTGACATCAAAGGTCATGTTTCACCTTGAACAATTGATAGCCTGTCAGGCAGCAGGTTATACGGCAGTTTCGGTGTAAGGTTGCTGTGATGGGTGAAACTTGCTCTTTTATGTACAAACTCATTGATGTAAGATTACGTCATTGATGAACTTGATTTTGTTTTTTTCTGCAACTACTTTAGAGCTCAAGTTCAGTTTCAATTGCATGCAAACCCGCTGCGGTGTTCAAGTGCCTATAGTGCTCAGCTGCTTGCTTACTCAAAGGTTGCGGGATTGAATACCGGCTACCATAGCCGTAATTAAATGGAGGAAAGTTGCCTGTATAGGTGAATTTAGGTGCACGAGAATTGGTGGCCGAAATTTCTGGTGCGTCACATCACATTGTCGTCATATCACGGCATTGTTTTGAGACTTAATATTCTAAAAACTGATATTTGCATGCTATATGATTAATAGAACCCTTAGTAGCTCTGGTGACTATATAAACAGCTTTTGAAGTCACTGACAGGTGGTTATGAGTCCCCGAATCTTAAAAAAAAAAAAAAAAAATCCACTCATCGCGTTTCTCAGGACTACAAGTAAAATTCATCCATCCATCTCCACAAAGTGGATCATGACGAGTGTGTGAAGCTCTGGGTACTATATTGATGAGTTAACCGTACGTTACCACAGCATTGCCCCCACGAAATGTAAATTCAGTGACATAAAGTGTGTACAGAAATGTCAATTGTAGGGGGTCTGTCCTATGTACGGCTGACACAGAAGCCTAGCTAATGTTCCAGCTGCACACAATCGTACCGTGCATGATAAACGTCCCCTTTCCGTAGCTCGTCTCATCGCAGCTACACTGGTTCGGACGAATAAGGCAACAGGCTAGGTCAACAGGCTAGGTCAACATAATGACACTTTATTTCTATACGTTAGCAATAACGTGTAAATGTCGCGTAGAGAAACAACAGGTAACAAAGGGCAGACGCTTACACCTCGGTCGTTGTCGTCCTTGGCTCACAGGGGGTTCCGCTTTCGACCTTTTTCTTTTTTTGGCCGGTGTCGGAGAGAGCGTCCGGCTGTCGGCACGCTGGATTTCTTGACCGTCCCGGTCTCTCTTTCCTGACGAAAATACGTTCCCTTGCTGAGGAAGGGGAAACCCGTTCCGTGCACAGGGAAAGGGGGATCGCGAGCGCCGGCTGCGGGGGTGTTCCATCCTTTCACAAGAGGCTTTATTGACTCTCAAAGGGACAGTCATGTCCCCGCAAATAGGCTGTCGCACTGCCGTAAAAGGGAAAGGGCAGCTGGGAGCACGTGCTCCCCCACAGAATTTATTTCCCCTTCCAGTTTTATTAGGCACTTCAGAAAGGAGTGTGTGTATGTGTCTCGCACATGTTCAGACTATAGCAACTGCTTTATGCCATGGCAGAAAACAAGGCTAGGTACTAAGGAGCTTCAGCCCTAAAAAGAACAGCCAGAAAAAAGTAGCCAGAAAAGACGTATGGTTGTGAAAGGTCGTCGCAACAGTTTCTCCGTTGACCCTTCGCATATCGCTCGAATGTTGACTCGGCTTATCCGGCGTGTCGACAATTTGCAGGTGGCCAAACCAACCAAGATTGATGGCTTCTTGGAGCGGCGAATGAAGCTGAAAGAGCTCGAGGACAAGATGGCCGAGTCGACGAGGGCGATCAAGACCGAGCCTCACATAGATGTCGAGAGCATCGAGTCACCGGTGAAAGTGGCCAAGCCGCTGGTGCTCAACGGGATGGTTGCCGCCGAGGATTCGGTGAGCTTGGAGTTTTGCGGAAACGGGCTGTTTGGATGTGTTGGGTTTGCAGTGGTTTGTGCTTGAAGTCCGAGTGCCAGTCGACCTGAATGCATAATTGACAGCGTCGAAATGAAATTGAGGGGATGCTTTGTTATTTGTGCAGTGAAAGAATCTGCTGTCAGCTGAGTACGAGTATTAGGCTTCATTGAAAGAGCAGAATAGCCTCGGTGCTACTCCGGAAACATGGCCATATGTGCGTACTTTCACGTTGCAGCTTTGAAAGTGCGTGGCCATCCGAAGTGCGCGTTGCGCTTTTTTTTTAACTCCTGCCTAGCAGTTGGGTTACAGTAAAACATTATTTATATGTTTTTTTTTAAACTTGCGAATAAGATGTATTATTTCTGACAAATGTACAGTCCAAATTCACTACAGTGCAACCCACTATAACGACCTTATATCGGTGCACTTGCGATTTTCTTATGCTACCCTTTTAAACTGAGTCTAGATACAGCGAACATTTTTCAGCGCCTCTTACTTATACAAGGAACATTTTCGACACGATCGTGGTAAAAATATAGCGCATGCGAATGGGGGAGGGAGGTGAAACAGGCATTCTGAAGCATGTGATAGGCGGGCTCGCGTGTGCACTGCTGCAGTTTGCTTGGGACGGAAGATATCACAGAATACGGCGAGCACCGCACGCAGATTTTGGACGTTGCGAGTGAGGTGGTTCACTTTCCAGACGTTTCGCACGGCTTTCGCATGGCGAACTTTTGTAACGCTGTTCTCGGCACCTACGACCGCCGACGATAAACCATGTGGGGAGCAGGTGCGCCCAGCCTCCCTTTCCCTTTTAGGGCAGCGCACGCGCCTGGTTGCGGGGACCCCTTCCCCCACGGCCGGCGCGTGCGATTCCCCCCCCTTTCCCGGCGCCAGGAACAGGTTCCCCTCTCCCTCAGCGAGGAAAGGTACCATTCTCGTCAGGGAAAGGGAAATCGGGTCGGGGAACAAAACGAGCGGGCAAACGGGCGCTCGCGCTCTGACACCAGCGACCATCCCAGGAGGACGAACCCGCAACCCCTCCTGCGAGCCGAGGACGTCCACGACCGAGGTGTAAGCGTCAACACCTTTGTTATCTGTAGTATCTCCCCGCGACAGTGACGCGCGATTGCTAACGCTTAGCAATAAAGTGTTTGTTGTTGATCTGGCCAGTTGCCTTATTCTCCCGAACCCGTAGTAGTAGCTGCAATGAGGCAAGCTACGGTTGGGGGACGTTAACCGTGCACGGAACGACTGTGTGCGGCTGAAACATTAGCTATAGGCTTCTGCGTCAGCCGTACATAGGACGGTCCCCCAACAACCAACAGTTTCTTTGAACGCAAGCAGCCATAAATTCGAGAAGCGATAACTTATGTTGCATGAAAGTTTCTTGCGAGGCTCAACTCTACGACTCTACCACGTTGTCGGCTTTCTTCTGCGGTCGCGTCTTCTTTTTTAGACGAGCATCACCAGTCATGCCAGCAAAAAGACTTGAAGCCATTGGGTCGATCGTGTAGCACGAGCGGGAAGCGCATGGACATGCGTGCGAGGCAAGAGCCAGCGTCTTACAAACGACAACCAGGGGGGAAAAAAAATCGCAGCCTCATTGGCCGCCAATGGGAAATGAGAGACGGGGGCTTCAGAAAAAAGGCAAGGACAGCTGTTCCTTTCATGTAGCACCATTTTGAAGAGTACCAAAATGCGCACAAAGAAATCGGCTTCAAGACGAGCTCAAGATGGCGGCGATCGGTCGACTGCTTCGCCAGCGGCGCGCCCACGGAAGTCGGAACAAATTTTACTTTTTCGCGGGGCGTTTTGCAACTCCCATAGCGACTTTATAACAAATTTCAACCCGTTCACAATTTCAGGACACGTGCATATAGGAATAAAAATTCGAAAATTGACTTTTTGGTCATTTTTCACCATTCTAAGGCCCGCGTCCCACCTTTCGGTAACAGCAAAGACCGGTCGATTAGTGATAACGAGTTCCTCGATGTAGCGGCGATGCCTTAACAAATAAGCATTAAAAAAAGTGATGGCACGGTGGCCGGGGGCGATGAATGTGCCATTTTTACTCACTGCCTCCGAGCTTATCGCAGTCATCTGCAGATAACTGCTCGGCGGAGTGACGGTGGTACACGCACGTCATGGTGCCATTCGCTGCCGCCGCGTCGTGCGAGGTCGTTTGCGCATGTTGCTAGCGAAAACCGAACCGGGTACCCGTCGCACCCTAGCACGATTCCGAGGGAAACATGCACGAAGAACGCACTATCACGCGCATACATTGGACTGCAAGCGAACTGGTATGCGACGGCGAGAGTGGCTAGGGTAAGTGACATACTGCACGCAACTAGCCAGGGATGACTGGTTCGACGTCTGTGGATCGCGACTCAGTGGAACGGCGCGAGTTCATTGCAAAGGGGCGTCGTTTAACACGCGAAAAGGCTTGAGTTGTCAGCAGAGGGATTGTTCGCACTTTTTAATCAAAAATACACAAACAAAAAAGTTTTGGCCACTTTGTCGCCGTTTTTATGGGCGACTTCATATACGACGAACTACTGATATAACAACCATTTATAGCGGAACTTTCGAGTTTGTTGTAAACGGGTTCGACTGTACTGTATAACATTGTAGTTTCTCATGATCACAATATGGCAAGCGTTAGAACCAGGAAATATTAGGAAACGGGGACATATCAGGAAGCTGCTACTGTACAGCAATTCTGTCGAATGCAACGGTTGGTTGTTGAAATCTTGGCGCTGGCTTATATGCATGGGTCATAAGAGATATTTGTAAACTATTTAAAGTATACCCCTATTTACAAGTCGGGCTATATTCAATTGAAGGAATACTTGCGCTCCCACAAATTTGTGGTTGTGAATCTCTTGTTTCGGCTAGGGTCTGGACCTTGCGGAGAGGGCGAGGCGTTGCTACTCGCCGCTCTGCCGGCGGGGCACGGTGGCCTCTGCTGCCGTCGGCAACTGCTACTCTCCCGCTTGTCGTGCATCCAAGCTGTTCGTCAAGGTGGCCACCATCCACAGCAGCGTCAAGACTCCAACTGTTGCGGCTGCCGACCGCGTGATTTCCAATGGTGACATCAAGTCGGTCGTCAAGCTGGAGGCCAAGCCTTCTGTTGCGATGCAAAGCCTCCTGAAGCCAGTCGAGCAGAACGATCCAGCTAACGAGGTGCATGGAGCAGTATTTGTCAATTGCACACTGCTGACAGCTAACTGCTAGAATACCTGTGTGCTTGAATTTGCTAGCATGTTTAAGAAGCTTCGGAAGCTGGTTCAGGAGGTGTGAGATCATCTTTGATTAAGCAGCGCATCCTGCCATGCAGCTTGATAGCCAATTTTAAGGCTTGAGATTATGTTAAAGGGCCTCTGATTTGTAGGTCGGAAGGAAGTTTTGGTGTTACCCAGCTGCAACAGTTTACCCGAAGTTACCCGCATTTGATAAAAAAAAAAATAATCTTCGCTCTTTGCTACGCTCAGTTCGTCGAATCATTTCTCCTCCTGTGAGTGCTCTTTTCAACATGGTGAGAGCGCGTGTAAATGCTTGCGTACGAACGGGTTCTTGTGATGTCACCTTCAAGGTATCTTACTGGCGATGTCATGGTCAATGCTGGCGATACTGGGAAGGGCCGAAGAGGAGCACAAAATATTTTTTTCTTGCAGCGCACCTGCGTTGTGTAGTGCTGCAATGTTTGGCATTTTTTTTATCAGGTAGGCATTTTGAACTTCATGCGCGTGTTTACTGAAAATGTTTAAAAAAACTTGCAGTATCGCTGATTTAGGGGCCCTTCAAATAATGCAGCTGGTGATACAGAGGCCCCCACTACTACGCTTTGTTTCGGCGTGAGCAAAAACTGAACATTAAATTCCTTTCTTCTATATGCAACAGGTGAAGCAGACAGTGGTGGAGCATACAGAGGCCCCCACTACTACGCTTTGTTTCGGCGTGAGCAAAAACTGAACATTAAATTCCTTTCTTCTATATGCAACAGGTGAAGCAGACAGTGGTGGAGCAGACGACCACTACAACCACCGTGTCCCGGACCACCGTCACGACCACCAGCACGACCACCAGTGTGGTGAAGCGCGAGCCCGAGGTTGTGCCTGACGTCCCCGAGCCTTGCAACGACGTCGAGATGACCACAGTCGCGGCCGAGGAGGTGGTCGAGACGGACGAGTCCGAGCTACCCACAGCTGCGGAGGAGACAGTGCTGACCGAGCCCGCCGTGGCCGAGGAGGTCGTCTGCAGCGCCGTGTCCGCATCTGCTGAAGAGGAGGTAGCCACCAGTGAAGTTGACCCGCCCGTGTCAATGGAAGAAGAGGTGTCTGTCTGTGCGGAAGAAGAGGTGTCCAGTTTGGCGGAAGAAAAACCTGCCCGCGTTGAAGACGGGTCCGACCCCGCCGCAAATGAACTGCCTGTGTCTGTAAAGGAAGAGCTGTCGGTGACAACTGCTGGCGATGACGCCGAAATGTTGCCTGCTGTCACAGAAAACAAAGTTTCGCAGCTTGCAGATGCCGGCGAGAAGGAACTGGCGCCGGTAAGCAACAACATAGATAAGAAGGTATGTGCTTCTTCATTGTCATCCTCAGTTCCTTCCAAACCGGTAGTTTCGGCGCCATTGACACCAGTCAACCAGCAGAAGCAGATTGTTGTTGTCAAGAGAGAACCAAAGGAGTGTGGCGTGAAAACAGAGTTTTCCACAACAACAACGACGACAGCTGCAGCGGCCGCGAAGGCGATTGTGTCTGCAACGATCGTCGCATCCTCCGCGGGCACTTCGGCAGTGACAAAAGTAGCAGGCGCGGCTGTGGCAGCAGCAACAACGACGTCCAAGATGTCTACGACGACAGCCGTGGCCGAAGGCAAGTCGACGAGCACGACAGTGACGACGACGAGCAACAAGGTGTACCTGGGTAAAATCACCAAGGTGACCAAGAAGGTGAAGAAGAACAAGGGCACGCTGCCGCCGTTTTGCCGCTTCCAGACCTTTGTCAGCAAGCAGCGCAGCATCATGGTTTTGCCGCAGCACGAACTGCGCAAGATGTCCCGCAGAGGCTCCCTTCGTGAAGCCACTGGGTTCAGGTGAGGGTTCAAGTCTTTCTAACTGTAGTCAACTTTAACGAGTTTGGCTCTAGCAAGATGTTCATTGGAAATCGGGAAGCCCTATGAAATCTGAGGCACTGCAGACGCTAGAGCTAGCACTGTTTATAATGCATACTTCGTGTAATTTAAACATTCGTCCTCTAATACTTCAAAAAAGGAATGCACTCTCTACACGATGCAAAGTATCGTGGCATTCACATCGACTGGTTATGAGTAGTAGTGGGACCAAGTCGTTCACAGATGGTCACTCTGGCTCGAAAGATGCTGTTTTGGGTCAGTCGCGCATTTTTGAATTGGCCAGAAAGTGTCCACACTATGTGTCCGATTGTCCATGAAGTGTGAAAGCTGCATTTTCTCTGTGAAGCTTCAGTAGTCAAGTTTGTTATGAGTTATACAAAACATGTAACCCAATATAAAGACATTATGTACATTTATTTTTGGGGGGTGGAGCCATTAAAATTTGCATTCCTCTAGCAGAAAAAATTTATTGAGTGAACTTCTAAGCTACTCAGTTTCTTTTTTGTTCAGGGGGGGTCACTGAGTTGCTGTTTCAGGGGCATGCTCAAAGGCTACAGAACTGCTATTAGGAATAAACGCTTGGCTGACAGTTCACAGCTGCCACGTATCACTTGTTACCCTTTTGTCGCATCCATTCTATTGTGCTGTCAAACTTCTTGTGCTCATGCTGTCAGGCACAAAAGGCTGTCAAGCGTTAGAAATATGGACTTTGCTTATTATTTGAATGATAAGGGAACGGCGCCATACACAGGAGTGAAATGTGGCATGGAGCAACGAAGTTGCCATCTAAAAACAAAGCATCCGTAGTGTTGTTCTGTTTCCTTTTCCTGGGTTTCAATTTAAGAACAGGAGTTGGACTGTCAATAGAAAATTGCATGATGCATGGCAAGCGTTGGTATAATAAATGTATCATTCGCGTAACTTGACCTTGGCACAGAAGCTGTATTGGTGGCAGCAAGCAGTAACTGAACATGTTAGCTCTACTTTATACACGAGAAGCAAATGCTGTGGATGTCAGCGAGAGTTCTCAAACTGGTTGTGCTCATGCTATAAAGTGGTGGTGTTTTTCAGCAGCAATTATTTGCTGCTGTCCTTTGTGTGGCCTCCGTACTATTGCAAAAGAAGTGTTTAATCTATAAATGTAGTCCGTGCTATATGGCTGTTAATATGTCCTCTCATTCTTTTTTACCCTGTTGTTGCATTGTTGCATGTCATTTGCTCGACTGCACACGCCTGATATCCAAGTTTTTGCACAAGGTTAGTAGCGCAATGTGTAGTGCAGCCTAGTAGACATTTGGAAGGGCGGGGGGTAGTTTTGTATAGACACCTGTAAATTAAATGGGTAAACTACACAAACACTGTGTTTCAGATTTGCTCAGAGCCTAAAGGGGGGGGGCCCTGAAACGCTTCTTCATGTAACCATAATTTTTCAGTCGCGTAATTGCTCGTCTGTGCCTGCTCCATTTCTTCTTTTATCAGTCACCCTCAAGGCATACGCTTCTTATTCCACCTGTACGAACATCATTGAGGTTAGCTCACGCATGCCCCATTGCACACATGAGTGGTCGCACAGCAAGGATGAATAACTTTTTTTTTTTCCCCACACGCAATCACCCTATGGAACACGCTATCTAACGCCATTGCTTCCTGTTCAGGTCGAGGAAAATTTCGCGAGAAACTAACCTGCCATTTTTTTCAACAATAGGTGCCTACCACAGCATGATGAATTGTCTGGTGTACGCAATGCTACATTTCTCTTTTCGTTTCTTTTTGTTACTAATTACAGCTATTTTACTTTTGCCAACCTGTGCATTTTCTATTTTTTCTAATATGCGCCTGCCAAAGGATATTGAATTTTTCCCGATGTTTGTACCCGATGGTACATTTATCTTGTTCTTTCTATTTTGTTTGATTGATTTGTTACCAATTATTGTATTGTATTGTTTAGAAACCTGTGTATGCCCTGTTATGTAATGCCTTAGGGCCCTTAAGGTGTAATAAATGAAATTCAACGTCCGCAAAATTTTAAGAATCTGTCCAATGCGAGTGGAGTTGGTCGCATGCTGCAATCACATGCGAGTGGAGATTGGTCGCATGCTGCAATCACATTCTTTCTTCTCTCGTCCCAAGGAAAGCACTGGAAGCTAAGCAGGAAGGAATGGCAGGAACAAAGAAAAGACGTCATGCGTGCCTCGTGGCCTTGAGCACTCTTTCTTTTTTTTTTTTTCTTAGAATGTGCGGCTTTTTCAGTGCGATCGCGTGCGCACGCGTGGACAATTCGCCGCCTTTCGCGGCGATCTCTATAACGACCGAGCGCATCTTGTTGAAATCAGCCAATGGCTGATAGATGGGCTTTCTACGAGTGATTTTTGAGCATGTTCTGTCATTTGTCGAGGGAAGAGAAAACAATTTTAGCAGACTTTGATCATTTATTGTGAATTCTAGGCCGCGTGCTGCGCTATAATATTTGGCTCACGTGTTGTCGGGAGCCTCTACTATCGATCGGCAGCATTTTCTGACCATGCTCAAAAAGTGTTGCAGGGCCCCTTTGAAGGGAAAAGAAATGTACATAGACGTACACAATTGTTTTGTGTTAAGACATCAGGGGACTAAGTAGGACACTGACAGAACTCTCAGTAGAGGCACTTTCATTGAGTATGACATAGGGAGGAGCAGTACACCCAGACCTCATTTAACGAATTCCCCCCAAATAGTTACAAACGATTTTTTTTAATCTATGGCAAAGCTATTGGTCACTTACTTAGTTATAACTGATCATTCGTTAATCTGAATTCGTTATATTGAGGTTCGAGTGTAGTAAAACGCTTTCCATCGTCAGGTTATTCATGGCAGTAGACAAGTCTCCTTACTGAAACATTTGCTCTCTCTCATTGCTTCCAATTTTCTGTTGTTCCCATAACAAATGTGCGAGCGATTGATGCTCACAAAGTGCCCTCACCCCATGATGACAGCACTGACAGCAGTTTTAATGGCCATACTGGTTGCAGCTACACAGCCAAGATGAATCCACAGAGCTGGCCCTATGGTGTCAGCCCGAGGCCCTGCTTCAGGACCGCCTGGCGGTACCGGAATCAAATGCTCAGCACTATCCACCAGGTGCGTGCTTGCTATGTGTTTGTTAGTTTCTTGCATGTTTATAGCAATTTTGTTGTTAGTGTAATAGAGGATAGGCTTGAATGGGGGAGGGGGGCTATGTACATTCTAATCTCGATATGACAAAATATTGGTTATAATAAATTTAATGAAAAACAATAGCAATAGATGCAGTGATAGCAATATACCTTTATAATGAATTTTTCTATATAAAGAACTGAGCCCAAAAACCAAAATGTAGGTCAATCTTGTTTTTATTTATTTTTTTTACCAATGAAAAGTCGACCCTCGTCTTATATACCGGTCATGCATATATCTCTATTAAAACATATCATATACAGTCGACTCGTTATTTCAAACTTGATAGGACCTTTCAATTTTAATTGAATTATCGAGAAGTTTGAATTATCAGAAATTCTCAGATGACTCTGGGTGAGGTGACACCACGCATGATCAAGCATTGATTTTATCACATTTAAAAAAAAACTTGAGTGTTTTTAAGTCCTAACTGCACGCAGCGAACAGAAAGCAGAGGTGTAAAATGTCCACAAGTTCATTGGCCATTTACTGCTGATCAGACCTTTTTAAAGAAATCATGAATTGCCAACTGCTTCATTGCTATAGGTATGTGCCTTCAGCACGAAGCTCTCTATACCAAATGAGAAGTATCAAGGTTTATCATGCGTGTGCTTTGTTGCAAACATTTGTTTAACTTGCAAAGCCTTTTTTTCTGGGGGGCCTCAGGTGCTTATTTTTCATTTTGAGACTGTTGGGAATTATATAAGCACAAAAATTTTCAAATGATAGAGGGAAAGCAGCAGAAATTTTTTGGAATGGGACCTGCAAAGAGTATAAATTAACCGAATGATGGAGTTCGAACTAAGAGGCTTATAAATACACTGAAAAACATAGAGGGCCAACCGAGAAATTGAATTTTGTTTGAATTATCAGAGTTTGAATTATCGTGCGTCTACTGTATATTTAAGTGATTTTGTATGTTGTCTGTAAGATTGCTGCAGAAGTGTCATGGAATGCATATGGACTCTACTGGGATTCTGTAATATTTTACGGGAATCCTTGTTAACATTCTACATGTGTATTGTGTCAATCTTATGCAAGTATCATATGGACTTAGCTGCTTATATAGTCGGTAACATTATATGTAACTCTAGTGTGCTGATTACAGTGGCATGTGGAATGGTTCAGCAGGGATATCTCGTTGATTTGTGAGGTTGCACGAGACCTGCGCATTATGAAGTCGTCTTGGGAGTGACTGGTGGCGAACTGAAACAGTGCAATGTGGCTGCATGCAACCCTGCCCTCGAATGCCTTTCGACAGGTGGCGCTGCAGTTGCGCGTATTGTGGGCGAGCATGCGCTGGGACGACCTACAGGCCAAGCCCCCACCTGGTGGTACCAACACGATGACAACCGAGAGTGACGTGCAGACGACCGAGCTGCTCAAGCGCAAGGACGTGGGACCCTTCGGTCTGCGCTCCGAGTACCTCGTGCGGCGCATCACGGTGCCCATCGACCTGCCCTCCAAACCGAGAGGTGGGTCAATGATATTTAGTATCTCCAGTGTCTTGTGTGAGTATGGCAGGGTGCTAAAGGTGTTTGGACGTTGTAAAACCAAAATTTTTTTGGTATCCTTGTTTGCTTTGGTGGATCAGTGGTTATTATGGTGCTCGGCTGCTGACCCAGAGGTCAGGAGTTCGACCTCATCTTTGGTGGAGGCGGAATGGTACAGGCTTGTGTATGGTACGATGTCGGTGCACGTTTAGGAACACCGGATGGTCCAAATTCGCTAAGCCCTTCATTCTGGGATGCCTCATTATCATATCATTAGACTTGTGCAAATAGATTCGGCTCGAATAATTTCAAATCGGATTCGAAAACATATGACGTATTAAAAAAATGGGCATATAACTAACCTGCCTGCACAATATATTTTTTTTAGTTGAAGGCCTTTATGTAAATGTCCCCCCACCCCGCTTTCTTTTTTTTTTTGTTTCAAGGGAAGTCAAACAACTGAAAAGTAGCAGGATTTGACTTTTGGTAGGTTTCAAGTGACAGTCGGTAAAACATCTTTCTAAGCTTTAAAAAAAACGGCGACAGTTTGGTGCGGAAAAAGCGCGATTTTAGCGTCAATTTGCGCCCGCATTCATCTCACAGGGATGTTAAAAATTGATTTTGCGCCAGAAATAATGCCGCGAGAAGCTAGAAACTTCTCAGATAAGTGCAAAAATAGGCGCAGATTTCGAAAATGTCATCTTCAAAAAGTCGATTTTTTTGCGATTTTTAGCCTTCTAAGACCCATGTCCCCCCTTAAAGGGACGCTGCAACCCTTTTTAAGCCATGGAATGGATTCACTAATGAAGCTTATTGCCTCGCGAATTAACCGCCTCAAAAATTTTAAGAATTTGTCCAGTACGAGCGGAGTTGCAAAAAATTGCCGCACGTTGCAATTGCATTCTCTTTTCTCGTCCCGACGAAAGCGCTTGAAGCAAAGCAAGAAAAGATGGCGCGGGAAAAGCAAACGTCAAGCACGCCTCTTGACTTTGAGCACTTTTTCTCTCTCTCTCCTTTCTTTTTTTTTTTTTTTTTTGAATACGTGGCTTTTCAGTGCGATCGCACACGTACATGTAAACAAGTCACGGCCTCCCGCGATGGCCTCAGTAACGACCGAGCGCGCCATGCTGAAATCATCCAATAGCTGATACAATGGTGGTGACGAGTGATTTTTGAGCTTGTGGAATCATTTGCCGAGATAAGAGAGCAAATTATACCTGGCTGAAAATTTATTGTGAATTCGAGGCTGCGTGCTGCGCAATAATTATAATAAGGATAGACCACTTATAACGTAAGCTGCGGGAGTCGTGAATATCTGCACAATGAGTGGTACCGCACTATAACCAAAACAAGCTTTTTTAAAGGCCGCACTTGCGCAAAATGTGTTGAACATGCAGCTTCACGTGTCCGAAAATCTAAACGTGCGATGCGTGCTTGCTAACATTTAAATTTCTGAATGTGACTAGAAATTGACCTCCAAAGACACACGGTGCCAATGAAATGAACGCGAAAGAGTGGGGGTGGGGGGGTCTAACAAATGAAAGCACCATCGCGCAAATTCGCCGACTAATAGACCACCTCGATTATGCGCATTACATAGAAACTATGTCGAAGTTCGTCCAGAATATGACACGTTGAAAGACGCCAACCATTCGATTTCATGGAAGCACACCCGATTTCAGTATATAGTTTTCTGCGGAGTTTGACGCTTGTTCGGCGCGGCTTTTTCAAAACTCCCGCGCCGACCTTACAGTCACGCCCCGCGCGGCCGAGAGAGCTGGCCTCCTCATACAGCCAGCGGAGAGGATTGTGTCACATGACCGAGAAGCAGCGCCGCGGTGCAAAGCGATTCCCCTCTCACTTGGACTGTGTCTCCACTGCTGCCCTCTGCACCGAGAAAGGAGGACTCTCCTTGACAGCTTTCTTTTTTTCTGTTTCTGCGCGCGGCCTTCAAAGGAGAAGGGTCTCTACGTGCAGAGACAGAAAAAGGGAGGAGCGTGGCACAGGCGCTTCGCAGATCGGCATTTGAGAGAGAGCAAAGAATCTGCCACAGTCTTTGCTTTCCTTTTCTTCTTTTCCTTCTTCGCGTGCAGCTTTGAGATGTGCCGCCACGGGATTAGGCATGGTGCTGAGAGCATTTTCGGAGCGCGGTATGTTCTAATGAACCGTCGTGAGTGCTTGCGCGTTCGAATTACAGGGCGCTTTTGCCCATTGGACTACACATAGCTTCGATGGGACCTCAGCGTGAGTTCGAATAAACAGGAAGTTCGAATTAAGCGTGTTCGAATTAATTAGATTCAACTGTGTTTATTTTCCGTCACACGCGTGGTCCTGTAGCGGTACATCGGGCCGCGAGGTGGTTTCCTTCTTCACTTGCTTATAAGTGTGCGCCTATCTGAGCATACACTGCCACAAACTGTTATAATCGATAAGACGAAATAATGAATATAACGAAATAATTGTGGCTCCCCTTCATTTTCGTTGTAACGAGGTTTGAGTGTACTTTTAGAAAAACGATTCGTCAACCGAATTATTATAGCATCAATCGTTATCAACAGGCTAAGGCATCCTTACACAATATTAAATAACACACAACAACATGACAAACAAGGCGGTGTCGCTAACACCTGACTTGCCACAAGGGTCCTGGCAGACGGCCCGTGTTGCCGTGAACCGGGGTCGCCCTGCGAGAGACAACCATTCGCGCCAAACGCCACCAGAGAAAGAGACTTGCCCAATTATTTCGGGGGTGCCACCAAGGCCTGCCGCCAGGGGTCGCCGCTGGCGTTGACATTTTCTAACCATGATTATGATGATAGTGGTGGTCAACTCTCGCGAACACGCCACCTACCGCTCAATAGTTGGGACCCCTAAATGCGGCTTTTGCGCGAGACACGTGCGCCGTGAGGCGCAAACAACCTCACAGGGGATGTCAGCACCCCCACATTATGTTTTTTTTTTTTCAATGTTGTGCAGAGAAAGTGACGCCTCAGCGAACAGGGCTACGAGAGCGGAGAAGACCAGAATCGCCCCAACACAAGGGACCGACAGTGACCGAAGTGTGGGTGCCCGAGGAGGACCTTGAACTCTGGGAAATCCGGCAGTTCGGAGAAAAGTGAGCTGACGCTTGTTGTGCATCCAGTGCTCTGTGCTTCTCTCTTCGAGGGCTGGTACAGTTTAATGTGCTGCGTGTGTTCAGTTGACTCAGTATCGCATTTGTGTACTTGTGTGAACATTAGTTATTCGATCTTCTTGCCTCATTTGAAACGTTTCAGCGCAAAAGCACTCTCTTTCAGTTATAGCGAATTTCTAGATGAAACAAGCGCAAAAATACACACACTCAGAGAGAACACAGACAAGCGCTTACTAGCAATTGAAAATTTTATTTCGAAGCGAGCACTAATACCGTAACTACTCGAATCTAACGCGCACCTTTTTTCCGGTTAAGCGAGTTCATAAATCGCATGCGCGTTAGAATCGAGTACGAACAAAAAAATTACGGTCAATCTATTGCCATCGGCAAATCCAAAATGGCCGCCCCCTACGTGCGTCGGCATGGCGCGTCGGCCATTTCTGCCTATGTGTTTCCCATGTGCGGCGCTTCGTACGTGTGCTGAGGAGTTCGTCATCTAGTAGTGCATTAGCATCGACGGCGTGGAAGGGCCGACTCCAAAAACTCGAGTGCGCCACGATGCCGCTTTTAAGGGGGGGCGCGGCAAGTAAAGTGCCGATTTTGGTCAAAATATGCGATTTTCTGATTTATTTTTTTTCGTAATCTTCAGACCTTCAACTTCCTTGTTCTAAAATATTACAGCGAAACGTGCGCTACAAATCCCGCAAATAGTGTTTTTGCCGAGGCTAGTCGCCGAAAAGTGCGAAAAAAAAGCCCCTGAAACGGTGTTGTTCACGCCGCACAAACGCGCCAAGTTGTTGACCGTGGGCCGCCATTTTGGTAGCTTTGGAAAGAGGAGAAAGCCGGCTTCCCGATGGTCGCGGTCTCGTATTTCGCCGAGTGAAAATAAAAGCGCGAGGAGCAAGTAAAAAAACGAAAACGAAGAACGGCAATTGGCTGCGCGGGTCACGTGGTAGCAGGCGCGACCTCTTACTGGTCAAAGCTGCGCCGCGCACCTTGGCAACCTTGGAAGCGCGAGCGCATCTGCGGCCGCCGTGTCGAGAATCATCCGGCGTGCGCTTCGTTTTTTGCCAGTTTGCTGTTTTTGTGATAGTTCGGGTGCTTTTTTACCAAGCTTTGTTTACATCGGTGGTCTCTTCTGAGTGCTTGCTCATACTGCGGTGCTATGTTGCCGCAAAAAAAGTTCCGGAGCGTCCACAAGTACGGCAAGCGTCGGAAAGCTTGGAACAAAGGGCAGACGACTGCGGCTGCCGTCCCAGTCGCAGTTCCGGACGGAGCATGCTCTTCAAGCGTCACGGAGCCTCTACTCAGACCCTTCGCTGATTGTTGTGAGGCCGAGAGTGTGGAAGGTGCCACATCGTCGTATGTCAGACCGCCGGATGCCGTCGACCGTGATGGACGCTCTCGCGAACCCGATTGCGGTGGCACCGCGTCGGCAGCCGTTGCAACTCCGGGCGTGCGCGCGTCGAACATTCTATCGCGAGTTTCGGCCCAGATTCCGAGCAGTGAAGAAATCGCGCAGCGGGCGCAGACAAGGCGGGATGTTTTGGATGCCGTAGCATCGAAGTCCGCTTCAAAGCGGAAGCTCGAGCTTCTGAACGAAGGCTGCGACGAAAATGACGGCGGTAAGGACTCCACATTCTTCATTGTAAATAAGAAGATGCTGAACGGTCTGCTTTCGTCAGTAAAGTGCAACAAGTGCGACGAAGGGTCGATACGCCTCGAGACTACGCACTGCCTTGGACTCGCGGCGAGGATGGAACTTTTTTGTGACAATTGTGGCAGAGTGAACAGTGCGTGGTCGTCCCGAGGTGCTCCGGGCAACAAAAAACGAACCCCTTTGAGGTAAACGTGCGTGCTTTGAGGGCTGTGCAGTCAGTTGGCAGAAAACAATCTGCCATAAATGACATTTTTTCTGCGATGGACATTTCGCATCGAGCACTGCACCACAAGTCCTACCAGAGACTGCAAAGGAAGTACAGCCACCCTGCCACCACATCAGCTGCCACCCGCATTGAAGCAGAAAGTGCACAGAAGGTGCATGACATTTACAAGGACCTAGGAGGAGTGCCAGGCAACATTGACGTCATTTACGACGGCACGTGGATGACGAGGGGGCACAGAAGTCATATTGGCGTGGGCTGTGTAATCGAGCTGTACACAGGCTTGGTCTTGGACCACTGTGTCCTGTCCAACTACTGCCAAGGCTGTGCTGTTGGCCCCAAGCCTGGTGACGACAACTATGAGGAGTGGCTTGAGAAACACAAGCCACAGTGCCAAAAGAACACCGATGCTAATGCAGGCCAAATGGAAGTAGAAGCAGCTAGGATCATGTTTGAAAGATCGTTTACCAAGTACAAGCTTCGATACATCAATGTGCTCTGCGACGGTGACAGCCGTACGTACCTTGCCCTCACGCAAGACAAGGTGTATGGCTACATGGTGATTGAGAAACAGGAGTGTGTGAACCATGTGAAAAAAAGAATGGGCACTTCCTTGCGCAACCTTCTTGATGAGCACAAATCCAAAGGCCGAGGACTGAGCATGGGTGGCAAAGGCCGGCTGACGCAGGGCCTGATAAAGAAGTTGACGAATTATTATGGCTGGGCCATTAAGAGCCACCCCAACGATGTTCCTGGCATGGAGAGGGCCATCATGGCCACTTATTACCATGTAACATCCACAGACCAGGATCCACACCACAACCTGTGCCCAAGTGGGACTGACTCCTGGTGCCCGCACAATCAGGCATTGGCCAAGGGAGAGCCGCTGCCGCCTCACAAACATAAACTGCCCCCTCACGTGCGAGTGGCACTGCTGCCAATCTACAAGCGCCTCTCGAACAAAGAGCTCCTTGAAAGGTGTGCGCAGGGAAAAACCCAGAACGCTGTGGAGAGTATGAACAGCCTCATTTGGTCACTCCAGTCCAAGAGCCAGTTCGCCTCCCTTCGAAGTGTGGAAAGTGCAGTTGCAGATGCAGTCTGCCGTTTCAATGGTGGCTGCAAGAGTGCGCTGCAAGAGATCACTGCTCAACTGGGCTTCAATCCAGGAGACTGCTCTTTGCGGCGAGCAGCCGAAAAGGATGCCAAAAGGGTAAAGAGGGCTCAAAAGGCGCATTGTTCCACGACAAAGAAGCGCAAAACTGGGTTGCACTCTACAGAAGCCAAGGCCACAGCATCTCAGGATTACTGCCCAGTAGGATTCTGAGTGTTTTAGGCATGTTGTGAACTTCCAAACAAGAGTGAACTTTCAAAGTCAGTTTTCTCAACTCTTGATTTTCGCCTATGTGCCTTCGCTAGAACATCTGTCATTTTCTAACAAAGACTGATAGAGTCGTTCCGTTTTTTGCACTAGGCTCAGGAGGCCTTTAGCAGTGCAATAAAGCTTTATCTCTTTTCTTACTCATCATTTAAAATTTTTAGAACACATTTTATAATTACTGCGATGTGTGCGCAAAACAACATCCATGTTTTGGAAATTTTATTTATGGTTACAAGAACTAGAAAAATCAACTAATAGCTTCTTTGCACAAGTTGATGCTTTGGGAACATAATAATATGAAAAAATAATTTCATTTAGCAATAATTATCTCTTTAAGTGTGAAGAGCATTAATTAGTATAATTATGCTTGTAACTCAAAAAGTACAAGAGGTATTTGAAAACGGTTTTCATATTTGGAATCCTCACAATCATCCACATACACACACCAAATTTCATCACAAACAGTACATTAATAAAAAAATTAGTTTTACTTGCCACGTCCCCCCTTAAAAGAAAAGTCATCGCGTGTGCAGAAACGAACGGAAATCGGGCCGCATCGCGGTCGTTCGGAGTTCCCGAAACGTGCGTGCAGGACTGGCGGAAACAAAAGCAGAAGATTGTCGACAGCAAAGCTTCACGCAAAGGCTTCAGTGGACCACAGCAGGGTCGGTTTCCGCAAATTAAAGAGCTGCTCGGCGAGTATGTGCTTGAGCAGCGAGCGGCACAGCGGCCCGTGACGACAGAACTGCTCCAAGTGCGGGCTATGCAAATTAGTCTTAGAAAACGGTCTGATGCGGAGCCAGTTTAAAGCGAGCAGGTGCTGGCTAACTAACTTTATGAAGAGGAAAGGCTTTTCCCTCCAAAGGGAAACATGCATATGCGAAAAGTTTTGCGGAGGAGTACGATGAAAAGCTTCGCAGTTTTCAGAGGTTCGTCCTAAACTTGCGGCGCAACAACGGCTACCTGCTTGGGCAATTCGGGAATGCCGATCAGACACCTCTTTACTTCGACATGCCTGGCACCACAACCGTCGAGAAGAAGGGGGCGAAGCAAGTTTGCGTGCTGACATCGGTCCACGGTAAAACTACAGTGACGGCAATGCTCTGTTACACGTCAGATGGGCACAAGCTTCGCCCGTACCTCATATTTAAATGGAAGACGCTCCCGAAAGGAGTCGTTTTTTCGAGTGGTGTGATCGTGCGGGCCAACGATAAAAATGGGTGCGCGTTGCAATCGATGCCTTACGTTTTTTTTTTTTTTTCGCGGTGGAAATCGGGTGCGCGTTACAATCGGGGGGCGGTAGAATCGAGTAAATACGGTAAATACATCACACGCATGTACGTCATTCCCGACTTCCCCTGTCATCATCAACAATGTGATATAACAAAATATGCACGCGCCCACAACCGGAAACAAACACGTGTCAAGAACAAAGAAAAAAAAAACAGAAAAAAAAACAAGGAAACAAAACAAAAAAAAACGTAACACAAAAAAACACTGGGTTATGTGACGTCCAAAAAAGCAAATTCCGCATCTGTTAGTAGAACTGACGCTTGACGGACGCAACTGTCCTCTCCTTTTCTTATTCTATACGCTTCCATTATTCCTCTCGTCGTCCGCTTTTGTGCCTGTCAATTATTCGTGTTTCGGAAAATTTCGGTTGGTAGGTGCACTCCTTGCAGTGCATCGCTAAGTGTGAGTAAGGGGCCCCCTTTAGTGAACTCTCATGTTCACGAAGGCGCACATTCATGCACCGACCCGTCTGACCAACGTATTCCTTTCCACATGTGAAAGGAGTTCCGTATACAACATCTTTTTTGCACTCAACGTACCTCCTGCCATGCTTTATGCTACATCTGTTCGATTTTCCAGTTCCTTTCTTGTTGACTAGCCTTTCTACTGCTGGACAAATCTTTGATAATTTGTTTTCAGCTGAAAAAACAACCCGCACACCATACCTTAATGCAAGTTTTTTCAACCTACGTGAAATATTGTGCAGGTACTGGATGACCACTGTCCGCTCTCTTTCACCCTCAACTTGTCTCCTCTCTTCGCTTGTGCCAATGATTGCATTTTTTACTTCCCGACGTTTTTACTTCCCTTTTACTTCCCGAAGTTGAGGGTGAAAGAGAGCGGACAGTGGTCATCCCGTATCTGCACAATATTTCACATGGGTTGAAAAAAGTTGCATTAAGGTATGGTGTGCGAGTTGTTTTTTCAGCTGAAAACAAATTATCAAAGATTTGTCCAGCAGTAGAAAGGCTAGTCAACAAGAAAGGAACTGGAAAATCGAACAGATGTAGCATAAAGCATGGCAGGAGATACGTTGAGTGCAAAAAAGATGTTGTATACGGAACTCCTTTCACATGTGGAAAGGAATACGTTGGTCAGACGGGTCGGTGCATAAATGTGCGCCTTCGTGAACATGAGAGTTCACTGAAGGGGGCCCCTTACTCACACTTAGCGATGCACTGCAAGGAGTGCACCTACCAACCGAAATTTTCCGAAACACGAATAATTGACAGGCACAACAAGCGGACGAGAGAAATAAAGGAAGCGTATAGAATAAGGAAAGAAGGGGACAGCTGCGTCAGCCAAGCGTCAGTTCTACTAACAGATGCGGAATTTGCTTTTGTGGACGTCGCATAACCCAGTGGCAACAAAGTCTGCAGCACAGCTTTTTCCCCAAAATGTGTTTCGAAATGTGATCTCGAATTCGACGCCGCGATTTCATTGATAAGCTGATTTCATTGCAGTTTAGTTTCTAAGCAACAAAGAATGTGTGGCATATACACATGCATCTCGTGATGAAAAATTCTTGAATACTGAGTGCCATTAGCGGCAGTGTTTCAACTAGCTATCTCGCCATCTGCAAGGCAGCATCGTGAGGAAAGCAAGCAACTTGCTGCCTCGAAGTAAACGGGATTACCTCTCGAAACATCATTAACACTCTGTATTCAACGATTTTTCATCCATTACACCTTTCCCTGAACTTCGGTTTTACTTGAATATACAGTGAGTGAGTGATAACGGGGGGCAATAATGGCATTACATGTAGCGATTACTGTCTTGCCTTTCTGTCTTTTTGTGGCAGGATAGAGAAGCAGCAGTTGGCGGTGCGTGAGAAGTTGGCCCAGGTACACGCCCAGCAGAGCGCTGACAAGATCCGCGCCCAGATGGAGGCCCAGCTGAAGCAGCAGCGAATAGCCATGCAGCAGAAGCGGCTGCAGGAAGGCACGACCGGAGGCACCGCCAAGGTCAGCGTGTCCGGCACCAAGACCATCACAGTGACCGTGTCCACGCCACAGGCCGCCAGCCAGGCACTCGCCAAGGTGGGCAAGGTTTCATCGTCAAGCTAGCGTCTGACGCAGTCGAGATCAGATGTTCAACCCGCTGCTTTTGCGACCTGTCTTGGGAATCTTCTAGCCACTATATAAACATCAGTTTTCCCTACAGTTGAGCCCAAACGTTCAACACACTGCCATCAGTACTTGGCTTTCCCAGATGAAGGCTCATGTTTTCATCACAAACAGAGGACATACACACGAGCTTCTAATTTAAAAAAAAAAAAAAACAAGTCAATCATGCACAGTAAAAATAATGGCTCGTTTATAGCATGGTCACAAGATCACAAGGCCTGGGGCCCTGCTACAGATATTTGTTTGTATGGCATTGAAGTGTCGAACTAGTGAATGAAACAAAAGTAATTTCAATAATCTCCCATCGATTTTAGCGTTTAATGAATGAAAATGTGCTGATCGTGTGTATGTCATGCCGCAAAGTTAGTTTTGTGTCTGCAACTTTACCATAGCGAGGTACGGCTCTGTTCATACAACCATTTAGTTGCAGCATCATTGCCTTTATCGATTTACTGAGAACTGATCCTTGCACATTCCTTGTTGCATCCAGGTGGCCCTGGTCTCTTCTGGAAGTACAATCAAGGGCACCACACTCACGAGCCTGGTGGCAACGCCTGGCAATCCCGGCACTGGACGTGCGGTGCGGCGCATCTTTACGACTCGACCCGTGGGGGCCACCAACAGTGCAGACGGCATCACCAAGATCCCCATCAGCGCCGGCACGCCGACACTGATGCCTAAGGCGACCGTGGGTGGGCAGCAGCAGATCGTCCTGCGGGGCTCCGTCGCGGGCCAGACGCGGCCAGCCGTGATAGCTGTGAGGGGAGTGGTGCCTTTGACTGCCGGTGGCACCAACGCGGTGATCCGTCCCGCCGTGGGAAATCCGACCGGCACGGCCGCCCCCGTCCGAGCTCAGATTCAAATCATCCAGGGTCCCAATGGTCAGCTCCAAGTCCGGGGGCTCATGCCAGGTAAGTAGCAACGTTTTTTCTCCCCCCCCCCCCCTCTTAAAAATGCAAAAAGCCGCCCTCGGCGACGTCAACATTAGTGATGCAGAAAATCATCACGGCATCATGGGATGCGATAACCCTACGACGTCACAGGTCGCCGAAATTTGCGATGCTCCTTGGACATCGCATCACTTTACGTCATCACGCCGTAAAATGAAAGGTTGGCTGTTGAAGGTGGCACTGTAACTGCTCGAGGTGCTTCCAATGTCTAAGATCATGGAGGCATTGCAAAACCACATTAATTGCAGAAAGCGTTCAGGAGGGATCACCACTATCATCAGAGAAGAAAAATATTGTCTTTTTGTCATTGTGGGTAAATGCGCAGGGACTGTGCGACTTCTTTGTTGTTCCCCAAAATTTTTGATCGTCATCCTTCTTGGGTTTTTAGCTTACATACGATGACCCCCCGAGGAAATTTTTCCAGTTCAATTGCCACCTAGGTCGCTGTTGATGCCAACTGTGACTTCTTTTACCTTGAACCCATTTTATAACTTGCGCTGTACAAAAGAAAATTCGTAGAGTTAAACACTGCCCCTGAGTGGTTAGCAAAGTGAACAGAGAGCCTCATCAATTTGTACTCTTTGTACTCTATACGAATAAACTATGTCAACGTAGGTAACAAAAAACGTGATGAAAAATAAACCCAGTTCATTTGTCAATTGGAGCACTAAAGCTTCAATGACACAGCTGAGTTGATTTGGCGTTTCAAAAGAAGAGAACTGTTTGCAAAAAGATGACTGTTCATTCCTTGGTAAATTGCTTAGTAATAATTTTCATTTTATCATCTCTTCAGCATGCTGCATATCTTATAAAGAAATGCTTGGTACCATCAAACCTGATTAGAACGAAACTGCATCATACACGAAAATAAGTTCACTATGTCCGAAAGTTTGTTGTGAAGGTTTATTCCTAATGCTGTATATATTGCAAGACTATTTTTCATTTACTACAGAGTAACCGATAGTTTGTTACTTCTGTGTTCGTTATACAGTCGAATCATGATAATTCGAACTTTAAGGGGGCCCAAAACTTTGTTTTGAATTAAAAGAAGTTCAAATTAATGAAAGCTAAATAAACGGAGGGCTCTCCATGCAGTGGTGCATGTGCATTGAGCTAGCACAAAAGGGGAAAGTTTAAGAAGACTTACATTTATCCACAAATCACAGGACATCTGTTATTAATTGAAGTAATCGGTGATGCGCGTCTGCACATGTTTGCCTTGCAGTGAGTCAATCAATTTCGCACGCAGATTGCAAAGCATTTCTACTTCGGCTTCAGCATTCTCCTGGCAAGAGAAGCTGTGCGTGTAAATGTACAGCGCCGACACTTTCTAACGATGACGACAACGACTGCGTAGCAGAGCCTCTCCGCTATGCAGCCGCAGCATGGCCAGCACGCGACGAGAAAGGAGGAGCGTCTCCACGCGAGAGAAGCAGATCGGTATTTTAGGGAAAACCAACACTCCACGACAGTTTTTTTTTTTTTTTTTGCTTTTCCGCACGCGTCGTTGAAAGGAAAAGGGTTACGTGGCAGGGAAGGGAAAGGGGGAAGCGTGGCACCGCCGTGTGAGAGACCCCTCAAGGCGCAGAGCCGTGCTCCCGCAAGGGCTGCAGAAGATAGTGCCTTTTACTTTCCTTCAACCACACAATCATTTAACCCAGCGACGGCTTTCTTTTTTTTTTTTCCTCTCTCTCTTCGTGCGCGGCGTGTGAAGGCGGAGGGCCTTTACGTGGCAGGGACAGTAAAGGGAGAAGCGTGACACAGGCGCGTCGCAGATCGGCATTTGAAAGAGAGCAAACATTCAACCTCAGCGTTTTCTTTCCTTTTCATTTCCTTCGCGCGCAGCGTTGAGATGTCGCAGGTGCCGCTGCGCGATTGGGCGGGGTGCTGAGAGTATTTTCGGAGCGCGGTATGTTTGAATTAACCGTTCAAAGTCCTTGGGCATAGGAATTACCGGGCGTTTTCGCCCATTGGAATACACATAGCTTTGACGGGACCTCATCGTGAGTTCGAATTAAGCGTGTTCGAAATAATGAGATTTGACTACCGTATTTTTCGATGTATAACTCGCGTTTTTTTTTTTTTCTTAATTTTTCGTTGGTGCGACTTATATACAGTCAAAATCGGGTTTGATGCTGCGGCTTCGGCCGCTTCGGCAGCCTGGATATCGTCGTGCGCTCCTTTTGCCATGCACAGAAACTGCATTTTACAAGAAAATAAAAATAGTGGTAAATTAACTCTCTAGAAATAACACATCTGATGTAGCCTAGCACAGAAAATAAATAATCAAAGAGGGGTGAAAACGTGCAGGGATTTTAAAATTTTCAAATGATGAAAGGCGAGTTTGGATTTCCAAGCCGCTTCCTTTGCCGTCACTTCCGTCCGCACTCGCGGCTGCTGCTTTGGTGCGCGCGTCGTGTGTGTTGTGCCAGTCGTAGCGTGTGGCGTAGGCTCAGCGGCCTCGCTAATCTGACAACGGCACCATGGCTCCACATGGAAGGCAAAGTCAGCGAAGTTTCGATGCCAAGTTCAAGCTGCGCGCAGTTGAATTTGCCGAAGAACATGGAAATCGTGCTTAAGGGAGGGAATTTGATGTCACCGAAAAAATGATCCGGGACTGGCGCAAAGCCCAAAGTGTCCCGGACAATGAAGTCTACAAAGAAGGCCAACTGCGGCAAGAAGGCACGCTGGCCGGACCTAGAGCGTAGCCTGCGAACGTGGGTGCTGCAAAAGAGAGCCGAAGGAAGAGGCCTATCAACAGTGCAGCTGCGCCTGAAGGCGAAGGCTCTGGCAGCGGAGACAAACGCTGTGGGGTTCCATGGTGGTCCGTCGTGGTGCTTCCGCTTTATGTGGCGGAATCGGCTTGTGATGAGAGCCCGCACTACAGTGTGTCAGAAGCTTCCTGACGACTTCCATGTGCAGCTGGAACGCTTCAGCTCATTCGTGTGGGAGGAAGTAGCGAAGAACAACATCAGCGCAAGCCACATCAACATGGATGAAGTGCCGTTGACCTTCGACATCCCGCTTGGGAGAAGCGTCGCCGAGAAAGGCCAAAAGACTGTCACGGTGAGGACAACAGGCCACGAGAAGTCTCACTTCACCGTTGTGCTCGCTTGCTGCGCAGACGGCACCAAGCTGCTTCCCATGCTTATTTTTAAGAGAAAAACCTTGCCGAAAGCTATTTTCCCTTCTACAGTGGTGGTTCAGGCGAACACAAAGGCTAGGATGGACGAAGAAATGATGGGTGTGTGGATTGACCGTTGTTTTTCACGTCGACCCGACGGATTCTTCCACGTGAAGCCAGGAATGCCGGTGATGGATAGTATGCGGGCACATATCACCGACGTTGTCAAAAAAAAGATCGGTTCGAAGAATTGTATGCCTGTAATTATACCCAGCGGCATGACCAAGATGCTTCAGCCACTCTATATTGCGGTTAATCGCAGCTTTAAGGCCGTCCTGCGACGTTTGTGGGAATCATGGATGTCGGAGGGTGAACGCAGCTTCACTAAAACGGGGCGCATGAGACGCGCTGAGTTAGGGGAAGTAGTGAAATGGGTGAGCGAACCATGAAATTCAATATCTGACAAGATCATTGTGGTGGGCTTTCGCTAGGCTGGTTTGAACTCCTACGTGACGGATGTTGAGTCCGAATCGAGCGAGTCAGAGGACGACAGTGACGTGCCGGAGGACGACGTGCCCGGAGTAGTACCCGAAATAGCTGTGCTATTTGTCAGCGATTCGGAAGAAGAAGACTTCGATGGATTTGATTAAACGCTGCTAGCCATCGCAATAAAGATACTTCAGACTGAAAATATTGTGTTTATGTATATTGGGAAGAGCTCGCCTGCGTGTGTGCAAACAGCTGGAAACTTGCAAGTGCGACGGCCGCCTCTTGCATGAATTTTCGTAGTGCTTTCTCGCGACGCGGCACTCGATGGCCGGGTGAGCAGGTGCGACTTGTACACTGGTGCGACTTATATAAGTTTTTTTTTTTTTTCGGAAAAACTGCCATTTTGAGGGGGTGCGACTTATAGACCGGAAAATACGGTATATTGAGTTTGGGTGTACCCCCTTTTCAAAAGTCTCAACAAATTTTCTACATATAGTTAAAACTCTTCTCTGCCAACTGCGCTAAAGTTTGTATCCCACCCTTACCATGGTGTATTATGTCTTGCAGGCCAGCAGCTCATCCGTTTGCCCGACGGCCGTCTTCAGCTGCTCACGTTACCCGTGCAAGCGGCACCGGCAGTCGCCACGACTACGGCCAGCACGACCAACACATCACAGCCGCAGACCATCCAGATCACCACACTTCGGCCAACCGTCTCCATTGCCCCGGCCACGGGCGTGGCTGCAGCAGCGGCTACGGCTGCAGCAACGGCCGTGGCGGCTCCAACAGCCACCGTGGTTGCCGCACCAGCAGCAGCACCTCAGGCAGCAGTCTCCGTAACGCCGGCCGGCACAGTACAAATCGTCTCCCAGCCGTCACAGCAAATTAAGGTAAGTGGCTGAGGTTCGTTGCACTGCTGCGATATGGAAAAAATAGGGAGTGACCATTTAGATGCATTTAAGATTGCTGTGGTGCGTTGCGCTACTCTGTCTACAATCTGGAGGGAGGAGAATGTTTTCTAATACCTTGAAGTATGATACTTAGCAACAGCTCAATTTTTTGTCCGCCCTGCACGCACAGTAAGCTGTAAATGTCAGATTCTGGTCTTTTTATGTGCATTTGTATGCCTGTAGAATGCTATTGTGGCTCTGCCCCTCCACAAGATGGGACAGAGGCAAGATTTAAACCTATTTAACAGAGTGGATCATTTGCCAAACAATACAGATAATGGATCCCACGTGCAAGGGCTTCACGTTTACTCGTAGTCTTCATCTTTGGCGAATACCGCACTAATCCGTGTCCCATGTTGCACCCTACAGGTTTCTCATAATCATATGGTGGTTTTGGGACGTTAAATCCCACATATCAAACAATGTTTCACCGTAACTCCATATTCAATGTTCATGTAGAAAATGTTGCGATAATCTCCGCATGCAGATGCAGCCCACGGTAGTGCTGTCGACAGCGCTGCCCGTCAGTTCGGCTGCGGCGGCTGCTGGCACTGTGGTGACCACCAGCCAGGCAGCACTGGCCCCAAAGCTCATTCAGATTCGGCCGCAGCTGACCACCACCGTACAGCAGCAGATCTTGGGCACGCAAGTCAAAGGTGAACCCTTGATGCTTTTCCTATCAAGCTTAGAATCTGAAATTGCTTGTCCAGAAAAGTGACAAATAGAATGGGATCAGTTGTTTCTATTTATAATGGTTGTGCATTATGCTGTAGTGCTGGCCAGCGTATGGCTTAGCAAGTTACTGGTGAGCTCATCTGCATTCAGGACGGCGTACTCATGTTATTTAAGAGCAACGCACAATACATAGTGTTATAACTTGATATATTCTGTTTTAGAAGAAAGCTTTAAGAGGAGGACGTGGCTTTCGTATCACGAAAAATGGCTGAAATATTGATCTTTTGAAAATCACATTTTCAGTTTCTTCAGTCGTTATTCTATCCGACTCCGAAATATCTCCGCTAAAAACTGTCTAGAAGTGCTTTGAAAAATTTTTTGCGCTTGCCAGAGTGGCGAGAATTATCGCAGAAGTCGCGAGAAATGCCAATGCACAAATTGCCTACAAGGTGTGGGCAACTTGTGTTCATTTTCCAGCCTGTCATTGTAGATTGTCTACGACTCTGGCCAGAGTCCAGCCCACGTAATTGCTGCCAGCCATTTCATTTGCAGTGTCTGTAGGCTAAGCTGTTTATCGAGTGACAAGAGTGATCGAAGTTGCGAGCAGTGAACGGTTTATCATTTTCCAACCGACCCGCAGTTTTGCCGACAATGAGGCCCCTGGTGCAAGCGGCAGCAGGCACCGTAACACCGGCCACCACCGGCGTACGGTTGCAGGCAGCGACCGTGAGCATACCGGGGTTGGCCACCGTAGTGGCCAGCCCGGCCGCTGCAGCGGGTGCCGCTGCAGCCACCCCGGTGGTGGCCACAAAGACGTTACTGACACCAGTGGCGACTACACCGGTCAAAGGTTGGTGCCAGACTCCGTTTATTGTCATCATTGTTTCTACTCGTTGCACCAGTGCCGTTCATTTCCCCTTGTAAGCAACGTCTTTGGTTCTTAATGTTGAGCCCTTGAGTACTGTTCTAAGAGAGCAGGGGAACTAATTTTATTCCCAGGTCGCCAATTACCGTGTCACGTTACGCTGAAACACCTTTGGCACAACATTTGCAGCATGTTTCTGAAATGCACAGTGAATGTCCGCATAACCAATGATGCGAGCACACCCACACAGAAAGAAATGCAGCTATGCGCATCTTTCGAATTGCCAGGCTACATAACTACAAATTACAGCTGTGCAAATAGCAATACTTTGGGTGCGAACCGAATTTGAATATTGCAGTATGAATATTAAAGTGTGAGTTCGAATCGAATAGACTATTTTCTGAATATTTGTAGAGTATTTCTAGATTATTTTTGCATACTTCAAAATAAAATTGCAGAAAAAAAAAAGTTGAGGAGTATTCCCTAAGGTTATTCCTATAAGATAGCAACATGACAGTATCTTTTCGCTAGGTTGATGTGCTGGGGTGTGGTGTTTTGTATTTTTCTTATCAAGAATGCGGGAATGCAGAGGCTGAATTGATTTATGCTCTTTACACTTTAACCTCAATATAACGAAGCCAGGTATAACAAAATATTGGTCATAACGAAGCAAATGAAAAATAGTGTTAGGAATAAACCTTTATAACGAATTTTTTGATATAGCAAACTTACTTTCATGTACGATGCAACTTTAATATAATGAGGTTTGAATGTTCTTGGTGCAACCAAAGTGTTGCCGGAAACGCTTTACACATGAATTGCAAAGATGCTATTACCTCAGCCTCTCCTCTTTTTTTCAACTTCTGTGGAAGCCAAAATGATCTGGCGAACAAGGGTGTGCTCCCTTCTAGTCCAGAGTTCCAAATCTGCCTCGTAGGCGTCAATATGGAAGTACATCTGAAACTTCAAGAGCAGTTTTCTCAAAGCGATTTTCTTGCTTCCTGCTTCCCTTATTCTGCTCATTTCTCAGCAACCACTGCGTCCATCTGACTTCTGTCTTTTGTTCTATATTTCTTGAAGTACAGTACAGGGCATGACAATATTACTTTTTCAGTATTGCCTTTTGATAATTACCGTAAAAACCGGAATATAGGTCAACCCCCCAAACTTTTAATCTTCGAAAAAGAAGATTTTAAAAATCGCAAAATGTCGCGCGGCGCACCGTTACTTTAGTAAATACGTGATACAGCCAGCTGCACTGTTGTGACATTTTTTTTTATTTAAACACTAACATTACATAATTAAATGCCAAAAGGCCACAAAAGCTCTCACTCGGGCTCGTATGAATTTGAGTCCGACGATGTCTGTTTTTCACTAGTAGCGTCTCAGAGTGCATCATCTTTCGTTCCATCTAATGCGTTACTGATGCAGGATTTGCGGAATAACGGAAGTACGCCGCCTCAGCGCAAAGCACTTTCGTTTCATGAATCGGCGCACCCACGATGGTGATCCCTTGAATTGCACCCTGTTGAGCCCAGAGTCGCGCGCTAGCTTGAGAGCTTTCACGCAAATGCACTTCGATGTTATGGATATCGGCCTGTAACCCAGCGTCCGTATGAATTCGATGAGTAGCGCTTCCAGTTCGGGGTGCACTGCAGTTGGTCCAGAAAACGGAAGTTTTTTTTTTTTTTTTTTTTCTCCCCCTGCAGGATGTGATGCACTGCTTTTGGCTCCTCCAATATCAGACGCTTTTGTCTGACGCACCGAATTGCCATTGTGCTGCCAGGTTGCCGTGGGCATTGGCATACTCGCTAACTTTTTTCTTAAGGGGGGGCGCGGCAAGTAAAGTGCCGATTTTGGTCAAAATATGCGATTTTCTGATTTATTTTTTTTCGTAATCTTCAGACCTTCAACTTCCTTGTTCTAAAATATTACAGCGAAACGTGCGCTACAAATCCCGCAAATAGTGTTTTTGCCGAGGCTAGTCGCCGAAAAGTGCGAAAAAAAAGCCCCTGAAACGGTGTTGTTCACGCCGCACAAACGCGCCAAGTTGTTGACCGTGGGCCGCCATTTTGGTAGCTTTGGAAAGAGGAGAAAGCCGGCTTCCCGATGGTCGCGGTCTCGTATTTCGCCGAGTGAAAATAAAAGCGCGAGGAGCAAGTAAAAAAACGAAAACGAAGAACGGCAATTGGCTGCGCGGGTCACGTGGTAGCAGGCGCGACCTCTTACTGGTCAAAGCTGCGCCGCGCACCTTGGCAACCTTGGAAGCGCGAGCGCATCTGCGGCCGCCGTGTCGAGAATCATCCGGCGTGCGCTTCGTTTTTTGCCAGTTTGCTGTTTTTGTGATAGTTCGCGTGCTTTTTTTACCAAGCTTTGTTTACATCGGTGGTCTCTTCTGAGTGCTTGCTCATACTGCGGTGCTATGTTGCCGCAAAAAAAGTTCCGGAGCGTCCACAAGTACGGCAAGCGTCGGAAAGCTTGGAACAAAGGGCAGACGACTGCGGCTGCCGTCCCAGTCGCAGTTCCGGACGGAGCATGCTCTTCAAGCGTCACGGAGCCTCTACTCAGACCCTTCGCTGATTGTTGTGAGGCCGAGAGTGTGGAAGGTGCCACATCGTCGTATGTCAGACCGCCGGATGCCGTCGACCGTGATGGACGCTCTCGCGAACCCGATTGCGGTGGCACCGCGTCGGCAGCCGTTGCAACTCCGGGCGTGCGCGCGTCGAACATTCTATCGCGAGTTTCGGCCCAGATTCCGAGCAGTGAAGAAATCGCGCAGCGGGCGCAGACAAGGCGGGATGTTTTGGATGCCGTAGCATCGAAGTCCGCTTCAAAGCGGAAGCTCGAGCTTCTGAACGAAGGCTGCGACGAAAATGACGGCGGTAAGGACTCCACATTCTTCATTGTAAATAAGAAGATGCTGAACGGTCTGCTTTCGTCAGTAAAGTGCAACAAGTGCGACGAAGGGTCGATACGCCTCGAGACTACGCACTGCCTTGGACTCGCGGCGAGGATGGAACTTTTTTGTGACAATTGTGGCAGAGTGAACAGTGCGTGGTCGTCCCCGAGGTGCTCCGGGCAACAAAAAACGAACCCCTTTGAGGTAAACGTGCGTGCTTTGAGGGCTGTGCAGTCAGTTGGCAGAAAACAATCTGCCATAAATGACATTTTTTCTGCGATGGACATTTCGCATCGAGCACTGCACCACAAGTCCTACCAGAGACTGCAAAGGAAGTACAGCCACCCTGCCACCACATCAGCTGCCACCCGCATTGAAGCAGAAAGTGCACAGAAGGTGCATGACATTTACAAGGACCTAGGAGGAGTGCCAGGCAACATTGACGTCATTTACGACGGCACGTGGATGACGAGGGGGCACAGAAGTCATATTGGCGTGGGCTGTGTAATCGAGCTGTACACAGGCTTGGTCTTGGACCACTGTGTCCTGTCCAACTACTGCCAAGGCTGTGCTGTTGGCCCCAAGCCTGGTGACGACAACTATGAGGAGTGGCTTGAGAAACACAAGCCACAGTGCCAAAAGAACACCGATGCTAATGCAGGCCAAATGGAAGTAGAAGCAGCTAGGATCATGTTTGAAAGATCGTTTACCAAGTACAAGCTTCGATACATCAATGTGCTCTGCGACGGTGACAGCCGTACGTACCTTGCCCTCACGCAAGACAAGGTGTATGGCTACATGGTGATTAAGAAACAGGAGTGTGTGAACCATGTGAAAAAAAGAATGGGCACTTCCTTGCGCAACCTTCTTGATGAGCACAAATCCAAAGGCCGAGGACTGAGCATGGGTGGCAAAGGCCGGCTGACGCAGGGCCTGATAAAGAAGTTGACGAATTATTATGGCTGGGCCATTAAGAGCCACCCCAACGATGTTCCTGGCATGGAGAGGGCCATCATGGCCACTTATTACCATGTAACATCCACAGACCAGGATCCACACCACAACCTGTGCCCAAGTGGGACTGACTCCTGGTGCCCGCACAATCAGGCATTGGCCAAGGGAGAGCCGCTGCCGCCTCACAAACATAAACTGCCCCCTCACGTGCGAGTGGCACTGCTGCCAATCTACAAGCGCCTCTCGAACAAAAAGCTCCTTGAAAGGTGTGCGCAGGGAAAAACCCAGAACGCTGTGGAGAGTATGAACAGCCTCATTTGGTCACTCCAGTCCAAGAGCCAGTTCGCCTCCCTTCGAAGTGTGGAAAGTGCAGTTGCAGATGCAGTCTGCCGTTTCAATGGTGGCTGCAAGAGTGCGCTGCAAGAAATCACTGCTCAACTGGGCTTCAATCCAGGAGACTGCTCTTTGCGGCGAGCAGCCGAAAAGGATGCCAAAAGGGTAAAGAGGGCTCAAAAGGCGCATTGTTCCACGACAAAGAAGCGCAAAACTGGGTTGCGCTCTACAGAGGCCAAGGCCACAGCATCTCAGGATTACTGCCCAGGAGGATTCTGAGTGTTTTAGGCATGTTGTGAACTTCCAAACAAGAGTGAACTTTCAAAGTCAGTTTTCTCAACTCTTGATTTTCGCCTATGTGCCTTCGCTAGAACATCTGTCATTTTCTAACAAAGACTGATAGAGTCGTTCTGTTTTTTGCACTAGGCTCAGGAGGCCTTTAGCAGTGCAATAAAGCTTTATCTCTCTTCTTACTCATCATTTAAAATTTTTAGAACACATTTTATAATTACTGCGATGTGTGCGCAAAACAACATCCATGTTTTGGAAATTTTATTTATGGTTACAAGAACTAGAAAAATCAACTAATAGCTTCTTTGCACAAGTTGATGCTTTGGGAACATAATAATATGGAAAAATAATTTCATTTAGCAATAATTATCTCTTTAAGTGTGAATAGCATTAATTAGTATAATTATGCTTGTAACTCAAAAAGTACAAGAGGTATTTGAAAACGGTTTTCATATTTGGAATCCTCACAATCATCCACATACACACACCAAATTTCATCACAAACAGTACATTAATAAAAAAATTAGTTTTACTTGCCACGTCCCCCCTTAAAGCCTATAATAAACTGCTGCTGACAACTGCTCATTTCCGAAGGGAATAGAAAAAAGAAAACAGAAGACTGACAGCAGATGGCTGAGGTGAAATGGCATTGCTGGAACACTGTAGGCCTTGCCTAGGCTTGCTCAGCGGCGCCGCTGCGGGTGCTCACAATGGCAATATAGAGGCTTTCGACTTCAGCTGCCCATTGTTGCGAGACTTCCACATTTTCTTTATATAAAATGAGGATCTACCATTCATTGTGTTCTTTTTTTTTAAAAATAAATTGGACCTATATTTAGGTTTTTATGGTAGCTATTTGCATGTTGCACACAACCTCGATGCCTGTTTCATAGTAGCCTTATGAAAAATGGGGAGTAAAAAAAATTCTGTAGCAAATAAAAAAAATGTACGATTGTCATGCCTTCAATCAGACATCTTAGAATGCATAGTGCTTTGAACGAGTTTCCTATTACGTTTCTATCGAGAGTCAGACTCTGAACAAGACAAAAAAAAAAAAAATATATTGCCATGCTCCATTTTCAAATGTTGGTATCGCATCATTGAACGTGTAAGGGCTGCCTTGCGCAACCACGCCGATGGGCTAAAGAACGATTGAGATAATTGTAGAACGTGCCAATGTGATTACGCGCACAACACGAACATTGCTGATTTGTTCTGGAACATGCATCACCGCTAGCGATAACGCTGGAACATTCGGCGGCCGATGCTCTGTTTGCCGATGTCAGTGCCAGTGTGCATCGCTGTAATCGGTTTACCGGCCACAAGTTTGGCCCAAATAGACAGTTTCATTTTGGACAAGCCGTCTCTTCATTCGTCATCGTCACGGCACCGTGACAATATTGTACATCAAAAAGTTGTAAAGATATGTTAATTAAATTTCAAGAGTAGCACTAAAGAGCATTTTAAGCAAGTGTGCCAATTTTGATTTAAAAAAAATGAGAAATAAGAAAGTTGCAAACAAATGTGACGTCCGGACTGTTGCTGACCACGGCTTCAAATTATCCGCTCAAATTTACATTGCAAAATACGGCACCATGGAAAACTTTGAACTAAGCGGGATTTCAGAGTAACCGAGATTTAATTAACGAGGTTTTACTGTATATTTCTAACAGTGTCTGTTGCAAGACTATTCTTCATTCACTTGGTTATAACTGATATTTTATTATATCTGGATATATATATATCAAGGTTTGAGTGTATTCGCACACGCCTACTTTGGCATGCCCTTACCTCAAGTGATAAGAATTGTCCATATTTCCACGGAAATGATCAAGTTACAAAACATTACTATAGAAATCATTTTTGAGCACTCAGACTGTGCATTTTTTTTTGTTATTCCGAAGTTGCGTTCTTTACATGTGTTTTATTTTTCTCTGCTCACCTCAGCTGTGGCCTCAGCTGCTGCCGCTGCCACCACTGCTGCCACCACTGCTGCCCCTGTCGCCGCTGCGACTGCTGCAAGCAAGACAGAGACGCCCACAACTGCCGCCGCCACGCCGACCACTCCGGTCAAGCAGGTGGCGGAGACCACTAGCACGCCGGTCAAGAGCGAAGCGCCCGCCTCTTCGCCCGTCGCCTCGCCACCCAACTCGCCGCAGCAGTTTGTGCTCACCCCAGCCATAACGCAGCAGAGTAAGTCGAGGTTGCACTGTACAGTCCTCTCCGATCTTGAAGGGTACAACCTAAGAGCAATAAGGCTAATGGGGAAAGCTCTGCAGATAGCAAATTTTTGAGTACAAATCAAACCAAACATTTTTTGAATATTTGTTTAATATATTTTTAATACTTCGAAGAGAAAACTACAGGAAAAAGCTGGCAGTGGATTCTTAAGCACATTCCTATGAGAGAGAAACGTGGAAGAGTTATCAAAGATGAGACAATGCAGGGACCGAATGGTATTCATTTTTTACACGATTTGATGCAACCTATGTGGTGTCGGCAACACACTATGTGTATTGGGAAAAGACTCTGCTTCCTACTTCGAACCAAAATTTACTATTCGCACAATGGTTGAAATTTCGTAAGCCCTACACTAAGGCTGCCCTCATAATCATGTTGCAGTTTTTTGAACGTAAGGACACCCCTTATATAATGAGCCGCATATAGCATGTCGCAAATGCATCATCAACTGTTCTTCTTTCTCTTTGCACCCAGTTGTACGGCAAGCCCTCATGAACCCCCAGACGTCGCCAGAGATCCAACAGAAGCTGCTGGCCCTGCAGCGACATCACCAGCAGATGCAGCGTACACCCACCGCCGTCACGGTGTCTGCGGGCACGGGCCGCAGCTCTTCTTCGTCCTCTTCGTCGTCATCTTCATCCTCGTCCTCCTCCTCGTCTTCGTCATCTTCGGGTGGTGGCCCCGCCGTCTCGCCCCCGGTGTCCAAATCCAAGTCGACCGAACCCAAGGACGAAGGTCAAAGGTATGCAATGCTTCGCAGGAATTCATTTTGTGGACCCTGGCAGACATGTGGTTGTTGGCTACCTCTCTTGATTCTTTGGCCGTCTTGTGCGATTCTGCAGAACCAAATTGCAGTGTGCTGTGCCCATACGCTTCGAGTTGTCGATTGATTTCTTTGCATTGCCAGTGCTAGCTTCCTGGTTGACTCAATTTGTAGAGCCACCGTCCTAGGATTCAATCCTCGGACCAGGCCTAATTTTTCGTCAAGTAAGTCAGGCCTTTTCTCTGAGAAATCTGTGTGGATTTTCTTATGGCTTTGTGCTACAAACAGGTGGCTGTAAATTTCCCATTCAGAATTTGTTGTCTTGGCTTGAAACCTTGGTGGTGCAGACAAGACCTTTTTGGAATGGCATCATCCCTGCTACACATGCACTGTATGCTGTTTTGTTTCTGCAGTTTCCCAATGTGTGTCAATAGTTACGATAGCTATCCCTTCATTGCTGTAATTGGCTAGTTGGTTTGGCATACTAAAAACTGTTGCAGTTCAGGCTGAGGAGGGCACTGTTGTGCATTCAAGTAAACTACATTGTTGTAGGTCCCCAAGAAAGACTATAGTCTTTCTTGGAGACCTACGACGGAAAAATTTTGGTCTTTCTGTTCATTTGTCTGTTTCTCCACCCTTAATGATACGCTGAAGTCTAAACTACACGTAACGATAACCCGAACCGCCGACCCTATCTGCAGCGCCCAGAAATATTGCTCAAGATTCAGTGTTCATACTTGTGCAATTGTCAATTGAAAAGCAATTGCGCATATCTGAGGCACCATAACAACACATCAATATTATGTATGTGTATTTTTTTTTACTAGAAAAGGCATACCTAAGTAATTTTAAGAATCGTAGCCTTTATAACGCTCCGCTGGCCATACAACGCTTGCTCGAAACGGCAAGTGTTTCCAACGCTTTACTAAGACGACACAATGGTGGCACCTACCCTTCGCCTTGTGTTCTGCACCTCATCACCTCAGAGAAGGGCGCGCTCCGTTTTCCGGAATAACTGCCAAATAGCACTCATCTCTCACATGTGACGTGACTTGATGCGCTCATTCGCCTCCGCTGCGCGCTCGAGGTACTCCGACGCAGCGCCTCTAGAATACCATTCAACAATTTTCTTGTGAAGAACATCACATGAACGTTTTGTTCACTCTCTCCAGACGCAAGACTATCGTCTTTCGACGACATTTGCAGATTACATGCAGATACGGGGCCAATTTTTCTCTCTCTCTCTCTTCTTTCTTCAAAATTAGCATTTCATAGTTTTTTGTGCGTTTTCTCAGTCCAGCGCTACTGGTTTGTCATATGCACTTGATTTTTATTATAATAGCAATTATATGGACACTCTCGGCTGGATTTCAATGTCGTGTCGATGTCATGCACCGTATATCTATACCTATTTATATGTATGAAAACGCAAAAAAAGAAAGAAAAAATCTCAGAAAAAAGACTCCGGCCCGCGGAATCGCACGTGGGACCTCCGCGTCGTGAATGCGAGGTGTTAACCACTGAGCCACCGAGTACCTGGTACCTCTTTCAACGTTCAAACGGCAAGCTATACGGGGGGGGGGAGGGGCTATCGTGCTTTCAGCACTATCAGCGAGATGGCGCAGTGAGCGCGCGGCGCCTCTCATCTCTCAAGAGTACTTTGGCCTGGTAGAGAATAAGGGGGTGAACACTCGATCGCGCACCCTTATCTTGCAGTGGGCAGAATCGTACGTCTTGGCTGGCCTTTGGGTTTCGTCGGAACGATTCTGTTGTAGTTACCGGGCCCACAAAGGTCACTGCAATCATTGCACAGCCACCGTTTGCGAAAAGGGCACGCTTTTCAGACACAGCGAAGTAACAACTGAGACGCTTATTCGCGTTAATCTGTACCTGTGAGTACGTTTCGTACGTCCTTTGTGCGTGAGAAATGGGGGGCACGTTTCGATCTGCTTGCCATTCTGCGTGTAACCTTCCAATTTGTTGCTATCGTGTTCATTGCTTCACCTTGGCGGCAAAGCTGACACTTTTATAGTTTAGACTGCCTAGCACATCCTGTTTGCGAAATCAATTTTTGAATTTGGTGTCTGCATAGGGATGACTATACTTATAAAAATAATATCTGGGCTTTTACGTCCCAAAATCACGATGTGATCGAGAAGGACACCGTAGTGGACGTAAATTTTTGACCATTTGGTGTTTGTTAGCGTGCACTGACATTGCACAGTACGCGGGCCGCTACCATTTCGCCTCCATCGAAATTGGACCGTAGCGGTAGGGATCGAACCAGCGACCTTCGGGTCTCCAGCCGAGCACCCTAGCCACTACAACACAGTGGCAGGCGGCATAGGAATGACAAGATAGTAGATTGGATTGGTTCTACCCGCTGCAGTGGTTTGACCTGCGGACCTGATGGCTGCGGCACTGCATCCCAGCCGCAGCAGCCACATTTCGACGGTTGCAAAATGCTAGGGGCCCATGTACTTATATTTAGGTGCGTATTAAAAGACACCAAGTGGTTGAATCATCCGAAGCCCTCAAATACAGCCTACCTCATAATATCTTGGTTTTGGGACATAAAATCCCAACAGATATGCTATTATAGGATTTGGCCGGGCACATTTGATTGGTGTCTTAAAGCAATCTAAGCAGATGACTTCTTTCATTGCTTTGAGCACTTAGTGCATTCAAAGCAACATTGTTCTTTGTAACCTGCAGAGCTGCGGTGTGCCAGCAAGTGCTCAAGGGCATCGTGGACAAGATTGAGCGTGACGAGAAGACAACGGGCCGGCGGCAGCGGGCCAAGGCCAGCGCCGAGGAGAGGAAGGCGCGGGCGTCGCAGACCAAGCTGCACGAGGTGCTCGTGCGACAGACAGAGTTTTTGCGGCGGGAGATCATGCGCAAGCGGGCGCTGATGGAGAAGGAGCTTCAGATCCAGATTCAGGTGGGTTTGACTTCTCCCTTGGCTCAGCTTATCTCTTTTCTCTCTACGCTACTCTAAGGACTGCCCTCCTTCTTGAGAAGCAGATTTGAGCACGTCTGCAGCTTTGCTGAAAAAGTTTGGGGTGAAAACGTGCGCATAATCAGAGGGAAATAACCTACTCAAAATTAGCATAGTGGGGATATGTATATTTAAGTTTGTCTAATCTGTTTGTTCAGTCATCAAATTTGGTGAAACGGGGTTCAGCATAATAAAAAAAAAAACGGAAAACATCAACAGGTAAGTAGGCGCCACTTATTAGTTCACGGGACTGCAGTGGATGAATGTAGGGGGTGTGTTTATTATGCGGTAGAAAAAACAAATCAATTTTTTTTGTCAACTGAAGTTAAGGGTGTGTTAATTATGTGAGTGTGTTCATTATGCGAGTAATTATGGTATTCTTAAATGACACATCGTCCATCAAAGTACCATATTCACTTGCATAATTTGTGCTCACTGAACCAGCCTAGGCCAACTTGCTAGCGTGCGCACAGAGACTTTATACCTTTGGAGGCTTTGGACGGGTGCATCCCTCGCCGAGCAGGTGAATGCCGTCGTACATAAAATGGGCAACGAGTGTGAAGGCCCCTCTTCTGAGGACTTCCCGCAAGCTATGGTCCCTAGAATACTTTACCCGAATACCTAAGCCTGTTGAAGGGTCGCTAAAACTACCCAAGCGTTTGCCTCCCCCTATCTCCTTCACTGAAGGGAATTTAAGCTAGCGTCAATGCAGGGACAATTTTCTGCATCAGAGGCGTGCGAATGCGAAGGTCTGCTGCGCCAACAGTCCCCCTAGTTCTCTACATTCTTGCTGCAACACACGCTTCATTGATTTCGGAAGTTTAGGTTTCACCATCCTGCCATTACATTTTTACTGTTCACTTGCGATCGACTGCAGTAATTATATGTACAGGGAAAGTCAAGCTCATCGTTATAAAGTTTGCCTAAGAAGAAGGAAACAGCGCTGCCGCCAAGCACTTCAGCGTGGAGTTCTTCAACATGTGTTGTGTGGCATGAAGAAAGCAGAAGTAGTGCACCTGCTAATACAAGTTTCCTACCAATAAAGAAGACTTTCAATTGCGTGTGAATGCTTGGGTCGGTATCGCCATGTCGTAGGACCTGGTTTCTTCCAGCATTGTGATGAGGAAAATGGAGCATTCAAAAGCACTCGACATAACCGAGAATGATGCGCTTTGGGGATGACGATAATTATTTCCTCTCGGCCATTATTTCCTCTCGATAATTATTTCCTCTCGGCCAGTGATTTCGACTAGACCACTATTAACAAGTACGTTTCTTTAGTGCCTCAACTTTTTTTTCTTTTTTTTTTATGTATATACCGTGCATGTTTGGATGCGTTCGTGAAATCTTCGTGCAATTTGCGCACCCTTTTTTCAGAGCTTCGAAATGGCGAACAGAAGCGCTCGAATTATGCAGGTACGCTAAGTAGCAGAGCCTCGAGAGAAAACGTCCAGACCTGACAACTGCCCTGTGTCCCATCTAAGCGAGCAAAAACTGTTATGAGAGCAACCTATGGCTGTTAGAGCGTGCTCGTGTGTTCCTGTTGATGACATGGTGGTTTCCTTGCTGCACTGTTTGGCTTTGTTTATTTCTAAGGCGATTGGTTATAACGATTACCTGCTGTTTTTTTTATGTCTTTTCTCATTGTGGAATGGCTAATGATAGTGACTTTGCCCCATGCAGACAGAACTCCAGGCCGACATAAAGCGGAGAGCGGCGGCAGCGGCGGCAGTGGCCACCCCGGCGACGCTGGTCACGCCGCGAATACCGCCTCAGGAGAAGGTTGCACAGGTAAGCAAGCCTCAAAAGGACTTGGTCATGCAAAGTCATGACCAAATCACCACAAAGACCCCTTGGAAACTTCTGTAGAAGGGCCAAATTTGCTAAGCTTTTCATTTGCAACTGCTCCCTCGTGTCGATCAGCTGCCTTCTCGAACAATGGTTGTGTTCCAATAGTTGCCATTGACGGCAAAATATGATATGGCTATAAGGGGACTTCGGCCATCTTGGGTCTCATTCCAGTTCCCATGTAGCCAGTGAAACAGACAGCATTGGAGAAAGGTACGATTGCTGGCTACTTTACTGTCCCTGCAAAGTTGTGGCTGTATGGAACGTTTGGACCTTGCCAGGAAGGTTGTGTGCCGGGAAGCAGACGTTTTCTAGCACTCTTGTACATCTACGTTCAGAATTTCGTCGATTTGAACATGGAAGGTTTAGTAACAATTCTGTTCATCGACTATGGTAATCGTGGTTATGGTGCTCGGCTGCTGACCGGAAAGTTGCAGGTTCAAATCCGTCTGCGGCAGTCGCATTTGGAGGTGAAAGGGTGCAGGTCCGTGAACTGTGTGATATCATGCGTTACAAAGAGCGCCAGATGTGAAAAATTTTGAGAGCCCTCCACGTAAAGCTTCCTAGATTATTAACGATCCTTTTTTTTTTTCCTTAGTCTTCTTGAGGTGGCATTACGTGGCACAGACGTCACGTCACGCAGACACTTTCTATACTTCGAAGGCTGGGGGTCGATGCCGTCTTCTAAGCTGTCACTGTAGACTGTCCTGATCAGGATTAAAACAGAGTGGACACGTTTTGTATTGTAATCGGCTATGATTTGCTGCCGTGATTGTTTCTATACTCTGTTACAAACTAAGGAAAATATGTCAGCTCCATATCTAGCCATCGAGTTGCTAAGGTACTTGGCTGCTTACCCGCAGGTTGCGGGAACGAATCCTGGCTTCAGCGGCTGCATTTTTAATATAGGCGAAAATTCTATCGGCCCACGTGCTCAGATTTCGGTGCACGTTGAAGAACCCCAGGTGGTCAAAACTATTGGAGCCCTCCACTACAGTGTCTCTCATAATCATATGGTGGTTTGGTGACGTTAAGGGGGCACACTGGTCTTAGAAACTTTTTTTTTGCTTTCCAACCAATTTTAATGAAACTCCATGGGCTTGTTCAGTTTTTTTAGCTGATTTCAAATATCCAATTAGTTTTGATGTAAGCTAATTAGTTCCCGAGATAATTAAAAATCTTTTGTGATTGTTCTTGAGAACAATAGAAAAAAAACTAGTCTGCTCGTGCGACAGACAGAGTTACCAGCATGGCATGAATTACCAGCATGGTAATTACCAGCATGGCATGAATAGATACTAGAAGTTGTGGAGAATGAAATGACGGAAGCAGTTTTTTTGTCTGGCAATCACACATGCAAGTTTACATCAATTCTAATTTCTCGGTTTAAAGTATGCCTGCTAACCAGTTATTTAAACAATTATTTAAACGTGAAATGCAAAATCTGTTTCCCTTACTTCAAGGTTTAAAACATTCAGCTTGACAATGCAAAAGAAATTATCTTTCTAGCTGCACCGCATGCCGAGATGTACCTCTCAAGAATTTCCTAAACGTCAAAAATATGCATTTTGAGAAAATGGCAAAAAACACAACGGTGCCATGTTTAATGTAAACGGTAAAACATTCTGTACATTTTTGGAGCGAAATGACTAGTAGGCCCCAGAAGCATAGTCTCCTTGACTTCTGGCATCCAGGTGCCGCTTCTTGAGCGACCGCTGCACATTTTCTGCAGACAGCCACGCCTGAGGGTAGAGTCCCTGGTTCGGCGGCGGTCTTTTTCAGCCATGCGTTTGCTACTCAGTAGGCCGGGGTTCAAGCACAGCTCTTTGAGGATCTTGGATGATGTTACTTGACTTCCGGCATTAAACCTCATCACTGCCTCGGCGACCGCAGCTTCTACACTGTGCAGTGATGCATGGCGCTCCTTCGGGGCCAGCGACCAAATCACAGAGTGGAGACTTTAATTACTGTTCTGAGTCTTGCCTCGCTGGCAGCACTCCAGCAGCTTCTTGTCCGCCAAGCGTTCGTACACTGGAAGCAAGGCCTCACAGACATGCAGCGGCAGGTTGTAGCGGTGTTTGGGGGCCGGCTCACCCCTGGCCTTGGCAGCGTTCTGGCGGCACCACAAGTCAGGACCTGTAGGGCACAGGCTGTGGTTGGACACGGCATCGTTGGACGTCACATGGTGGTATGTGGCCATCACAGCATTGTGCATGGCTGGCACGTCCCCTTTGTGAGATTTGATGGCCCAGCCATAGTAAGAGGTCAATTTGTTAACCAGGTCACCAGTCAGCCGCCCCCTACCACTGAGGCTCTCAGAGCCAGCTGGCCTCTGCTTGGGGAGATTGCGCAGTTGCGTGCCCATCCTCTTCTGGACGTGGTTCACACATTCCTCTTTGGTTACCTTTATAAAACCATACACATCTGCTATTATAGGATTTGGCCGGGCACATTTGATTGGTGTCTTAAAGCAATCTAAGCAGATGACTTCTTTCATTGCTTTGAGCACTTAGTGCATTCAAAGCAACATTGTTCTTTGTAACCTGCAGAGCTGCGGTGTGCCAGCAAGTGCTCAAGGGCATCGTGGACAAGATTGAGCGTGACGAGAAGACAACGGGCCGGCGGCAGCGGGCCAAGGCCAGCGCCGAGGAGAGGAAGGCGCGGGCGTCGCAGACCAAGCTGCACGAGGTGCTCGTGCGACAGACAGAGTTTTTGCGGCGGGAGATCATGCGCAAGCGGGCGCTGATGGAGAAGGAGCTTCAGATCCAGATTCAGGTGGGTTTGACTTCTCCCTTGGCTCAGCTTATCTCTTTTCTCTCTACGCTACTCTAAGGACTGCCCTCCTTCTTGAGAAGCAGATTGAGCACGTCTGCAGCTTTGCTGAAAAAGTTTGGGGTGAAAACGTGCGCATAATCAGAGGGAAATAACCTACTCAAAATTAGCATAGTGGGATATGTATATTTAAGTTTGTCTAATCTGTTTGTTCAGTCATCAAATTTGGTGAAACGGGGTTCAGCATAATAAAAAAAAAACGGAAAACATCAACAGGTAAGTAGGCGCCACTTATTAGTTCACGGGACTGCAGTGGATGAATGTAGGGGGTGTGTTTATTATGCGGTAGAAAAACAAATCAATTTTTTTTGTCAACTGAAGTTAAGGGTGTGTTAATTATGTGAGTGTGTTCATTATGCGAGTAATTATGGTATTCTTAAATGACACATCGTCCATCAAAGTACCATATTCACTTGCATAATTTGTGCTCACTGAACCAGCCTAGGCCAACTTGCTAGCGTGCGCACAGAGACTTTATACCTTTGGAGGCTTTGGACGGGTGCATCCCTCGCCGAGCAGGTGAATGCCGTCGTACATAAAATGGGCAACGAGTGTGAAGGCCCCTCTTCTGAGGACTTCCCGCAAGCTATGGTCCCTAGAATACTTTACCCGAATACCTAAGCCTGTTGAAGGGTCGCTAAAACTACCCAAGCGTTTGCCTCCCCCTATCTCCTTCACTGAAGGGAATTTAAGCTAGCGTCAATGCAGGGACAATTTTCTGCATCAGAGGCGTGCGAATGCGAAGGTCTGCTGCGCCAACAGTCCCCCTAGTTCTCTACATTCTTGCTGCAACACACGCTTCATTGATTTCGGAAGTTTAGGTTTCACCATCCTGCCATTACATTTTTACTGTTCACTTGCGATCGACTGCAGTAATTATATGTACAGGGAAAGTCAAGCTCATCGTTATAAAGTTTGCCTAAGAAGAAGGAAACAGCGCTGCCGCCAAGCACTTCAGCGTGGAGTTCTTCAACATGTGTTGTGTGGCATGAAGAAAGCAGAAGTAGTGCACCTGCTAATACAAGTTTCCTACCAATAAAGAAGACTTTCAATTGCGTGTGAATGCTTGGGTCGGTATCGCCATGTCGTAGGACCTGGTTTCTTCCAGCATTGTGATGAGGAAAATGGAGCATTCAAAAGCACTCGACATAACCGAGAATGATGCGCTTTGGGGATGACGATAATTATTTCCTCTCGGCCATTATTTCCTCTCGATAATTATTTCCTCTCGGCCAGTGATTTCGACTAGACCACTATTAACAAGTACGTTTCTTTAGTGCCTCAACTTTTTTTTCTTTTTTTTTTATGTATATACCGTGCATGTTTGGATGCGTTCGTGAAATCTTCGTGCAATTTGCGCACCCTTTTTTCAGAGCTTCGAAATGGCGAACAGAAGCGCTCGAATTATGCAGGTACGCTAAGTAGCAGAGCCTCGAGAGAAAACGTCCAGACCTGACAACTGCCCTGTGTCCCATCTAAGCGAGCAAAAACTGTTATGAGAGCAACCTATGGCTGTTAGAGCGTGCTCGTGTGTTCCTGTTGATGACATGGTGGTTTCCTTGCTGCACTGTTTGGCTTTGTTTATTTCTAAGGCGATTGGTTATAACGATTACCTGCTGTTTTTTTTATGTCTTTTCTCATTGTGGAATGGCTAATGATAGTGACTTTGCCCCATGCAGACAGAACTCCAGGCCGACATAAAGCGGAGAGCGGCGGCAGCGGCGGCAGTGGCCACCCCGGCGACGCTGGTCACGCCGCGAATACCGCCTCAGGAGAAGGTTGCACAGGTAAGCAAGCCTCAAAAGGACTTGGTCATGCAAAGTCATGACCAAATCACCACAAAGACCCCTTGGAAACTTCTGTAGAAGGGCCAAATTTGCTAAGCTTTTCATTTGCAACTGCTCCCTCGTGTCGATCAGCTGCCTTCTCGAACAATGGTTGTGTTCCAATAGTTGCCATTGACGGCAAAATATGATATGGCTATAAGGGGACTTCGGCCATCTTGGGTCTCATTCCAGTTCCCATGTAGCCAGTGAAACAGACAGCATTGGAGAAAGGTACGATTGCTGGCTACTTTACTGTCCCTGCAAAGTTGTGGCTGTATGGAACGTTTGGACCTTGCCAGGAAGGTTGTGTGCCGGGAAGCAGACGTTTTCTAGCACTCTTGTACATCTACGTTCAGAATTTCGTCGATTTGAACATGGAAGGTTTAGTAACAATTCTGTTCATCGACTATGGTAATCGTGGTTATGGTGCTCGGCTGCTGACCGGAAAGTTGCAGGTTCAAATCCGTCTGCGGCAGTCGCATTTGGAGGTGAAAGGGTGCAGGTCCGTGAACTGTGTGATATCATGCGTTACAAAGAGCGCCAGATGTGAAAAATTTTGAGAGCCCTCCACGTAAAGCTTCCTAGATTATTAACGATCCTTTTTTTTTTTCCTTAGTCTTCTTGAGGTGGCATTACGTGGCACAGACGTCACGTCACGCAGACACTTTCTATACTTCGAAGGCTGGGGGTCGATGCCGTCTTCTAAGCTGTCACTGTAGACTGTCCTGATCAGGATTAAAACAGAGTGGACACGTTTTGTATTGTAATCGGCTATGATTTGCTGCCGTGATTGTTTCTATACTCTGTTACAAACTAAGGAAAATATGTCAGCTCCATATCTAGCCATCGAGTTGCTAAGGTACTTGGCTGCTTACCCGCAGGTTGCGGGAACGAATCCTGGCTTCAGCGGCTGCATTTTTAATATAGGCGAAAATTCTATCGGCCCACGTGCTCAGATTTCGGTGCACGTTGAAGAACCCCAGGTGGTCAAAACTATTGGAGCCCTCCACTACAGTGTCTCTCATAATCATATGGTGGTTTGGTGACGTTAAGGGGGCACACTGGTCTTAGAAACTTTTTTTTTTGCTTTCCAACCAATTTTAATGAAACTCCATGGGCTTGTTCAGTTTTTTTAGCTGATTTCAAATATCCAATTAGTTTTGATGTAAGCTAATTAGTTCCCGAGATAATTAAAAATCTTTTGTGATTGTTCTTGAGAACAATAGAAAAAAAACTAGTCTGCTCGTGCGACAGACAGAGTTACCAGCATGGCATGAATTACCAGCATGGTAATTACCAGCATGGCATGAATAGATACTAGAAGTTGTGGAGAATGAAATGACGGAAGCAGTTTTTTTGTCTGGCAATCACACATGCAAGTTTACATCAATTCTAATTTCTCGGTTTAAAGTATGCCTGCTAACCAGTTATTTAAACAATTATTTAAACGTGAAATGCAAAATCTGTTTCCCTTACTTCAAGGTTTAAACATTCAGCTTGACAATGCAAAAGAAATTATCTTTCTAGCTGCACCGCATGCCGAGATGTACCTCTCAAGAATTTCCTAAACGTCAAAAATATGCATTTTGAGAAAATGGCAAAAAACACAACGGTGCCATGTTTAATGTAAACGGTAAAACATTCTGTACATTTTTGGAGCGAAATGACTAGTAGGCCCCAGAAGCATAGTCTCCTTGACTTCTGGCATCCAGGTGCCGCTTCTTGAGCGACCGCTGCACATTTTCTGCAGACGCACGCCTGAGGGTAGAGTCCCTGGTTCGGCGGCGGTCTTTTTCAGCCATGCGTTTGCTACTCAGTAGGCCGGGGTTCAAGCACAGCTCTTTGAGGATCTTGGATGATGTTACTTGACTTCCGGCATTAAACCTCATCACTGCCTCGGCGACCGCAGCTTCTACACTGTGCAGTGATGCATGGCGCTCCTTCGGGGCCAGCGACCAAATCACAGAGTGGAGACTTTAATTACTGTTCTGAGTCTTGCCTCGCTGGCAGCACTCCAGCAGCTTCTTGTCCGCCAAGCGTTCGTACACTGGAAGCAAGGCCTCACAGACATGCAGCGGCAGGTTGTAGCGGTGTTTGGGGGCCGGCTCACCCCTGGCCTTGGCAGCGTTCTGGCGGCACCACAAGTCAGGACCTGTAGGGCACAGGCTGTGGTTGGACACGGCATCGTTGGACGTCACATGGTGGTATGTGGCCATCACAGCATTGTGCATGGCTGGCACGTCCCCTTTGTGAGATTTGATGGCCCAGCCATAGTAAGAGGTCAATTTGTTAACCAGGTCACCAGTCAGCCGCCCCCTACCACTGAGGCTCTCAGAGCCAGCTGGCCTCTGCTTGGGGAGATTGCGCAGTTGCGTGCCCATCCTCTTCTGGACGTGGTTCACACATTCCTCTTTGGTTACCTTTATAAAACCATACACATCTGCTTCCTTCAAAGCAGGGTAGGTGCGGCAGTCGCCATCAGAAAGAACTGTAGTGTATCTCAGCTTATGACGCTCCCACGACCTCTGAAACAGAATGAGGGCAGCTTCCACTTCCATCTCTCCAGCTTTTTTTGTGCTGTTTTTCTGGCAGTGGTGGTTCGCTTTCCACTCGTCGTAGGACGGGTCACTTTCTTTAGGCGCCCGCTCGCAGCCGGCACAAAAATTGCAGAGCACGACATAATCGAGCACAAGCCCCGTAAACAACTCGATAACTGTGCGGACTCCGATGTGCGACGAGTGTCCCCTCGTCATCCAGGAACCGTCGTACGACACAGCGATGTTGCCCGGGTTGCCGAGGTCCAGTTCCGCGTACAGTTCCCGAACCGATCGCGCGCACTCCGCGGTCAGCTTTTCCGACGCACGAACAGCTGCGGGCGTCAGTTTCGTCTTCACGTAGCTCTGCCACGTTTTGTTGTGCAGGCCGCGCAAAGAAATGTTCATCGATGAAAAAACGTCGTTGAATGCCGTTTGCTGATTGCCAGTAGACTGCATAGCGCGCGCGCCCAAAACATTGATGGCAAACGGCTTTGCCTTGCTCTCGCCGTCAACGCGCGGCGAGCTCCATGCCACTGACACATCGCCACAGGTCGCGCACGTAAGCACTAGCTTTACGGCAAGGCCGTACTCCCAGTCCTCTTTGCCGATGTTTACATCACCGGAGCACAATTTGCACTTCACTGCACGCATCAGTTCGTTCACCTGGTCCAAACTCACGATCAAAAACCGTGTTTCGTCCAGCGGCGTGGCTGCGGCATCGTCGATATCGGCTAACAGGCCGCACTTGCGTTGTGTTGCTCCAGTTGAAGCGAGCTCTTGCAGCTGGTTTTTGGCGTTGCGACGCACCTCTGCGGGTGCGCCACTTCTAACGGGTGCAGCACTGCTGTGTCAAGACGAACGCGGCCGCTGCCGGATGCGTTATCTTGAGCGGGCGGCGGCGGAGGTGCTAGGCCTATGTTATCAGGGGCCTCGCCGCTGGCCACGGAGGGTGGGTCGCTTGCTCGTTCAGCGCTCCTCGCTGACGCAGAACGGCCTTTGAAGTTCTTGAGGAGCGACTTCTTTCTTTTTTTGCCGTACTGATTCCTTGTATGGAATTTCCTTCCGGCTTTCCACATCGCGCGCGATCCTTGGCTAATCCGTCGTTCTCAGTCCGAGCAATATGGCGCCTGACTGCGCCGCCGACGGCGCGAAGCAGACGACACACGCCGCTTGCGGCCAATCGCGTTGCGCTGTTTAGTCACGTGCGCTCGCCGGCGAATAGGAACGCGTATTTTTGCTTTTTTTGGCGCGTGTTTTCTACTCTACCAATGAGCGGACAGGAGCCAGAGTGGCGGAAAATTGAAGACCGAAGACCGCGCTTTCAAATGAGACCTAGATCACTGCGATACTGCCCGTGGCGCAGCTGCGGGGAATTATTGAAAAATTGCCATTTTGGCGTCAGAATCTCGCCAAATCGGGCCCGTACGGCTTTTATAAGTAGCTGTTACTGTTCAAGTACCAACTTTTCGGAGGAAAAACTGAGCAAACTAATAGAAAAATACCTGTAGATTTCAAAAATGACATCTAAAAAAAAATGCGTTTTTGGGCAATTTTTTGGCCCCAAAGACCCGTGTGCCCCCTTAAACCCCACATGCCAATCAATAAACCCTAGCCATCGCTGTCCCTCCTGCAGAAAATTTGCATGAACACTCCATTCAATAGCAGTTACTCATTTTCGTGATGTGAAGCACTCTTTCGAGTTTTCCACACGGTCTACTTTTTCAGACACACGTTTGTGTCACTGGTTTTTAGGTCTGAAACTTGAACGCACATTGAATTTTGCCAGGGATTCTAGCATAGTTGTTCAACCAGATAATATTTACATAAACCGAGAAAAAGTAGTTGCGGCTCAAGCATTTCCAGCTAGCGCGACCGTCTTGCTGCAGTAACCAAGCAGAGCGTTGAAAACCTCTTGTGAATCTTAGCCCAATCTCTAACCTTGCTGCAGGAACCAAGCATAGTGTTAAAAACCATTTGTGAATCTGGGCCACGGCTTCTCTTGCAGGTGATGCGCACCCTGGAGAGCAGCAAGCAGCAGGCCGCAGCCGCCGCTGCAGCAGCGGCCGCTGCATCACGCAAACGTGCGCAGTCGCAGACTAGCGACAGCGATGTCTCGCCGCCGGTGCCGGCCAAGCGGCCAAAGAAGCAGGCAAAAGTGCCGACTGCACAGCGGCCACCGCCAGCGCCGTCACACCACCGTGTCAGCAGTGGCAACTCGGCGACGCCTGCCAGCCACGCTAAACAGCGTGGTAGTGGTGGCGGTGGAACTGTGGGCCAGCACAAGCTGTACTGCATCTGCAAGAAGCCATACGATCCTTCCAAGTGAGCTCAACTCTTCATTTTTTCTTCCAGCAGCCTGGCTACTTCGTGTAAAAAGAGTAGTTGGTTGGAATGATGTGCAAAAATAATACGCCAATGCGTCTTTGGATAGTGTTGTGCATTTAATCGAGCCATGATTGGTGGATCACAAGTAGCTTAGATAGAGGCGTTATACAGAAGGTTATTTACTTAAAGGGGGACACTGCTCCTAAAGAAAAAAGCTTTTTATTAATTTATTTTGATGATTTTTTACTATACCTTATTTGCATCTACCTCAAATTTCACTCGTGGACAACACCGGCATTTGTGGAGTAACATGCAAGCTTTGGTTAGGTCTGTTGTCAAGACTGGCCTCTTCTGAATGTGTCTGTTTGCATTCTGGCTAAATGTTCCGTGTCGCAGTTAGCAATAACGTGGCAGCTGTGGTGACAGCGATGTGTCTCCGTGTGCACACAGGTTCATGATTGGGTGCGACCTGTGTTCCAACTGGTTCCACGTCAAGTGCATAGGCCTGACCGAGATTCAGGCCAAGGCCATGGACAAGTACGTCTGCAACGAGTGCCGGAAGGACCACAAGAGTTCTACGCAGGAGCTGTACTGCCTCTGCAGGCAACCCTACGACGAGTCCCAGTAAGTGCGCCACCAGCTCTTGCGTCTTCGCAAACAAGTTGTGGTGGCTAGTTGTTATGCTGCTTGACTGCCGGCCCAAAAGGTCGCGGCAGGAAATCGAAGCCGTGGCAGCTGCATTTCAATGGAAAGTATATTTCGACAGGCGGACGACAAGGGGGACACACCACTTATTTTTTTTTTATTTATGGGTGAATTTTTTTTATCAAACTTCCATCTTTTATGTATTGATTAATGATTGATATGCGGCATTTAACATCCCAAAACCACCATATGATTATGAAAGATGCCGTAGTGGAGGGCTCCGGAAATTTCGACCACCTTTAACGTGCACCCAAAACCTGAGCACACGGGCCTGCAGCATTTCTGCCTCCATCGAAAATGTAGCCGGCGCAGCTGGGACTCGATCCCGCGACCTGCGGGTCAGCAGCCGAGTACTTCAGCCACTAGACCACTGCGGCGGGGCCATCCTTTATGTATTCTGACATGCTGATTTCAAATGAGCAATTACTTTTTCTGTGTATCAACTATTTTTCAAAATGTCAAGAAAATTGTTTTTTTTTTGCATTGGCCAGTTTGGAAGTGAGTTTTCTCTTGAATGCTGGTTGTGATGAAAGACAGTGGCATATGATAATGATGTTGTGTGGTCAGAGCTTGCAGTGCTACAAGAATGAACCTTCTAGATTGATTTGGGACAAAGTTACAGGACGTCAAATTTTCGTAAGCAAAAGGCTTTAGGCCCCAGAGAAATTATTACTTTTTTAAACATGGTCTCATGTTATATTTCTCTCCCTTTCTAACACAACAAGAATCGCTACAATAGAAGTCTGACCAGAGATATCGTCACTGCAAAACTATGCCATGATAAAATACACAGTTTTGAGGAAATGAGAAAAAAACATTTCAGGACCAAGTTTAAAAATAACTGTGGAAATTTTTCTAACACTACTCTGGTCGGGGATGATACACGGATTCAGTCTGGCAAGAATGAATATTTTTACACCAATCTGAAATACAATTGGGGCATCTCAAAATTCACTTGTAAAACCCCATAGTAACTTCAAAAAAAATTATCTTTATGAATGTCTTTTGTAATAGCTAATGATATACTGGTCCTACTGCACCTGTCTAGACAAAAAAAAAAGAATTATTGAGTCTGGTTGATTAGAACCAGAGATAATGTTGCTCCAATATGACACCATCAGAAATGCCACACAGTAAAAAAAAAATGGCATTGAAACATTTAATTGTGCAGCCCCCGTCGTGACAGTCCCATCGACGTGAAAATCTCATTCATGGCTGTCTGATCGTTGCCACTGCAGAGAATAGCACACGAGGATAAAATGTTCATCTCAAATGCATTGCACGACTTTTCCCCATTGACTCTGCGTGAGCTCCATGCCGTCATCACTTTGCCACAATAGTCACACTTCGCTGTCAGTTTCTTAGCGAGGCTGTATTCGCGGTCATCGGTGACTAGTTTCGCACACCCCACCACATATTTTGCACCATGCTTTCCACCGTAGGGAAGCAGCGAGCAGCCCATTCAGGATCTCCAAGTCGACCATCAAATACGAAGCTGCTGTGTTCGCGGCGAAGGCCGATAACTCGTCACTTGCATCGGCAAAAACCGCTGTTTTTCGCGCTCTTGCCGGTGTTGGCTCAAGTCGATCAAGCATAACCTGCTCACGAGCACTCACTTGGGCTATGTCGCTGCTCGCGACAGCTCTATCATCAACTCGCCCACGGTTAGAGTCGGCGCGAAGAATGCCATCGTTCTCGGGTGGATCGGTGTTATGTGCATCGTCACGGGGCGCCTGCTGATGGCTTGTAGAGCCGCACAATGGTTTGCCCTATCTTGCAGACCGCTATCATCTGTTTAGACGATGTTGGAGATATCGGATGGCCCAGCATCGCGAGTAGACAGTTCCTCTGTTGCAGAGTGGCGCGATAACGTGCCTTGCTGGAGCGGACCGCAATCACCTTCATCGCCGTTATCAGGTGCCGAAGCAGCAACACTCTCTTGCTGATTGGTTGTAGAAACCCGCAATGTTGTGCCGTTAGCACTTTTTTTTTTCCATTTAGGCTCGCCTTCGGCTGAACCGATTCACCGATTGAGCACTTTTTTTTTTTTCCATTTTGGCTCGCCTTCGGCTGGACCAATTCACCGATTGGATCTTTTTCGGTCCTCCAGGCGTGTTCGTTCGTTGTATGGATGAACCCAAGACAAAACGGCGCCTCAGCTAGCCAGGTTTTCAAAGGCAGAGCCTTAAGCTGATGAGATGACGCCATTTTAGCCTCGTGATCTGAAGTGGCCAATGACAGCGTTTTATGCCACCTATTTTACTTCTCATTTTTAGTTGAGAAGTGGTAAGCTCAGTGTTGTCCGACCGAGCGACGTAAAAAACCAAACACGAGAGCTTTTCAACAATACCAAAATGGCAGTGTTGAGTGGGTCGTTAGAGAGTTACAGGCAGTCGAAATAGGCGCGATTTGTCTACAATTTAAAGGTTTGGAGCGTGCCAACACATCTTTATTTACTGTTACACCGCTAATATGCGGGATTTTAAAACGAAAACTTGCACGCAGACGGGCGATTGTAGAAAAAATATGAAAATGACACTATCCAAAATTCGATTTTTGGACAGATTTTCGGGTTCCAAAAGCCATGTCTCTTCTCAAAAACCCCTTAATATAGAAATTTCGAGGGTCCTCCAACTATGGCGTTCCTCATATTCATATTGTGGTCTTGAGACGTAAGGCGATAACAATTATTAAACTATTGCAGTATGGTGGTCTTCACGTTGCGTAGAATCCACTTTCCATGTGACGAGTACTGGGCTCAAATCTCTATGCTGCCGAAAACTCCCCCCCCTCTTTTTTTTTAAGGGGAGAGAGGTTTAATGTCCTCACACTTATGACCTGAAAGTTTCATCCAAGTATATTTAAAAAATGAAAAATTTTGGTCTCCAGGAGGAGACGAAAATCCTGCTTAAATATGAGCTGTCTTCAGGGATTTGTCGCACGTTCTACGGAGATGGGTGAGATGCTTTGGACCTATGTATATACATATTTTTTTAGACTTTTCAATACTTCTTCGGCATGGTTGGAAAACGCTGCAGTCGAGAATCCCGAGAACATCGAGAATCCCGAGTCAAACATTATAGTGTAGGAATTTACAATTCATTCTTGCAGTTAGCTGGGAATCATTCACTCTTCTTTGGGGGAAGTGGTGCCATAAGCTCGAATGACCATACTACAAGCTCACGGCCAATGGCAGATTGAAGCATCATGAACTGCGTACTTACCGCAGCTTCTGTTTGTTTGAAGAAAAAAGATGCTCTAAGTTGTGATGTGCACTGACAAATGGACGTAACTTCATGTCCCCCTGTCATCTCCCCCACCCCTTGCTGCTGTTTAAGCATGCTTGTTGGTACGCAAGGAGAGACCGCGCTGTGAAAAGTTTTGCTATGCTATACTTGAGAAATTATGGTGTAAACAGGCTTGAGTGTATGAGTTTGTCCGAAATCACAGCACATGTCTCTCCCTACAACCGTGCCACCCTGCACTTGCGCGCACAGGTTCTACATCTGCTGCGACCAGTGCCAGGACTGGTTCCATGGCCGGTGCGTCGGGGTGCTCCAGAGCGAGGCGGACTCCATCGAGGAGTACATCTGCCCCACGTGCCAACGCAACAGCAACATAAACCAGGCCAATCTGAAGCCCCTGCAGCCAAAGGACTTCGACAACCTTCGCAAGCTGCTCAAGAGCCTTCAGGTGAGACAGGCGTGCTCTCCTCGTTGAGACAACTCCTCGCGTGCCTCCTTTGCAAAGTAAGCAATTAACATATCATGCTTGCATCGGACAGGCAAAATATGGTGATTGCGTGCATTGTAAGTAGTGGCAGTGTACCGAAAAATTCTCTTTTCTGCAAGCGTATTGCTCTTTGCGGGATGCGGAGATTGCTGAACGTGAGCGGTTGTAATGATGGTGCTTGCTTGAGGAGCTTTCTTTACTGAAACAAACAACAGTTGTTATTGTAGTAACCAATTGCATTCTGTCTAAGTACTGTTGTAAGGTCCTCATGGTGACACAATTGTTGAGGTTTAGTTCCCTCCTAAATTTATTGGAAGAGAACGTTTTCGCCAAGACCAGAAACATTTCAAATGCATTACGAGTGTGATCAGGGACATGGGTTACATGTGGTACTAACGGTACTTTGAAAGCTTTGGCGTGTGTGAAAGCTTTGGCGTGTGTGTAATCAACTGTATACTGCTTAACTATTGTAGGAAAGTCTTTGTAGTGCCATAATTTTTCATTTATGGATCCCTTCAATATTCATTAAACGAGAGCTTTCTCGCCAAGACCAAAGAGCATTTCAAGCGCTTTATGATTGTAATTGGCGACATGGTTTGCAATTGGTTCTTACAGCTTATAGAGAACGTCTGTGTACACTCAAACCTCGTTATAACATAACGGGATATAATGAAATAATGAATATAACGAAGTAAATGATATTCCCCTTGAAAGCTCCATTGAGAACCAAGCATTTTAAATTTCGTTGTAACGTAAAATTGACCCTTAAATGGTTTTAACGAACTAACTTAGTATATCAAATAGTCTATTAAAAAAAAAACGTAGTGTGTTAAGTATATTGTTTTCTGCTGAGTTCGACGCTTATTCGGCGCGGCTCTTTCAAAACTCCTGCGCCAACATTACAGCCACGCTACGCTCGGCCGAGAGAACCGTCGTAGCGTGGCTGTAACACATGCGACTGCCAAGTTGGATGCACACGATCGGGCAGCTACCACGATGAACGCGCAAGAAAAAAAAAAATGCGCAGCGGTCATGCCAGCCAATGGAAAACTCGTGATGGCGCACTCGAAATTCTCGCCGAGCGAGAGCTTGTCAGCAACCCGGGAGTGACCTCTAGAAAACCTGCGACAGCGGCCATTCTGATTGGACGACGCCATTTTGAGATGATGCAAATTACGCACTAAGGCAACAGCTTTAAATCTAGCTCAAGATGGCGGCACCCGGCCCGCTACAACGCTTTCGTTCTTTTGGGGGGGCATTTCGTTCTTTTGGGGGGCGTTTTACTGCTGCTGGAGTGCTTTGAAGGCCCGTTTTATCGCATTTCCTGACGGAATTATAGTAATTTGTGCTCAGAGGTACAACCACACCAAAAATAAGTTTTGTGAAAAATCCCTTTTCTGGCCATTTTTTATTGCTCTAAGACCCACATTCCCTCTTAACTGGGCAGCCATTATGTTCTACTGAATAGCATTGCAATTGGGAGTGTTACGACAGGTCAATAACTTGCCTGCAAACCTTTCTTTGTTTTTCTTTTCCTCACATCTGGTTGACAGACGCACAAAATGGCGTGGCCTTTCTTAGAACCTGTTGACGCAAAGGAGGCACCCGACTACTACACAATCATAAAAGAACCCATGGGTGAGTGAACGCGTTCCTTGTACTGACTCATCACGTTTTTGTAAACTGGTGCGATGCTTGTGCGAGTAAAGACTGTCAAGACAAGTTTGAAGCAGCTCCCTCTGTCAGTTTTCGCTGGTTGTTGACATCATGGAGCTACTTATATTAATGTTGCATTACCTTATATATAAACCTGATCAGAGTGAACGACAAACACTGATTTCTTCTACTGAACTATATCGCAGTAGGTCATTAACTGATGAGACCATGTTGGGCCCTTGGCCAGACACCAACAGTGCAACTGCGGTCACAAGAGCAGTTATAATATTCTTTTTGGAAACAACTGGACTATGTGCGCGGCTATGAAATGTGTCTCAGCTAGAAAGAACACTACATACTCACCTCTCTATCTCACCATCGTCATCCATTAATCTTTCTTTTCCCCTTTCCCTTCCCCCAGTGTAGAGTAGCAGGCTAGAGCAAGCTATCGCTCAGGCCAACCTCTCTGCCTTTCTGTAAATAAACTTACCTCCTATGATCAGAGTCTGATTCGTTTATCATTAATGGCTCATTTCCGCAAGCTGTGGTTGCTTCCTAAGGAAAAATTACACTAGAAATGGGAGGTTTCAAACAAGACTTAAATGGCTCCACCACGGCTCGTAATTTGTCGTAACGCGTAAAATAAATGTAATTTAAACAACAAAATTTTCAGATGTGTGAAGAAGGTTCTTGTGAACACGACTGTGGTAAGGTTGAAGTTGCAATTTCGGGGCAGATTTTCGACATTTAAGTGCCACTTACTTATATCTCTCTCCCCTTTATTTCATTTATTTTGCAACGGGGCTGTCAATATAAATGCTGCTATGGGAAAAAAAGGCATTGGCACATTCCGAAAAGCAAAAACCTTCTTTTTTTTTTCTCTCTTCATTTTGCAGACCTACAGACCATCGAGCGGCGGTTGCAGTCTCGCCACTACCAGAAGCTGAGCGAGTTCATTGGCGACATGACCAAGATCTTCGACAACTGCCGCTACTACAACCCACGAAACTCGCCCTTCTACCAGTGCGCCGAAGTGCTTGAGGCGTTCTTCGTCCACAAAATCAAGGTGTTCCGTGAAAGCATCGCGTCGTGGTGACCCGACGGCGGAGGAGCTCGCCGAGGAGTCCCGCCAATCAAAGAAGAGCGTGCACGCGGCACGACAACGCGCACCGAGCCGCGTACCACAACGCAGTCGTGAAACACGAACTGTAACCGTCGTGCATCGACGTTATTCGTCAAGATGCGGACATTCGAAACCTAGGGCTCTGAACTCCACGGTGCTGTGCGCGTGCGGAGCCGCTCAACCCCAATACGTCGGGTTACGGACTCCACATCGTCGTCGTGTTCACTGTGTCACAGCACCTCGATCCCGCATCACCTCGCAGGAGTTTCCGAGTCTTCGCACAGCCTTTTTTTTTTTTTTTTTTTCAGCCGACGGAAAGAAAGAAAAAAAAATTGTACATAGTGTAGAAGGAGATTTTCTCGTCATTGCCATAGCAGCATCATTATTACGACGCGCGCCGCCGACACCATTATTTTTTTCTTTTTGTGCTGTACACCCCCATGCATATTTCGTGGAGCAATGCATCGAGAGCACGTTTGATTATTATTGCAGTTGCATCTCTCTCCTGCTTGCTTTTCTCGTGCATTGAAAATGCAAGACTGTTTGACAGCGTTCTTTTTTTGGAAAGTTTTGTCCTGCAGCGTATCCCTGGCCTGATGCCATTTGCGAAATTTTGTTTTTAAAAGTATGAATAAGGGGGTGACAGCTGTCTAAATGGTGTACCAATATGTACAGGATTGTGGTGGGAAGGGGGGATGCTTTTTTTTTTGTATAAACAGCACGGTGTGATGTCTTTACACCACTGCTGCTGGCTTTATTTACTGAAGACTTGACAGTGTATTGTTGACTTCTTTTTCTGCGTCTGTGCATGCACATGAATGTAGTTAGTTGCAATTTGACTATGCATTTTTGAACTGCCGGAATTTGCTCTAAAGCTTGCGTTGAAGGAGACTGGAAAATCGCCTGTTATCCTGGACTCGCCTCGCAGAGCTTTTGTTTTTAACTCTTTGAAGCATTGTATATTGTGGTTGCGTAGTAAATATTTATTTTGTTGAAAAGAACAAGTCTGTATGTGCAAAAGGTGTCACGGGCAGTGATGAAGAAGAAGGCTAGAAAAGCAAGGCCAAAACAACCTTGGGCTTTATTTCTTCAAAAAATTGAGAAACAGAGGTTGCGACCCTTCAAATTGTTATAATGGTCTTTGGCGGAATGGCAGAATCCTCTGTTCTTGCCTTCGGGCGATGTCGTTTCAAAAGACGTTTGTCCAGTACAAATACTGCACTGTAGCTTGTGTTTACCTGTTTGCATGGCGCTCACTTGAATTTTTTTTTTTCTGCTATTGCTTGTGCCATCCACCTAAATGTATGAAATACGTGAATGAAAAACAAAAACAGCCCCAAAACTTCATTTCGTTGATTGCTTTGCTGCTTCAAAAACAAGACGTTCAAGCTTCTTTGGAAACCATTCGCATCACCAGAATACTTAGAAACTGCCATTTCACTGTTCAAAATTTCCACATTTGATTTTTTTTTTTCTGACAAATTCCGACTTGAGCAATTACAGTGACGTCTTGCACCGTGTTTCCGATTTCTTCCTTATCTGCCGCTGCGCGAAATTTTAATAACGCAGATGAAATTTACGAGGCTGGTGAAGAAAAGTTCTTTTACAAAAAATAAAACACAATTAGTCTGCCCGCTGTTGCTAGTGATTATGGTAATAAGTTAGAGACGTGGAAAGCCAGCGTTTGCCCGAACGTGACGACATGTCTAAAATTTGCATAGTGCATTTTTTGCCTCCGCTGCACCTGTTGTCTTCTAAGGCAGTCGACATTGTATTTAAGACTATGAAAGTGTATGCCTACATTGGGATAAAGCCAAGTCCAATTTTCACACAGCCAGCTGCATAATTACATGGTAGCTATCTTTATTATTTCCTGTTCGCGTTTATGCTGACGCTGCCGAAGCGCCTATGCAAGTTAACAGCAAACCTGCTACCATTTCCAAAGCAGCGAATGGAATAAATGGATGTGGGCTTGTCTGCCAAGAACGTGGACGAACTAAAAGAAGGTCCGTGCCCGGAACCTTCAGTGGGTTTTTGTTTTTCTCGCGGTAATGCACCCGTGCGCCCTGTACATAACCATTACCATTGTCCCTCACCATCTCTGCTTGCCTGTCCGCCGACATTTGCACCCAGTGCGCTGTGTGACCCGCTGTCACCGGCTTTTGTTTATAGACCTGGTCTTCGGAAGCGGCGACAAAGACAACTCGTCGCCACTCTTCGAGAAGCGACATTGACGCTGCCTTTTTTTTTTTTTTTCGGTTGGACCGGCCGTCTTTTAACCATTTCCGCATTTGCATTGTGGGGTTGTGCGAGGAGGGGAGGGGTACGAGGGAGATCCATACGTGATGCGTCACACATGAAAAGTGTACTACGAATGTGCGAAAATGGTTAAAAAAATAAACATGACAAAATGGCGACTCTGCTACATTGCAAGATGTGTAACATTGTGTAAAACATGTTATTTGTATGAAAAACGGCAAAAAAAAATAAATTATATCGAGCAAAGAATGGGGAGTGAATGACTTACTGTTGCTGTGTTCGCACTGCAATTCCTTTTTGAACGAAATGCTGTGTGTCTATGCGGCTTTCTTGGTTTGCGCTGGAGTGATACTTTCACAACTGTGAGCTTCGGGATCATTCAGTTGCCATGGAGACCATGGGGGGGGGGACTTTGTTGCTGATGTTTGCCGATGTTTTAGTTTAGTAAAAAAAAAAAAAGCTGTAAGCCAATCAGGACAGTAGCTGGGACCAGATCATGAAAGAAACTGGTCAATACCACATTGGAGCAGTTGCAAACACGGCACTGCTAATCGGAACGTGGCTTTTTGCCGTGCATAAACACGTAGTATGCTATGGCGATGGAACAAAGGCTGTACGTGACTAGCGTGGTGGTCGAGACCAGAAATCCGTCCTCCAGGCACCCAACGGGCACTTCCGCCGTTAAGGCATTCACCTGCAACAGTGAAGGCTTCCGTTCATTACGCAGCTGCAAAAAAAAAAATGAATTTGAAAGCAAGCTTTCGTGTATACAACTGGTGCTGAATTACACATTGTATTTCCTTTGTTGCTAGTGGGTATAGACAAATATAAATTTTTTGGTTCGAAGAGAATGTTGATGTGGTCAAAACTTCGAATGGAATAGTTCGAATAGTGTATTATATAGCATGTTTTACAAAAAAAAAATTAGGAATATTTTTGTGACCAAACTTGGTATTTTTAGGAATTAAAACAAGGCTTGTGCAATTATAATTTTTTTGGTTTGAAGCAAGTGGGAAAAACTCAGTAGCTGTAGGGGGCAATATGTAAGTGGAAAGATATGTTACATTAAAATTAGCTATTCCTGGTGGATATATGACCATATGACTTCCTTTTTCCGACTTAAATTATCTGAGGTGCAGCTAATATGTACATTTAACCTTGAAGTGTGGCTTTGCCGCAATGGATAGGTGGCTTCACGGCACTGCAGCATCACGCAGCAATGAAACCACCTTTTCAAAGGGATACATGCAGTTGAATATATGCCTATTCGTTCATGTCAAATAATTTATATTCATGTCATACGGATCTCGGTTCTGCAAAAATTTGTTCGAACTTACGTTAGCAACTTGCAGCTGCTTCCAGGGGCATAAACGTTCTATGTTGGCTGCGTCGCAGGGTAGAAGATGTAGATCCTCGCACGTGTCTGGGAAGTCTGCACAAATGGATGAATACTCGTGAACAAATACGTGATATACTCAAATTTGTTCCTAGACACATTACTAACCCAGGGCTTGCTGTGGTCATGGGTACATGCATAACCAGTGGGCAATTAATATGCACACGCCACATCACGTTTGTGACAAACAGTTGTGTAACGTCACACTTTCGACGTTGCAAATTCATTGTAATCACTAGATGCTTGTGAATATTGAGCCTTTCACGACACCGCATACCGAGGAGTGCATAGCTATTCGGCATAAACATCACCAACTGCATAACCCCAGGAAAATTAATGAGCATGTCACGTCACACTAGGGACGAGCATTTGTGTGATGTCACACTTGTGATAATGGACACTGTATAGCCATGCAATCACTGGATGGTCGTGGATATTTGGCACCTTGTGGTACATGATTCTGTATCACCGTGTAGCCATGCAAAAAGCTTTTCGTATCAGATTGCAGCAAGCCAAATGAATGTTTCTATCTTCTTTACCGATAGTGCGACAGAACACTGGGAGCTTATATCTTGATATGCATGGCTGGGGAAATATCACCAGTAGCCTTTGCAGTGGCACCACATCTGATGAAACTTTGTGCTTCTAACACAACATTTGTGAAATGAATTTAACATTTTAAGATCTGCAGCAGGAAAAGGGGCAACGCCTTTAAAACTATAGTTTCTGACTTCTCGACATTTTTAAAGGCTATCACTCCAGCCGTTTTCAGAGATTTCGATTCTCATTGACTGTATGAATTTTGTTGAAGTTGTCAGAGGCCACTTAAGCTTTATGAGGTCATCTTTGAATGGAGTTGAAACATCGCGCTTAAGCCCAAGGAGAAAAATGTGTGAAATGCTTGACGCAGGAAAAGTGTCGTAGCCTCTCCCTTTACATCCTGTTTATGCATGCCGTTTCATACTCGAGTCTTAAATGCCCTAAATGCATACTTCCACACATAGAGTTTCTCACAATCATACCTAGAGGAAATCTGGCGCTAGTGAGCTGTTGAATTCAAGGGAACGACAGGATACGTGAGCTTCAAAATTGATTCGGATTTGTATACCTCTTAGACGCGTCTGGCTTCACGTTAAAATGATCGATTTCTTACTAAAAGAGCACGTAATAAGCTATTTATTTTCGTCATTGCACAGAAACATGTCGTTTTTAACACTGGAACCTCCTATGTTGATGTACAATCTTATGAAGCGTAAGAACTAACCAACGGCCGCTAAACTTGGCAGGCAGACGACAAAGCGAGCGTTCTTTCCGCCATGTTTATGTCGTCTGTTTCTTTCTCTCCCCGTTTGGTTGTGCCGTCAAGGTGTGTGGACTTTTATACACCTGAATGAGATCCACTTATAAACGTTTTGTTTTGGAGAAGCTTCATTTACGCAGTCGTATTCGCCTTTGAGCCGAAGCCTCGCTCAACACCAGCCAACTTAAGCCTCGCAGACACACATACCGTCATTCCCAGCGCTCCAACATCGCCCCTTAAGAAATTAGCATAGACAGGTGGCGCCACACTTCCCTCTTAGGTATTTGTGAGATACTCTATGCTTCCACATTTAGACCGTGTTGAATTGACACGAGCCAGCTGCGTTATGTAGTGCAAGTAAGTTCCACCAGTATATTGCAGTGCTAGAGCATACAGTGACAGTTGTCACCGCTACAAAAGGAGAATTTTTTCGAGGGGTTCGTTCTCTGTTACACACAACATAAATGAATCCAGCAAACGAGGAACTAACTAGAAAACAATTTAATAGACATTATTTATTGTTTTTAACTGTAATGTAATACCTGGAGAAGCGTGACAGCTGAAGTGGAAGCACCCTTTCTGTAGGTGGTATACAAACCCACAACCTTTGTCACCCTGGCCACGGGGTGGGGTGGGGGGGCTGACTAACACTCCTAGGGATTACCAGCACTGGAAAACCTAGCAAAGTGGATGGCAAAGCATGGTCTGTTCTAGCTCAATTGTCGGAGCAGGTTATCGGAAGGTTGTGGGTTCGGAACACACTGACAGAAGGGGTGCTTGTCCACTCACTTCAGCTTTTCTGAACTTACTACACTACACTTGGAAACGAGAAATGCCTTCCATGCTTTCCTTGGCTTAGGTGTCTACAGGATTCGTTCAGTTGTAAGAACTGTGACACTTCTAACACTTTGCTAGTGGAACATTTGCGAGTGAAGCGTGGGTTCGAGGCATACCCAAGTCTGGGTGCCTGAAGTAGATGGATGGCGGATGCAGCGCCACTTTGGCGAAGGGCCCATCTGCAAGACAGCTTTGCGCCTTGTGGTACCGCATGTGGACGGGCAGGGTCGCCAGCACGGAGGTCTCGTTCAATGGCAAGAAGGTGAAGACGCTGAGTTCGCTCGCCTGATGGGCCATTTCTTCCACGTCCACCTTGCCACGCAGTCCGAACTGCGCAAGACAGGAGAAGGTGATATTGCATGGCTTGGCTCACTAGCTTGTATTCTTTGCCTTAGCAGCTTATCATAGATTTTGCTTTGCACAGCTTTGTTTTTAGTGATGTATTGAAGGAACGTTGTAGTGCTTCGATCGCGTCGGTTGCAACTGTTTACCTAATTCTCATGAAGTTGCAAATGGATGGTGAAATCGGTAATAAACGTCTAGAGCAGTGCTACAATATGACCCTCCAATGGCAAAATGTGCATGCTTCGTAGCGTTGTTTTAATTCTGCATAGCAGGTGGGCAAAAGTGCCCATATTGCAGGTATTGAAAAATGTATACCAGGAAAACTTGATCCTAACGCAGAATACAAGGAAAAACAAAGCATCAATGAGTTCAATTACAGTGTTCTCTTTGCGTAGTTAGGCTAAAAGCCTAGATTGTTATACATTTTGCAATAAATCATATACAGAGAGACAAAAGAAATGTGGCGTATTGATTGAGTTAATCAGCTGATCAATTGCACCTTTGGATTTCAACCTTTGTCGAAATAAACACATAAATAAACCAACACACATGCAAACTCAGATTTAAGTGCAAATAGAACATGCACTTGCTGCGTCCACTGCGCAATCGCATCGTCACCAACATGAAAGTGAACATGTTGCCTGCCAATCACATATGCGTTCAGGATATTATTCAACAGAAGCAATTATCGTTCATTGCGACATAAACATTTACTGAATGCACGTTTAAGTTTAGCCCTTGATCGCCAAAGACAGCATGATAATTCAGTGATTGCGAATGAGCCAATTGAGCTTCACGCATCACTCGAAGCTGGCTTCCCCACACAAACGAGGTGCATGACAGCAGTGCACGTATTTCGGTTAACCTAATATGGCCATAAACACACAAGTTGGACGAAGCACTTATACGGTCGTGATTGTTGCACAGAACTTACCGTGGCATCGCTGTCGCCCAAGAGGCGCAGTTGGTAAGCGTCAACGTAGGCGCCCGGCGGTATGGCCTCCACGAGCAGCAACGTTGGGGACCGGCCCTTGACTTTGAGTCGGTTTCGCGAGTGGATCACAGTCTGCAGCTCCCTTCGAATGTAAAAGCAAAGACATTGGCGAACACAGGGGCCCCCGATCGCTCCTTCGTCGCTATAAACCGCCGCTCAGCGACTACTGCAAGCTACAAAAGAGTGATCCATACCTGTGGTAGCCCGTGAGCGCTAGGTTCCTTTCGACAACGATGTCCGGTTCTTCTTTGCAAAGTTTAGCGCCGTTGCTTGCCTTCGCCTTGTTGGCGGCCGCATCGGCTTCGAGCGCTGAGATTAGCGCTAGCGCTAGAGCTAGACGTAAGCTGAAACCCATCAGCTCATTCGGAATGATTCAGATCGAAGTATTACAATCGCACGAACGACATGAAGCAGCCGATTTTTTTGTTGTATATCCTTTCACGGGCACCTGGTGGCGTAAAGTGCAAGCTAAGAAGGCTTCGTCCAATCGACGCCGTCGTTTCAAGTGGCGGAAAAGTTTGAGTTTTGTCTTTGTGGGTTCAGCGAAGCCGTAGCGAATAGAATGCAGGGTGGTCCGAAACATGTGGTTTCTGCAGGTCTTCGTATATAAGGGCACAAGTTACATACAAAAAAAAATTGGGAATCGATTGTGCTAACATGATGTAATTCCCGTCCCCACCTATCGACCTGACGTAGTCCGTATGTACTGCGTGTGACTTCATTCAGCTATGGGAACGTGCACACATTTGAGCAATAAAGTTGGTTTCCTCAGCTCCCTTGAATTTGCTGCCGGTGAATTCCTTATCAGGGCGGGCGCGCGTACGTATTCTAAGCTGTTTTATCACGTAGGCGCAGCCCGGCATTCATATGCGCAGTTTGTGTGCGCACTATGCCGCTATCATACAGATTTTACCATCCGTATATATATATATATATACTTTTTGTTACCCAGGTAGTTGGAGTGGGTGTGTCTTGTTTCAATGGGCGTGAACATTTCGCTATATAAGGAGCAGTTGAACGCGGAGCGCCCGTTTGCTGAAGTCGGTTGTGACCACCACATGTGAGTACGTGTCCGCTCTGGATTCGGGCGGTGTTTTGTATCCCTATAGTTATTCTGAGCTTGCACTTAACTTTTTTTTCCCCTATTCTACCATGCAGGGTCGCAATGCAGGCGCTTAAATGGGCGCTACCGCTGCTTATATTTACGTTAGCCCACGCTGTTGACGCATCTACGCCAGATGAGCGCCTCGAAGAGTACTTCAAGCAAAAGCTGGACGACTTCAAGATAAAGCTTCACGAAGCTTTCGAAAAGGCCAGATTACAGCGCCACAAGCGAAGTCTTGTGACTCCGGACAGTCCTGACTATGGCGGTGAGTTTCGATTTCGTACGCAGCAACTTTCTTGCTGCGCACATGTGACGACCAAGGAGGTTTGCGTGTTCATTGTTCGACGCAGTCTTGCCTCAAGACCACCTCCGCGTCATCGGTACGAAGCCGGTGGACTTGGGAATACGCCTTGGGAACGTGTCCTGCTGGGAACCCGCGTACGTCGCAGGCACGACGTTCCTCGTGGTAGCCACACGCACCGGACAGGTCGAGCTGCTACGATGGGCCAGCGGACGCTACGCTCCATTCGCCGGAATGGCCACAAGTTTGACGACGGTCAAAGTCAAGGTGCGCTCTCTCGTAAAAACCGCGTATGCCGGCACCCTTTAGCCGACTACATTAGGTCCGGAAATCAAGGCTTCCGGTTCGTTCCGTAGCGTGTCTGCCTTGTACGCGCTGCTGTATGGTATGGTATGGACAACTTTATTGAAGTCCTGAGCATCAGTCCAGGACTGATGCTGGCCCCGCCGCGGTGGTCTAGTGGCTAAGATACTCGGCTGCTGACCCGCAGGTCGCGGGTTCGAATCCCGGCTGCGGCGGCTGCATTTCCTATGGAGGCGGAAATGTTGTAGGCCCGTGTACTCAGATTTGGGTGCACGTTAAAGAACCCCAGGTCGTCAAATTTTCCGGAGCCCTCCACTACGGCGTCTCTCATAATCAAAGGGTGGTTTTGAGACGTTAAACCCCACAAATCAATCAAATCAATCAAGGACTGATGCTGGCTGTTTCCACGTCGGGACAGAGAGGCAAAGCCCCTTTGCCGCCGCACGGGCCCTGTGGACAGTCCCGAGTTGGTTCCCCCAGCGCGTCACTGTGCAGCATTCGCTGCCACCACTGTTCACCGCGAGAAGCCGCAGCGGTTATGTATTTTGCATTTTCGTTAGTAACTAAAATTTCATCGTATGCGTGCCCAACAATTAAGCCTAACGTATTCACAGCTGGTTAGCACTGCCTCGCGTAAATAATAAAAAAAAAGCAGCTCCACTCGCAAAGCTGCAACGCGCCTGCCCTTTATATGACGGTCAGGCAAGCTGGTTTCTGCGTGTAGTTCTGTGTTAACCAATATATAACTGCAACGTACGTAGTTGGCTAAGCGTTTTGTTGTTGTTTTGTTGTTGTTTTTTAATAATCTACATTTGGCTGAGGAGCGATGCCAGAATCCCTAAAGAAAGTTGCGGAGCCGTTCAAGATCACACTTAGACCAAGCGACAAGTGTCGCTTGCTTTGGTCACGAAAATGAGCTAGCGCTATTTGACTAAGCCCCTATATGCAAATCCTCACTGAAAGGAAGAGCAATGGCAAGAGCAAGCCACGGAGGCGGAGGCAATGTTTTTTTCTAGTTGTAACGTATAGTTGTACAGGCTAACTCTAGACATATTTGCATAGTTATGCAAGTGCATGATTAGCCATTAAGTTCTGATGCAGTGAAGATCTCGTTCATTATAGTGTGATGCACGTGTATGCTTCGTTGACCCAGTTAATATAAATCTTATTATACATCCTAGTTAGCTTACCTATTATTATAGATCCCAGTTATTGTAGTGCATTGTAACATGTATGTTTCGTTGACCATAGCACATGTTCGCTCTTGCAACAATCTTCTTCGCAGGCATTTGTATATGGAGACCAGCTGTGGATTGTGTGCCTCCATCAGAGACACGGTGGGAGAGACCATTTCGTGCGTCTGTACTTGCTTCAAGGCGAAAAGCTGGTCACAAAGCAGACCGTTGAACTAGGCGGCGAGTCCGACATTGACGTGGTTCGCGGTGCTTCGGCCCACTATCTCGTCACGTGCGTGTTCCGAACCTACTCCGGTTCTGGTACGTCGTACAATGGAAAGCTCGTGTAAGTTTTCGTACATCGTTCTTTCGATAGGAATGGGGAAGATTTTGTGCCGCTGAATCTGCACCTGTTGCTGTTAGCTTTAATTTCTCCCTCCTGCTTCTTTGCGTACTAAGCATCGGATCAGAACGGTTGTATATTGGCGTGCCATTTTGTGACGCAGTTTCAAGTTGATGTTTGCTCAGGTGCAAGTGTTGGAATCGAAATTGCGCCAATATGATGTAGCAACTGAATACGATGAAAGTGCAGTCCAGCCTCTTTATAGTAACATATACTAGAGGGCACTTTATTCAATATATGAGGTCTCTTACAAACAAGTCACCATATTCTCGTTTTTTTAACCCCAGTTTTGATGTAGGCACACTAGTGTCTCTTACAAGGGAATTAGCCCGAACTTTCCACAATTCAATCCTTGAGCTAACAGGAAACGGGACTTTTAACATGTGGAGTTCTAGCTGAAGTTTAGTACGCACGTCATCATCTATTCTTGCTGTACTGTGCTTAATTCAACTAACTCTTCTTCATTCCCTACTGCTTAAAATGTTTCTCGCAGCTGCTTACCTAGTAAATTCAACATCTGCAGTTTTGATCCTCTGGAATGGCTGCTATTGTTGATCTTGCATTTAAGCTTGCTTCCATGCTGTCCTAGCCCTTTCGAAACATCTCCCTGAAGATTTCCATTCATTTTCTTGTGCAGGCTTTATGAATGGAAGAACACGCAGTTTGATGCAGTATCGCAGCACTCGGTCATCGGGGCCAAATCTGTCGTCGCTTGGAGTATGGAAGGACCCCTCTACATCGCCGTGGCTCAGCAGAGGGACAACGCCGGTGAACTTTTCCTGGGCTCTCCTGTGTTCATCTACAACCAGCGTTAGTATGCATCCAGCCTTTTGCATGAGGGGGTTTCTAAATGTGCTGTTGTATGTGTTCATGTAAAAGTAAGAACAAAGCAAAATTTGAAAGGAGATCGGTGCACTAACAGAGGAGGGACAAACAACAACAAAAAAAAACTGTGCATTCAAAGTATGGACTGAGTAGTCCAATCCTACACTGTATTGAAATTTCCTTCAGGTACAACTTTCTTGGTACAGAATGTTTTTTCAACATGCATTTGACAGTGAAAAGCAATACTGTGTATTCGATTTACTTCGTACCATATTCTCGACCGCTGGAGTTCATTCTCACTACAAATGCAGGAAGGAGCTCCAAACTTTCCATGAAAAGATCAAATGTGGAGTTGGTTGCCACTCTATTCTTTCAAATTACGCCACCAGTTGAGAAACAGTATTTGGTACAATTGCCGATCTCTATTACATCAAACGTGCATAATTTGCAGTTTGATACCTGAAGTAGTGCTCCTTTTGCATTTCCGATTGTATTTTTCTTAGCAGTTATTCGCTTTTTTTGTGTGTGTGCATGTGTTTGTTCTCTTGTATTCTCTCCGTTTCAGGCCATCATTGTGTTTTGACTTTCAGAATACCTTGTCCAATTTTTTTCCTCCTTTTTTTAGGTCGGGAACATGAGCTCAGCTTTGTGCAGGTGATCAGGTTCTGGCAAGCTTTCAAAGTGAACCATTTCACAGTCGCTGGCATCCACTACCTGACCTTTCTGACTCGTCAAGGAGTCTTCCTCTATTGGTATGCCGGTAAGCCCTTCACTACCATCAAGCGTGTGCCAGTATTTTTGTCCCACTATACTCGGAGTGGGAAGTGCCTGATCGATTTCTTCGATCTTGTATGTAGGTGACCAGTTCCTGGAGTGGCAGACTCTTTTGAACACGGAGGGCGCAGAGGACGTCTCGATTTTCAACCTACCAAACGGAGAAGCTGCCATAGCAGTTGTGCGGAAGGTAAGCGGCAGTGTCCTAGGGAATTCACGAGGTCGGCTATGATGATCATAATCGGGTTATTTTAATGTTCATTACGAAGACTGCTCCCAAATATCTTCTATTTACCCTGTCTCGTTCAAGCAGATTTAATTTTAGCCCCGCGAACCCCTCGAATTCATTACCCCACGTAGCTATCTGCTGTCATTGTCTGGGTTCCGCAGGTTTGACATCTGTTCGCACTACGTTTGTCTCATGTCTGCTAGAATGTATTTAAGATTGTTGTAATACAGCTGTTCCTCCGAGATACAGTTCCACATTTGATTAGCATTTTCTTGGTGCACTTTGCCACCATCATTTGCTAGTTTTTTTTTATCTTCCTGCAGTTGCACATATTAAATCTCTTTACTTGCAACCCTGGCTGAGCAGCATTTAAACTGCATATCGAAGCTCATCAATTCGTCTCTCATGGCCATGTTTCATTTTGCCTACGATATGAGTATTATTTTATTGATAACTTGAAAAGTCTGATTGGCCAAATCTAATTATTTCCTGATCATTTCCTCGTAGTGTTCTAAGCTTTATCTGCTGGCTTTAAATGGTTAATGTTTTATCTTCACTGCATGCATTATTCAAATTTTTCTCGGATTGCTGTTCTTGAGGAACAACTACGTGGCGAAAAATCCGAGAGTGGTGGTGGCGTCTTCTGTAACCCTTTGGCCGTGCAACTTCACATTGTCTTCACATTTTCGTTTTCAGGATGAAGTGATGTTCTTCTTGGAGACCGAGTCCTCGACATACAACTGCACTTTCACCCTCAAGATGTCTGGCATGACCCTCTCGAGCGTGGTGTTCCAGTTCATCGAAGGCCAGTACTTCATGTTCGTGACGCAGGCAGTGCTCTCTGCCCCCCAGCCACCGCTGCAACTCGTTCTTGAGAAGTACAGCTTCGGTGAGCATGTTGCTTACTTCGGTGGTCAACTTCTGCGCAATTGAGGTAGCCAAGCTCCGGGAGTGTTCGCTGTCTGAACTTGTTGCGTACACTCAAACCTCATTATATCAAAGTTAAGTACTATACAAAGATGAGTTGGTTACACCTGACAATGTGTTATAAAGGTACATTCTTAACACTATCTACTCTGAACTGTCTTTTCGTGAACTTGTTCTAACGAATAATTCGTTATATCCATGTTCGTACATGTGAAGGGCCCAACTGCATGCGATGTTTTTCTAGCGACAAGCGGCAGTGACGGTCGCGGCGGTTGCAACCACATGTTGGCGACAGTGTCACTGTTGCTAGCTTGAAACCTATCGTGTGCGTACCTATAAATTGCGAAAAGAAGTTTAAAATTAAATCTATGACAACATGCCAAGTTTATTGCTGTCCTATGTGGCATGAAGAAGCCACAAAAGCATTTCATGGCCCTCCTTTTCTCCAATCTTTATTTTCACTGCGACACTGTGGCCAGAAGCGTGTGCTACAACACACTTCGCATGACTGTTTCACATTGCAGCAAGCGACCATGATTGTCGCAAGCATCCATGGACATATCGAAACAAACCTTCAATAACGAGATTTACAACAAAATACGGCTGCTTTCTCATTGTCTGCGTGAGAATCTAATGTAAAAAAAAAAAGTTGTCGATATCTTGCATTCCTTGAAGTACGCACAGATAACAAGCATCCAAAGCAAATTGCAACCAAAGTGAGGGCCAGGGGTGCAGCCATGTTGCCGGAAATCGCTACGCTGGCTTCTGGACGACGAGCAATCTTTTCTAGTCTTCCAAAAACCTGCGATGCAACAAGCGGTGTCAACGGACAGGCCTCCGCAACAGCGATTCCTGTCACTTGTTGCTGTCACTAGAAAATCTCGTGCATGTGGTTAGGCCTTAAACTTCTGGCCTTTCTAATTTGACGTATTCATAGTGTTTACTGCAGGAAATCGGGTGCCCCTTTTTATAGATTACGAATAGATCCATAGTTTTTCATGCATGCTTCAGTTCCCACAAACTTCATGCAAGGCATAAATATCTCAAGTCATTGTATTACATTTCCAAGGTATTGAAAAAATCCACATTAGGATGAATGAGGTTTCCCCACAAGCTTATGTCTGTAGCAGTTGAATGCACGCCCCACAGTAAGTGTTCCACGAGTGGAGGTGTTTAACAGGAATGTTCCTTGCCACTTATCGGGAAGTAGGTACTCGCCTGCAATACATAAACATTTAGCTCAAAGGTATGCATTGAAACATTTAGCTCAAAGGTATGCATTGCAAGACCTTTGCATGTGAACCAGTGTTGTCTAGCGTTCAGATTCTGAGCACAAGTAGAAATGCTATGGAGAGAGGACTAATGGAGGCTTATCACATTAAAAAGAAAGGAGATTGTATTAGCGACATTTCTGTTGTGCTGCACAGTAAGGAAAAACTGTTTAGAAACTTGGCTGTGCTATGTAGATGTGTTGTGCTGCCGATCCTGATTAGTGTTGTAGAATGCGACGTGCATTGCGCCTGTGTAGGCCACTCGGCTGTGTATATAGTATTTAGGGACACTCTTGAATAAAACTTGCTGTAGATTTCGCGCTTCCAAGTTTTAACATAAAAACTTGCTGTCGCTTGGTCCTGTTTAAATCGGTCATTGTTCCTTCTCGTGTTGGCCACAAGTGTACATTAAGCTTAGCTTTAATTCAAGTTCATATGGTGTTCAGGTGAAAATGTTAAAATGGTTTGGGTTGTATTGCATAGCCTGAAACTGAATTTATAAAGCATTCAGCTGTGCTGCACTTCGCATACGTGTAGCACCTTGATATAAAAGCTCTGATATAGCACGAAAGTAGGAATATAATAAGACGAGCTTGTTTTTTCTGCATTGCACACAAATGATTAAACCAACAGACAGTTAAGCGAAGGAAAGCATAGCGTACATAATTTGTGGTTTCTCAAATTCAGTGCAGTCGCCTTCTCAGTCAGTTTGCTCGAAAACAACCTTCAAATCTCATATCCATTGTTGCTGTTTGTGCTCGAAAGGTGGGCGCTCGCTCATTCACTTCTATGTCTGGTATTTATGTGCGCTTAATAAATACCTGGAAGTGTTGGCCCAGGCCAGCAAGTGTGCAACTCTTTTTCTTGGCCCTTTGGCCAAAAAAGTGTTCCACTCCCATCACCTCCACTGAGTATGAAAGTTTTGGAAGTGAGTGCAACATATTCTAGCGGCATTGTGTATGTGTGAATGTCTTCTTTTATCCGCACGTGCATATGTTAGCAGGTATGCGCACGGTTTCTACAGAACATGGTGTAATTAGATGCACGATGCTGATACACATAGCAGGTCAATATTACACTAGGGGGAAATGTGATGCAATTGTATATGAGAGCTGCAGCACATATCATGCTTCAGATATCCAGGGAATGATCCACAATACAGTTGAACCCCTATATCAGACACGCAGTGCAAAGCGGTTCTTGTCTCTTATGAGGCCTTTCATAAGCGGGGTGCCACATATGATGGATTCAATTAATGTTTCTTTCGATGCAAGCCCAATTGTTCCGCTTACACACAATTTTGTATTAAATCGGTGTCTCTTAGATACAGGTTTAACTGTACTTCATTTTCTTTTGGCTACTTGTGTCCTGCAGCTGCTTTGTCACGATACGGGAGTTCAGCAAATGTTCACAGCAGTCCCACTTCGACCCTCTTAGGCTATCTGTCTGCTGAAGAGGTTCATGCCAAGCTATTCCTATATCTGAAGCCAAAACAATAGCATTGCAAGCCACAAGCATGAATACCAGGATGATCCATGTACTAAAGATTCATGTCATGGCCAAACAATTCCAACACCACAGTTCCCTCTAGTGAATATTGCAGGAAACTCTATGCTTACAGATGCAAGATTTGTACAGCAGAAACTCTATAAATTTTGCCATGCAGTTGCCCAAGGAAAGCCGGACCCTCTTCTCGACTGCCTTCACAACCTGGAGAACTCGCTCGCACGGCGGCAGGCTCACGTGGACCACCTGGCCGCAAACATTGGGCGTGTCTGGACATCCAACGGGCAGAGGCCACTCGCCACAGAGCTGGTGGTCATAGACGGTCCCGTCAAGGTCACCGGCTCGGTCACCGCACCCAAAGGAGTGATCGTTCCTCAAGCACAGCGGGTCCCCAAGGTCACTCCGGACGACGTCTCGAGGCAAACGAACGACATTTGGAAAGACGTTGCGAGAATGGAGAATGAATTGAAGGGTGTTGTGTTCAAGTCGGTTCCGCAGACAATTCAGGGTGAGACTCTTGTTTTTGGCGGTTGCAGTGCCTAATTAATGCAACCAAATTTGGCTCACTTAACAATGGAGCTAATGAACATTGCATAATTAAGCACTGAAGCGACTATTATATTCAGCAGTAACCTCTTGAAGAGTTCTCTAGCTGCATCTTGAACCATACACATAAACACTGCCTGCACATTTAAGGTAATGCAAATGAGTCTTTTAACTTTCTTAAACACAATGGTTCTTGTGGTCATGCTTCAGTTTCTTTAGTATTATTGTGTGTGTTTCATACATCCTTTACATTTCATACTAAAAATTTCTTTTGTTAATAAAATCTATATCAAGTGCCATATTAGGCATAAGGCCAGATAAAGCCCTTTGGTGTTCGTGACTGATTCTGTCTCGCTTGAGATTAGTCGCCACATTTCATTCACTTCAGTCTCATCCTTCATTAGTTTTTTTTTTGCTATCAAGCTACGGTATACCAGTTCACCAGTTAATGTGATCAAATCTTCTGTTGTACTTTGGTTATCGTAAAAGGTAAAAGCCTGTTGGACTTTGACGCAAACTTCTTTTTTCATTTACTGATTACTATTGTCCTTAATTTTTCCCTCTGCAGGGAACCTTAAGTTCGACAGACCAGTCAGTTCATCAACTATTAATGTGGCTCTGCTTGTGGACACTACATTGAATGGTGTTCCACTCGCCGATCTGCTGAAGAACACCCTCAAGGCAACCGGTGACCAGGTCATCAGTGTTCCGGTATCGTTCAACAACCTCTACGTGAACAACTTGAACACTCGCACAATCAATGGAATCAACATTTCGGGTGAGTTTTACATCAAATGACTTACGCGTGTATCTTTACAAAGCGTGACTGGAGGCTGTAATGGCAAGTTTAGGAAATAATTGGTGCAACTTTGCCTTTGTATGCCTGCTTCCTGGTACTAATGTATTTTAAACATTACGAATAGTGAAGTCTCTGAATATGTTGATAGCATACAAGCGTGGATTGTCTTGTTTGATGCTCGAGTTTTTGACGTGATGGTACATGTGCATATTGCTTGTTTTCGTATGTGTTTTCTACAATTTTCAGTTTCTAATCAGTGCCACTGTCCATCTTTTCTCAATTTGCCTTAGCTGCTTTTCATTGTCGGACATGATACTGAAGTAATGCATCTTTCCTTGGGTCTTGATAGATATTTACCGTATTTATTGTCCTACTTGTAAACTTCATGTTGCTGACTTCATATCACTCTTAATTCAGACATGTCTCCCACTGTGAATGGGCTGACCTGCATTCACGCTTGACCTATGTTCTAGGAAATGCTCTGTAATTTGAGTATTGTAGGAAAGTGACTTTTTCTTCTGTCCGGCGTTTTACGTAGTTAATCTCCACATTTATGCCAAAAGTTAACACTTTTAATCGTGCAATCTTTCTTTTCACCACAACGTTCAGACGTCATGTTGACAAATAAGGACCAGCTTGTCACTGGCAACCTCAAGTTTGGCCACGTCTCGCTGACAGACCTGAACGTCCAGAGAGGCCGTACCATCAATGGCATCAATCCGGAAAAATTTGTCACCACCAACACCCCGCAAGTCATTCATGGGATGAAAGAGTTTACAAAGCTGCGAATCCCTGGCAACCTCAAGGTTACCACAACAGTAAACAGTGTAAGTTGCCTATTTATTCTGCAGTTGCCTATTTATTCTCGGCACAAAAAAATTTAAACAACGAATCCTCGAGACGAGGACCAGTACAGTTTTGTTGTGTTTATTGTGCAAAATTTTTTGCACTGAGTGGTTTAATTGCGAAATACCAACTAGCCCAATCCCACACTTTACTCTGTGAAATTCCCAATCTGGACTTCAGTTCTCGATTACCTATCCTGCTGTGCTTTCTCTGAATATTTATTTCATCAGATTAGCTGTACATAGCTTTAGTTGTGCAAATACTTTTGTAGGTGTTGCGAATGTTCTTTCAAAACGATGGTATTTTCATGGGAAACTGGTTCCGCAGCTTCCTAGAGTGACCTATCTAATCGATAAGGTGGTCATTCATCCATAAATACATCCATGTTGCAGGTGTGCTTCAGGGATTGGACAGACCCTTGGCAAGCTCAGATCATTAAAAATTTCCATCGCAAAAATTTTTCTGCTTTGTATTTTACTGCTGAATCATTTGCTACGATAAACACACTTGCCTGACAAAAAATTTCATAACCGGGAAAAAAAAAAAGCCTAGTCACGTTCAAAAGTGGATATACCAGTTGCAAAGGTCGATACTAGAAGGCTCGACCAGAGGGCTTAAAATCCTCTATGCACCTTGCATTGCATTGCCACCTGAAATTTCTTAATGTAATCTGAATTGCACCTGTCTAGAATGGCTGGGCGGCCACTTCAGCCAGACTATGCAGGAACGGCCTTTGTAATCATACAGAAGTCTCGCTGCATGCTACGCTTTTTGGTATAATTCAAGCATGAATGTAAGCTTGTCAATTAAGGTCAAAGTAGTGTACCAACATTAGTTTGTGACAAAAGCGAACAACCGCCCATAGCATATTAGCTTACACGGCTCCAATGTAGACATCAGAGCCAATGCCACATTCATTGGCCAGATTCACTGCAACACAGCGCTATCGCAAGCAGGAGTGCATACTGTTTGTCACGTTTAGTTTTAAACTGCATTTTTTATTTCGCGAGCATTGTACTTTTCAAAAAATAGGGGCAGAATTCCAAAGGCTCTCCTCCTACAGAAAGACCTGTCCGCATTTGTTGCTCACCTGGTGCCCCTGCAAGGCGTCACAACAGTTACCGGCGAGTGGACATTCCAGGCACCACTGATCATTGGTTCTGCACTCGCCTTGAAGAATCCAATCAACGGGCTCTACAGCATCCCCAAGCTGTACGCCGAGGCAGTCGACAAGCACAGCCACCAGACTATCCGTGGTACGCTTTCCCTCTCTGCATGCTGTCCACATTGCACTGGGTTTCCATCGAGCAGCTCACTGGTTTGGGCAGTCGGCGATACTCTGTTCATAGTCGTAAAGCTAGCTTTCCGTTCCTGCTATACAGTTTGCCCAACTGATCGTGGCTAATCTCTTTGTGCAAACTGCATGTTCAAGTGCAGTTTGCTTGATCTATGTGGGAAATGCAGACTCGGCTCTCTTCGCATAAACGGGCATAATGAACAAGCCCTAGCACTGGGATCTTGTGTCCTCTTGAAGCACCCCAGGTGCTGCCATTATTAGTAGTGAGTAGGCAGTGCGAGGAAGCACTTTAGCAGATTATGAAGTGGGTGTGTTCCTGCAGCATTGTGGGCTAATATTAGACTTTCCGACCCAGCAACTCTGTGCATATCGATATTGCTACAAGGTTGAGTAGGTAGCTTACTCATTGAGCAGAGCTTTGGTGCTGGCGATGTGCTTAACTAGCTTTTTATATTCCGGCTCATAAGATTTTGCATTCATTGTCTTCCTTTCAAATGATTGTTTGGGAAAATGTCTCTAAATTCAGCACAGCGTGTTCTTTTGGATTGTCTAAAACGGCATGAGCTCTACATACGCCAATCTGCACTCTGTAAGGTGTTCACCACCACCATGACAACAAAAGAACACGAATATATGCAATCACTTCATTCTATGAATAATGCCCACTACCTCGTATACAGTCTTGTCAGAAGAGATGAGATTATTTTATTCTCTGCAGTCTGTCGTTGTCGTCTCTCCCAACAACTCAATGAGGTCTCGGTGCTCTGTGATTAGGGAAACTGCTGAACAAAAATCTTAAGTGGTTCAGTCACACGCACGTCTTCAAACTGCATCATGCACCATCTCCGAGAATTGGTAGTGTATTTATTTTAATTCAGGTGTACTTATTCACTTTTAGTTTCAGACCAAAAGGAAGCAAGGTGGGTAAAAGTTCCCGACTGCAAAAGTGGTAATCTTTAATGGGGAAATATCTTTCTTTACACATAGTTTCATATGCTTTTCAGGACCAAAGACTTACCAGGCACCTGTTGTGATCCACGGAAACGCCGAAGTTGCCGGCACGTTGAATGGCATCCGGCCCAGTCGCGACCTGGTCACATTGCACACTCCGCAGAACATTCGGGGCACGTGGACAGTCAAGGACGTGATCCACTTCAAGCATAACCTCAACGCTGGCACAATTAATGGCTTGGATATCGCCAGGGATGCAGTGCTTCGAAGCAAGGGGCCACAGGTGGTTTTTGGGAGGAAAATGTTCGATGCGGACGTCACAGTGACAAGGGACATTGCAATGACGCCCGGAAGCACAATTGACGGCGTTGATCCATCGGAGCTCAGCAGGACGCCGGGACTCGAGACGGTGTACAACACCGCAGTGAACATTGAGTCGATGATCGTCATTGGGAACGTGGTTGCGCATAAGGGCATTAACGACCGCATGGTTCGCGATCTGCAGAACTTGATATGGCTAAAGTCTGCTGACCAGGCAAGTGTTTTGTGGTCACTACTTGCGATTCATTGGCATGCTGCATGTACGGTTTTATTTTCTTCCATTCATACATACTGCAGCGCGTTTTGTCTATGGCGGAAGTGGGCATACATGCAAGTAAATATAGATAAGCAATATGCAGAAAGATTTAGGAACATATAAAAGAACGATACTTGTTGCTTATTTAAGAAAATAAGCGATTGTGATTGGGTGCAACAAAAAGCAGTTTTGTAATGGCCTCTACGACCGACTACGTTATTACCGGCATTAAGATCAAATTTTTGTCCTTGGAGAAATGAATTGGAACTTGGAAAATGCACTGCTGGACACTTGTGCCGTCCGTACAAGATCAGATGCTAGTTCACACCATTTTACAGTAATCTCTTGTCCATTTCACTTTCTGTAGTTTGCTGACCCTATCATGCTCAAACCTCATTTTGGCAGCACATCAGATCACCTGTAAGCTTCAACAACGTTCACTTGGAGAAGGACTTGGACACTGAAACAATCAATGGCATTAATCTTGACGAAGACCTGATGAGGACCTTTGGAGACGAAGTCCTCGAAGGGCCAGTGGTGTTCAAGGATTCCATTCGTACTAAGGGACCCATTGACGTTTCCCCCGGCGTGAAAGTGAACGGCATTGACCTTTCGGAAGCTGCCAAGCTGGTGAGTGGTGGCAAAACTTTTACCTCTAGCAAGCTTGTTCCTAAAGCTTCACTAAAGCAAAACGATCTTTACCCTGATTGATTATATTTCAAGAAGATGCAAAAAATAACCAAAACATGGAAAACAAAGCGGACAGACAAGTGTCGTTCTCTCCTTACTTGCTATTAACAAAGTAGAACTAAGTGGCACAAAGTCTACGGAAATGAAATTTTGTGTGCATTCAAGATGTCATTCAAGTGCATTATGTTTTCACAAATTTGATCCCTCTGGCCATTCTCTTCCTGTACAGGTGTCAAGTTCCCATCAAAACACTGTAATTCACGGGGACGTGTCTTTCCCATCACTGGTTGTACAAAAAGACCTCCACGCCGAAACTGTCAATGGAAAGCCGCTCGCCCAGCAGTTTCTCTTGGTGAACGGCGAGCAAGTGATCGCCGGTACGCCGTCCTTCATGCAACCGATCTCTGTCAAAGAAGTCGTCGTGGACTTCGTCAATCCGGTGCAACTCAATGGTGTGCCCTTCCGAGAATTCATGGATGAGCTGGTATTGCAAAATGGCTCTCGGCACAGGCTGATCACCAACAAGCACTTCAGGAATGGATTTGAAGGTAATCAACTTTTTCTGTCTTGACAAGGGAATTTGGGTTTGCCTTAAAAATGCAGTAGTAGCTGGTTTCAAACTCTTACTCTTTCTAAGTTTCGTTATGTAGCGAGGTATTTAGCATTACTCATAGCCAGGTTGGAACTGTCTGCATTTTTGGCTTTGTAACATCCCTTTTTCTTGAATGTCATGGCAATACGGAGACGGAGTTTCATGCGGTATGTAAGAATTTGTTCTTAATTATCAAAGTGATTGTAATTGCAAATATCACTTGCATTATTCCAAATTCAGTGCAACACATATCTATCAAATCTGAAGGGGGATTTCAAATGTTCAACATATAGGTACTTCGATCTACAAATATGTCTTAATTTAAGGGGCTTTAACTGTTGCAGCATACACGAAAATTACATGTGGACTCAATATACGAGTTTGGCTGTACACTCAAACCTCATCATAATGAAGTTGCATCTTACATGAATATAACTTCGTTATAGGTGAAAATTTTTTGTAGAAGTTCATTTCTACTACTACATCTATTGCAACAATATTTTTGATTTACTTTATTATAACCGATACTTCATTATATTTGGTTTCGTCATATCGAGGTTTAAGTGTATAACGATTACATGTGCACGGATTATGTACACAGTATACTTCAGAGTGCAAAACTGTCAAAACGGGTTTCGCATGAGAAAATATCGCATTGCCTTTAAGAAGTGAGCAACGAGTAGCTTGTTCATGAATATGTCTCGTCTTCAGCTCACCACTTGCAAAGTTATGGCCTCATCGATGGCGTCAACGTCGAAGAGATGCTGCACAGTGTGGTGCTCCTCGACGTTCCTCAGACGGTGGACGGCGTCAAGGTGTTCCAGAACCGTTTGCGCCTAGAGTCTCTGCTTGCCGATCAAGTGAATGGAGTCGACATCAAAGAACACACTCACAGGGTTGTTCGTCGCAACGTTCAGCAGGTTATAACCGGAAAGAAGACGGTCATGGGGTACGCTCTTGCGTTGCCTTCTGCAGCAATTTTTTTTATTACTAATATTTACTTTGAAAGCTGTTTACATAACTGTTACAGACTAACAGATTTTTATGATCTATGGTTAGAAACTTGACTGGTCCCTTGATTCTTTTAGTGCATAAGCAGTGTTGGAGGATCTGGTCCTTTGATTACGTGAAGATATATATTTGATTTCAGCTTGCTAATTACGGACAAGTGTGGCTAGCCTTTGTAGATGAGAAAAAAGGCAAGAAGACAGTATCAAGTTCAAAGAACAAAGTTCAACACTTCATCCAAAAGTTCCATTCGGCAGCTCTAAACACCACTCGCATTCTGTCCCTTTTCAAGAATTTCGTCGCAATCTTTTTCTGTGCTGTCTCTGCCTTTTGCTCAGGAAAGCTTTCGTTCACGGCCATGTCACAACTGGTGATCTCGTGAATGGAGTTAACGTGAAGGACCTCTATGCCCGAGCGATGTCCAAGACCCAAGAGAATCTTGTTTCTGCGCCGATGACCTTCTTGAGTGGTGTGGATGCTCGTGAGTGTGTTACTACGTTGCAACTTTCTCTTTGCACTTTCCAAACTTGTGGAAGACGTAGGCTTGTTCGAATATTTGAAATATTCGAACGACTATTGCTGTACTTGAAGTTGTTTTGATTCGAATTGAAATTACAGAAATTTTTGAACTATTCGAAACGAACAAACAGATGTATATAACAATCCGCATTTAACTTTTCTGTAAAGGTGGTTTCACTGCAGTGGAAGAGTGCTAAGCCATGACAGTACCTATTCAATGCATATTAGTTTGCAATGCAACTTCCTGTAAAGTTGGTTCGAATGCAGTGAAGAGTTGCTTGACTGAAAACTCCACACTGCCGCAAAGACTCGCTTGAAGGTTAAACAAACTTATCACCCTTACACTGATTCATCATTGAAGTTTAAAAGCTTGTTATTCTTGCTTGTATGCTCCAAGTGTAGTAAATTTTAAAACGCCACATTTCCTACAAGTTACGACTATTATTCTGCCGAAATTGAAATCCTGCTACTATTCAGTCATTTCCATCTCCTTCGAACCAAAAAAAACATTTGCCTAGGCCCTATTTTAATAAAGAGTTGTACAGGTTAATTGGGCCAAAAGCACTTTGACTTAGACGAGTTGGTACATTATTTGATAGGCTTCTGTTTGTCTTTTATGGTCTTCGTCTTATTTGCGCTGAACACAGACGATTGCTATGTTCACCATGTGTAGTTGGCTCACTATGACGAATGTCATTTTTTATTCATAAAAATGGATTCTATGTAGTTCAGCCATAATCGCTACTATTTACTTCACATTCGCTTCAAACCTAAAATTTACTATTCACACAAGGCCAGTAAGATGACCACGTAATATATATATATATGTACACATATATCCCCTGCTGTAGGTACTTTTATTGTGTCAACATAGCCAGGTGGTGGCCATTATACACAGCTGTATAATGTCAATCCAAGAACAGTTTCTCTGCACCTACATTGCTAGTCTACACACCATTGAAGCTGGATTATGTAAGGGCACCTTTTATTCAGATGTACTGCCACAATTACACTTAAGTGCACACTTAACTACACTTCCCTAAAGCTAGCCCCGCTGCAGTGGTCTAGTGGCTAAGGTACTCGGCTGCTGACCCGCAGGTCGTGGGATCGAGTTTTAGCTGTGGCGGCTGCGTTTTCGATAGAGGCGAATATGCTGTAGCCCCTTTTGCTCAGATTTGGATGCATGTTAAAGAACCGCAGGTGGTCGAAATTTCCGGAGCCCTCCACTACGGCGTCTTTCATAATCATATGGTGGTTTTGGGACACTGAACCGCACATATCAAATCATTTGCCTTGAGGTACTTCCATTTGAAGGAATCCGTAGCCGACCCACGGTCATTCGTGCCTCCAGTCGATTCTCCTATGTGTGTAGGCCGCTTGCATCTTTACGGACCTGCGAAGCTCGATGGACTTGACCTCGACAATGTCGTGCTGCTCCGCGAAGACGAAGTTCTGGGTGGCACGGTTGTCTTCAAGAATCTTCTGTCGGATGGAGACATCCAGATTGGTGGCCTCCTGAACGGTTGCAACATTACAAAGGTAGGTCTGTTTCAGAGTGGTGTTTCTCGTTCTATAGTCTTACAAATTCGTAGCATGTCTCATGCTTGACAGTTAATTGAATTCTGGTGCTTTGAGCTGGAAAATTCAGCATCTTCTATTTAAGCAGTGCTTCTATTTCAGTGCTTCAAAAGATCTCCGACAAACCGAAAAGCTCTCGTCACATGGTAGAAACGAAGTCTTGCGTGCCCCTGCTGCCAAATCTAGTTATTTGATTTTGTTACACATTGAGAATTATGCTAAATCACATGATATCCATTCGTACTAGCCTGTGTCAAACCAAGAAATTCACGCATTCATAGAACGCCAAACACAAAAAAAAGCCTACTTTGCAATCTAGTTTTCTTGTGCAGTTGTCAAGATTTACATGCAAAATCTCGGTGAATCTTGGCCTTGACTTCCATCTCTGTAATATTTACGCACGGAAGTTCCATGCATTTTGTATTTCTCGCGCTAACACTACCTGGTGAGCATTACCATGCATCCCAGATTGAGCCAGCATCCATTCCTTTGCAGCTGTACAAGGAAGCATTGTACAACAGTGGCGTGAAACAGTCAGTGTACGGCCAAAAGCACTTCTCGAAGTTGAACGTCAAAGGCAATGTCCACATTCTCGGGGACCTCAACGGGGCTCCGTTCGATGCTCTGGTTGGCAATCTCGTCATGAGGAATGTGCCGCAAACGGTCGACGGTCCAGTGACCTTTCTGGACAAGGTGGTCGTCGACTCCCTCACCCTGACCGGACCGATCAACGGAGTCAACCTGACAGACCTACTACGTGACTCAGTCACTAAGTCAACTGAACAGGTCTGATACTTTGCCAGCTTTCTGTGTAATTCTTGGAGCGTCTTGAACTTGGTGATGTTTTGCAGTGAAAGCTCTAAACACGACCCAATTCCTTGTAGCGAGAACTGCTGGACAGTCTCGTGTTTCAAACCTTGTACACACACCGTAAATTGTGTAATTGTGACTTCTCTTGACAGTTAAGATGTATCTTGCTGCTTCGTCTGCAGCCTTCCGATAAAAATTTCCATATGCAAGGAAAATTAATTTGCTTATGCACGAAACAACCGCATCTGGTCATTTTCACTGAGAACTATATTTTAAGCACGATGAGTCGCACGTCCACGTGCTAATGAGAATTGTATACGCTGATCCTAAATGAAATCTCAATAATGGCGATGTTGGGAGTAGTTTCGATAATGCACTACATATCAATTTTGTTAAGCTCCGTGCTACTGCTGTCGTAAAGAAATATTTTGGCATCAGTCGGAAAGGTAAGTCTTTAAACAGTCAGTCTTTTCTTTGTTCAAGTGGACGTAATGGTTGACTATTCCAGGGAAAAACCAGCTTGCAGTAAATCCGTAACTGGAAGCTGATTTCATGTTGCCAGAAAATGGTAGGATAGGGCGCTCGGTTTATTTGTATGCCTTCGTTATTTACTGGCACCACGCTACTCGGACAGAAAATTACATTTCTGGCTGGACTATTTAACTTTTCCAGCCGGGAAATGATTCCAGTTAAATTATTCAGCTGTGTAGCACTACAATATAACTTGAAGTCTAAGACTATCCTGTTAAAATGTGGCTAAATACCAGCCAGGAAATGAAATGCCAGCCAGGAATTTCCAGCTGGGTATTCACTTGTTTATTCACTTGCTGAATTGAACAGAAAGTCCTCGCAGTCGGCAAAATTTCCGGTTCAATAATTCAGCTGTAAATTGAACTACTCAAACTTAATATAACGAACCTGGATATAATTTAATATGTTATAGTGATGTAAATGAAAGTCTTGCGATAGCCATAATGTAAGGAATAATCCTTTATGACTAATTTTTGGATATAACGAACTTGCTTTTGTGTAAGATGCAACTTTATTTTAATGATGTTCGAGTGTATCTTTGTCTGTGCATCTGTGTCTAAGAATGGGCTGTTGAGATTTGGCAGAAAAAGAAAAAGCGGAAATATAAACGCATTGTCCTATGGACTGACTTCTAGTGTTAACATCTTAATCATTTCTTTTGTTCCTACTTGCCTGTTTTCTTTGGGAGACCACAGAGCACTTGAAGCCTTCCACTAGCGTGTAGTGCGCTGTTAATACCCTGGAGGCATTCCTCTGGTCTCCCAACTTTTCAGGTGGTCCGAGGAACAAAGACCTTCACTAACCCACACGGACTTGTTGCGTCCAACTCCCTCCACGTTCGTGGCAACGTCGTGTCGCGTGGCTCTGTGGGTGGCATCAGCATTGCCGATCTTGCCAGCGTTGTCACCGCTCACGGTCGCCATGTCATCCACGGCAAAAAGACCTTGGTGGGACCTCTGACTGTGGAAAACATTGATGTGAGAGGTGAGCTCGCGATTTCCGAAAAACTTTGCCGTTTTTTTTTTCTGCTCTATCTGGGAGAGCTGTGCCATCCTTTGTCAGTCATGTAAACTGCCCGTTAAGGGTTCAATGCCATGTGCACCGATTAACCGTGTTGTGCTGCGAAAAGGGGCTACAGCGTTCCGCATGTCTGTCCTGAACCTGAATTTCCAGCTTGTACCACTTTTCATGTGCAACATGACATTGAGCATGACAGAGAGCCCAACAGTTCTTACAACTCTTGGTGAATTCGTGTGCACTTTTCAAAATGCCATTCTTTTCTTTGAAACCAGACTTTTTTTCATGACCAGACATTTGCTAAGGCAGTGAGCATATCGCAACTATCTGGTATGAACTGTTTGCCATAATACTGATGGTTTAAACCCGTTTTTGCATAAGTCAAGTTAAACATTCCCAAATGATCTTAATGAATTTCTGGGGTCTTTTTTTTTTATGATCTGGCGATTTGGTGATGAGGTCAACTGATAAACTGCTTGAGCCGCAAGTCTGCATATTTACCTTTCGTTTAAAACTCTCCAGGCAAGCTGAACGGCCTGCGCATACCCGGAGACCTGGTCCTGCCGAGGCTCAAGAACCAGCTCATTCCAGGAAAGGTCATCCTGGCTGGCCCCTCAGCCATCCAGGGCAACTTGAAGGTTGGCAAGGTCAACGACCTCTACCTGGAACAGTTGCTGGCCGAGAGGGTGACCCTGAGCGGAGACCAAAGGCTCAGATCCAAGCTAATTTTCCAGAAGGACGTTCCTATATATGGTGGGTGTTTCCTTCAAAACATCATTGCGGCCGCGCTACTACGCTTCAGGATGTGGGTCCTACTCCCCACCGCGGCGGTTTTATTTGGATGTGGGCAAAATGCAAGAATGCACCACTGCACCAGCTAAATGCAAAACAGTCATTGCACTTGGAGGGGTCTGTTGAAGTATCCTGAAAGAAAAGGCTGTAATCATGTTCTTGACAATGTCTTTCCAAAATGAAAACCATTATCGTTGTCCTTTTTTTTTTTCTCCCCTCCCCCCGCCCTCCGTTGACCATTGTTTTGAGTGTCTCATCGTATGTTGTGGAGAAAGTGTATGCTTGGATGTGAAAGTTAATAAATTGGTTGGCAGTAGCGGTAGTTTTACCCCTCTTTTTATCTCAATTTAAATATTTCCTTTTAAGAGTCCTTATATTTTTTAGCCTTACAATATGTGAGCTGAAAACTTGCATATGGTTAATGACCCAAGTGTTACCTAGCTCAAAAATGACCTATAACATTTTTTTTCTAAGTGGTGAGAAGGCATTGCCATTTCGTAGTCGAGGCTCCAGAGAACACACGATCTAAACATTATCGCACAGCATGGGGCCTAGAATTTGAAATTCTCATTTGGCAAGAAACCTCTCCTTGTTCTTTTGGCACGTAATGCTATATAAGCACAAAAGACGGAGCCCCGAATACAGTTTCACAATCACTGTGGTTTTGGAATATTAACTTAGTTCTCCGACTTCATTAACCCAGGTGACCTTGGTTTTGACCGCATCAATGGCATTTTGAGGGAGCAACTGGTCACCCAGTCCAGGGAGTACAAGCTCTCCGGTGCCAAGACGTTCGTCCAGGACGTGGAGATCCGTGGCAACCTGAACGCGGTCACCATCAACGGTTACGACCTGATCGAGCTTGCGAGAGATGTCGTGCTCGTCAACAGGCCCGAGGAGATACCTCATTCCACTGTAAGCTTCTTCCGTTTCGGCTGTTTGTGTCATGCACACGTCTGTGTATATACACGATTTTCTTTCCGAATTCGTAAGCTACAAACATCAAATTTTTATTCCCTCCACGCTTGGATTGTTTTCAGTGAACAGTAATTTTTGTTGATCTTTTGCACAAAATTCTTCACCAAAGCCCATTTGACAAGATGTTCAGCCTGTAGCTAACAATGCAAACGATAAAATTTTTCTGTTGATGCTCCCAGCCATTAGCACACACATGAACTTTGTCAGTAATTCAGTTCTTCAATTTGAACGATGCGGTATGACCACAGGATGAATTGGTGTTCAATTACTCTACAATTATCATCATTATGTACCAAGAAGCATCCCAGCACCTTTACAAAGTTGATAGAAAAGTGAAGGTTTCAAGAGTTCATCATAACTTGCATCTAGAAGAGACGTAGTATTGAAAGTAGTAAAGGATGAGAATGCTATTTTCCACCCTATTTCTTGCCGTTTTACAACGTTAAGCGGAGAGTAACCAAAACTTGCATGATCATGAGATGAAATGCAAGATAACTGAAATGCGTTTCTTTGCATTTACATTAAAGAAAACTTTTTTGCACAACATTTATTCTTATCATTTTGTTGTGGTGAACCTCAAGTTTGTACATGTTATTAAAACATATTTTGTCGTTTTCGCACAAAGCATCGAGATTTGGTGGTTTATCGTCCCTGTTTGCATGTCACCTGTGTTGTAGGACCTGTGAACAGGTTTTAATTTTGGCATATACAGTGCAATCACATTGTAACGAACATGCATTCAACAAATTAATGCAGCAATGTAAAGGAATTATATTCCTCTCATAATGTTACGAATATATGTTACAAATGTTTTGGATACAATCGGCATTATTCAGTCAGGTGCAACTGCGTCGCGAGGTTTGTGCATTCTTGAGCAGCTCAACTTTCTGGGTTCTCTGATCTTCTGCAGGTTTTCTCAGCTCCCATAGAAGTGGTCGGTCAGATCACGGTCATGGGCACTGCAAACGGCATTGACGTTCAGAACTTGAAGCAGAACTTTGACGCTGGCAAGAACCGGTGGAAGCAGGGAGTGCAGGGCATGGCCGATGCCCTCAGATACCACGAAGCTATTCTACAGCGACAGCTTGCCGCTTACAAAGGTTTGTGCTAAGTTCGATGTGACCTACTAATTCTTGTAGAGTTCCCATGTATTTGAGCGTTGCAAGAGCTTCAAGAATACTGAAAGTTCACGTCCAACATCATTACAGGTTACACCATGGCGTACATTAGACACAACTAAAAGAATCGAACAATTATGGCAGGGAAATCGTGGGGAACTAACGGTAGTATTTCGTTGTAGTGTACTAATGTGGTGGACCTAAATAGAAATGAAGGGGGGCTAAATATTTGTCGGTGGGATCTAGATAGACATCCTTCAGGTTGCGCATTCAACGTTCAACCGATTGAGCTACAAAAAGCATAACTATGGTATTTCTTTTGAACAGTACTGTAGTAATTGCAACAAATCGAAATGAATTAATGTGGGTGAAGAATGGCCCGGAGCTACAAAAAGCATACACACAGACGGGCCATTCTTCACCCACATTAATTCATTTCGATCTGTTGCAATTACTACAGTACTGTTCAAAAGAAATACCATTGTTTTCCCTGGCCCGAATGTGTTTAGTGGTTAATTTAGTGGTGTGTGGTATATACACGAGTTTATGAAAAGTGTCCTGCTATGGCCTATAAATATTGAACAAACGGTATCGGGAAAAATAAGTTCTGTTCGGTAACTATAAATTCGCACTCAAGTATGGGACTTCCTCATCCCTTTAATTTTTAATAACTGTTTTAGCTTTCCTGATCCACATAATGTGGCACAATTAATTGCTGCAAGAGTGTTCAATAGTGTTATGAGACTACATCACGCTGAAGAATCAAGAGACAGCGAGAAAGACTGGGACCGAGATTCTGGGATGTGGGGCACGCTCTGGCTTGCCATCTCGGCTTAGGCTTGGTGAAATATCTTAGCTGTAACCTCGTTTCTCTGTGTACCCTCCCGTAACTTCTCTGCTTCAAAACGCTTCAAAGTCCGATATTTGCCTTAGTCCTGTATTACAAGCAAGCATTCACCGACATGTCCTCTTTCCATGTGGTTAAGGAGCATTAGTGGCATTACATAAGCCTATCAATGTAGTTTTGAAGTTTACTCGCGGCAATACTTGATCTTGCTCTATCTTCTAAGCGTTTGTGTATGGTAGCTTCCCCTAATTGCAAATACATGCACTTCATTATTTAGTTCAAAGTGTGTCTAACGTGTCTTGCACCCGCCATTGCATCACTCGCAGGGCAAGCCACGGGTCTTGCCTACTTCAGGGCCTTCCAGACCCTGGATATTCCCTCTCGTAGGATCTTGACTAGCCCGGTGACTCGCTCGGCAAGGCAAGTGGAATGACAATTTCATTAAATGCAGGTTATGTACTGCTTAACCATATGTAGTTCAAAATTTTGCAATGCCACATGGAATGATGCTATCGAATGCAAGAACTCTCTGACCCATGGGTGTTGTTGTCCCACAGGTTCCTATTCGTTATAGTAAAGTTATAGTTGCAGCTGAGTGTACTTAATTCTCGTAATGGTATGCTCAAAAACGCTAGAAACTGGGAATTTTAAATATTTGATGTACCCTGTACATTACCCTGTGCATTGGGTGATGTACCCTGTGTGCTAGGTAATGTAGGCTGTGCGTCTGAAGCCATCAAAGTAGTAAATCTGTATGCGAAGCAATCTAAGTTCAAGCACGAGCATGACTCCAGGAAACATACTCAAAATGTGTTGCGTGCTTCCTAAAGCACCGGTGCTCCTACTTTGCTGAAACACTGCACACATCTTGTGCAAAATAAGTTGGAAGGTAGATGGCTGTTTTTCCCTCTTGCTGTCTGTATGATGTCCATTGTTTTCTTGGACTTTATTATTTGGATGTTTCATGTGAGGTGAAACGGTCACGTAAGCTTTCTGTCCTCTTCAAAGTTGCCCAAGTTGTGAAGATGCAAGACATTCATGTCAACCAGGTTTACGATATGCAGTCTACCCGAAGGTCACAGGTTCGAATCCTGGCTGTGGCTGCCATATCTCAATAGGGGCAAAATGCTGGAGCACTTTTAATGATGCTTAGCTCTAGGTGCATGTTAGATTCCAAAGTGTTACGAAATTTCCACCAGGCAGTCTCTTGTAATCCGATGATTTTGAGACTTGGAATCCCCAAAAAGTTAATCTGTTACACAGAATAGCCATGTGAAGGAAGAACTCAAGTGCATAGTTACTCCAATGGCTGTTTTCGCCTACTGCCCAGATCTCCCTGGAATACGGCTCCAGCAGATTCTATGGTCCTGTGGACTGCCTGGCCAACTCTCTGCCTCCACGGAGGAGACGACTGCTGCGAGGAGTTCTCGTCGGAGGTGCTCGTCATGGAACCCGACGGCACACTGTCCAAGGGTCGACAGGCCCTGCGCCGCCGCTACTTCCCGTTTGCCTCTCAACATGCAGCGACACAACCTGGATTTGTTGTCTGGACCAATACCACCTCCAGCAGAATCGGGTGAGACTTGCTGTTTGTGAACAGTTTAATAATTTTTTCAAGCTAGCTTCATTTCATTGTAGTACTGTCTGCGTTCTGCTTCTGCTGTTATCGTCGCAGCAGCAGTAGTAGTAGCGGGGGTGTTAAACCATGTCTCATGACCTGCAGGGTAGTCAATAAAAATACAAAATTACTACTATAAGGATGCTCAAAGTGATCATAATGATCACCCTTCTGGCACCCTGTGATCTTGCTCAATGGTCTTGTATGCTTGCGCACTAGCAAGCCTTTTGAGGAACCTGTTCTCTTCACACCTCTGTATTATGCGGTTTCTGTTCATTGGCTCAGTTTTACTTCGAATTTCTTCTACAGGTACTGGTATTGGCGCACGAGTGTTGGGGGTGAGGCAACCAATAGACTGTAGAGTGCTTGCTGGTTCGCGATAACTTTTGTTCCAGACTCGGAATCGCCGAGCTTTAACGATTCCACTTTTGAAATTGAGGCACGGTCTCCTTTCACTCTGTATCCACCTGTGCTAATCCTGCAACCGTCTCGTGCAGCTGCGAACACCCAGGTGCGGAGGAGCTCGCCCTAGCTCTCCTGGATCCGCACGTCCAGCTTGCGGGGGATCAGCTAGTCAAGGTCGACCTGAGGGTCACTGCTTCGGCGTTCGTGAGCGATGCCAGGATGTTTGAATTCCTCGGAAGCACGTATTTGGTCGTGGCCCACTCGTTCAACAAGTATCTCCTGCCCTCAAGCAAAGGCGAGTGCGTCTTACTTTTGGTCAAGTAGTGACCTCTGCCTCCCCTCTTCTTAAGACGGACACAGACAACATTATTAAGGTGCTGAGAAGTCAGCGAGTGCAGTCCCAAGGAAGTGTATGCATTTTTTTCCAGTCCATAAAAACCACTGCCTTGTTTAAATCTCACTTGCGTTACTGCCCCCACTTTCGTGCAGCCAGTATCTGCTACCACTTTCGTCCTAACCCACAAAGCCACTCATGTTTGAAGACAGTCAATTAAAATAATTATTCAGTGGACTTCCCATAGCACCATTTATTGACAGGCAGTATAACAATCGTAGGTTCAGTGATAGAGAAAAAAGTCAATGTTTGTTTCATTCAAGTTTCGAACCAGAATGTGATGTCGTGGGCTTCAAAGCATACTTTCATATTTTGGCAACGTTCGCTCAACGAATTTCCTGAAACTTGGCACCTCAAGTTTGTGGGCCACTTGGAGGACAATGTACTTCGTTTTTACTATTTGGGAACTACGCAGAGCGTAGCAGCTTCCTTGAGAATACCATGTCGCAACGTTCGATGCGGGAATTTCAAGGAGACGCGAAGATTTGGCCGTTGTGGAACATTCGTTCACTAATACGAGAATTGGTTTTCGCTGTAACGTCCCTTTAACTACGTTGGCCACGTGCCTTTCAGCGGACAAGATGTGAACACAATTGTGGTCTCTCCCCCCTAGCTTCTTTCGTTTGCTCGTGGCCCAACTATTATTGAGCTGTTTAACCAGAATGTATCCACGATTCTGCGAGGCGATCGGCTGAAACAGCCAACGCCCCTAACACTGTAACCTTTATAGGAGGCACTAGGAAACAGTCGTGAAGAACATAGCTACTGGAAAAGCGTCTCCTAACGAGATTGCGTTTGCAGGCTCTTCAGCTATTGCTGCTACTTCAAGGAGCACTAAACTGTTCGACTTGAGTGCTAACTTGCAGTGCCCACAATTCAGGTTCCTGTGAACGTCTAGTGTCGCTTGCAGAGATCGCTTCTCTTTGTTCTACAAATTGAAGCAAGAGTGAAGACAAAGCTCTTGAGTGCCATGTCCACTGCTTGTGCAGCTTTGGGAAAACTTTTAGCCTCTTAATTGTTTATATTATCTCCTTAATTAGGCTATATTTTTCTTTAATTTAGCATTGCATGTCTCTTCATAAAATTTTTGCTGTTAAAAAAATTTAGACGCATATAAATTTGGGTTAGTTTAATGAAGTTCAACGTGCATGTATGCCAGCTACTAGCCAATTATTTACAATAAAAACAAGAAAAGCAGTGCAATTATTAATTCGTAGCACTCCGAGAATGTTGTCATCAGTCTGAAAATTCGTCATTCTGACAGTTTTTAGTCAAACAAACAAGCTGCACTTGTTTGAAATGGTTGTCTTTAGTCTGTGCCTTTCTGAAAGCGAAATTTACCCACAAGCCGGTAAAAAAAAAAAAAAGCTTGCATTTGCATAACTCCCCTCTCATGTGTCGATCTGCGCTTTTCACAGGCGGACACATCGATGTCTATCGGCTCTCGCCGGGCCAGGCCCACTGGCAGCTTCACCAGACCCTGAATGCCACTGGCGTTGCGGCAATCGACGTCGCGGAATTCGACGGCGTCGTGTTCCTCTCGTCTGCGAACAACTGGAAGCAGGGCTTGACGTCCACTTACTCCACCATCTACACTCTTTCGGGAGTCGTTAACATGGTGAGAATCCCGAACTGGAATGAAACGTTAACTGGGAAATCTCCTTTCTGAAAAATTGGTATCAATTTTGACGTAAAATCGTGATACACACGGACATTAAGAGTAAGGCTTGGTCTGGTGTGCATAGTGCATCGTTAGTGGATAGCTGCTTACGAGCTATGCACGCTGTTAGCAAAATCTCTGCCGACATGTGCTCTTCGTGTTCTCTTACACATAAGAAAGGAAAAAAGACACGGCGAGAATGAAACGGAAACATGAAAATAACAAAAGGCCACCCATCTGCTTTTTCTACAGGCTTGGCAGAACTTGTCTGAAGCTGACAATCTCTTTTTCATAGTAAGAAACTTCTGGTGGCACACATTCAGCATCAGTTATAGCTTTGAGAGTAGTTAGTGTAGGTGTAGAACCTCAAGTCAAAAGAGATATCATCCTCGTCTTGCTAACCCATTCTCTTTTAACCTTGAGATTCTGAACCGCAATGTTCTCATTCGAGTCTTCATTGTTAAAAGTACTTTCTTCAATGTTGCTCTGCTTCGTGCAGTTTGTGCCAATGGCCGACATGCCCACATCGCTGGCAACCTCGACGCTGTTCCTCACTGTGGACAACTCGCTGCTGTGCGCATTCGCAAGCGAAACGACGGCGCTCCAGGACCAGCACAGCTGGCTGGATGCCTACACGGAGCCGGTCAGCATCTACCGCCACGTTTATGGTCGCTTTCAGCTTCTTCAGAACATTCCGCTGTACGGTGTCAACACCATGGACCACTTCAGGTTTGCAGGCAAGTGGGGACCTTTCAGACTTTTTTCAGAGTACTGTATCGCGGTTGTGGGATGGGAAACGCCAACAATTACTTAAATTTTAGAGCATTCTCACAACTTCAGGAATTTTTTTTTCTTTTTAGTAACGCAAGCACAGAAAGACCCTTGTTCCTCTTTCAAGCACTTACAGTAGGGCCTGGCATCCAAATGTTCAGAGTGGTGGGGGTACAAAACTGGTACAAAATCAACAATTCTGGTTCAAGTTTCATTGAATAGATGGGCCACTATGATGAGCAAGCTTGGGCTCTAACATCCCATCTTTTTTCATCAGCCAAATTTTTTTGGGGGGGGAGTTTTAACTGAATATTTGCTGCCTCGCTACATGCATGTGAACAAAACTGAATCCTTTTTCTAGAAACTGTCGCGGGAGACTATTCAATTGCTGGTTATATATGTATTGCATTAAGTTCATGCAATTGGCAGTCTTACTTTTTTTTTAGTTCTGGCTATGTTATTGTAGAACATTTTATCTAAAAGTGGGCTGTTGCAGTCTAGGTCTTGTGGAAGCTAACTAGTACGTACTACTATGAAGGAATCTTTCTGACATTGTAGAAACTCGTCCCTACATGTCTGAATTGTTCAGATTTTCTTGGCAAGCACTACAGCCTGTTTCATAATTTTAATTCCATTCCAAATGGGTGTCTCAAAATCTCGCAACTGAAGTTGGCATTACATCACTGCTACAACGTTGCAGTTAATTTTACTACAAATGTCTCCCTTTTTTTCTCTGCTCTCCCCCTCTGTGCAGGTGACGTATTCCTCGTGCTTGGCAGCAGCTATGCCAAGACAGTCGCAGTCTACCAGTGGAAGGGTTATAGCAAATTTGAGCAGGCCCACGCAATCTCGGTGTCTCCCCTCTATCTGAGATCCTACTGGTCTCGCACCGGCAGTCTATTCCTTGCCGTAGCCACAGAATGCGGCAAGACGAGAGTGTTCGAAGCTTTGTCCTATGGCCGCTGCATATCCCCAAGGGCCGATGCGGGCTAAGGTCATTTGCGGGCAATTCCACGTTAACATGTGCGGTGTCGGCACCAGATGTTCAAACCAATGCTGAACAAGTGTAAAACGCACTTGTCGCAACGTCTAAACTTGTGCGAAATGTTGTGCTACTTGTTGAAGTACCTGTTAAGTTTACTCTAATGCTGTTGATACTCATTTACATTAGTTGAGTTTATGCTGCTCAAGCAACTTGTTTTATTCACCCACATTTACTTGTTAACTGCAGCTTTTGCTGCGACCCGAAGTGCAAGTCAAACTTGCCATGTTGCTCGTTTTAGACGAGGCTTTATTGCCTCTGCTTGGTGTAAAATAAAGAACTGTCACTTTTATGAATTCGTGATGGTTACTGCTTCTGTTGTCAGCGCTTGTAATCTTTTTCTTACTGACCTTACTTTTTAAGACTACCACAAAACTGTGTCATGTTGCTGCAATCATCAGTGCCACAGTTTCCTGGGATATTTGCTTGAGGCAACTGTGGTGCTGTGGTCATTCATGTACCATGGCAATGGCGGGCAGTGTGCAAATGAGTTTTAGTTCATTCTTGCATCTTTGAATGCACTCGTTGCTTTGTTGCGTTTTGGCTTTTGTTTTGGGTAATATTACGATTTGTGAACCTCCCAAGCCGATCGAAATTGGAGAGTGAAGTGGTCAAGATGGCGAATTGAGACTGCTGAACTTTGTCAGAAGACAAAGTTGAGCCAAAGTAGCTGCAGACCACCCAGAGCCATAGGGAGCCTTAAGAAACGAAATCTTGGGCAAATAGGTACTTGTGCTACCAGTCATTTCCTTGCCAGCCACTCGTACACTAGCACTAGATTGTTTGCCTCGGTGGAACAGTGGCTAGGGTGCTCGGCTGCTGACCCGAAGGCTGTGAGTGCGATCTTGACCGCGACTGTCTTGTTTAAATGGTGGCGAAATGGTAAAGGTGCGCAAGCTGTGCGATGTCGGTGCAGGTTGGTCAAACTTTCAGTCCCTTCCCTATGGCGTCCCTTATCATCATATCGCGGTTTTGGGGCGTATTGCTGCAATTTTCTCATTAGGGCTATGAATCTGCCCGACCCTGCGTTTTTATTGTTCTAGCGTGTGTAGCGTGTAGCCATAAGAGGCACATGGGAAGGGTAGATGATTTGCAGCGTGTGCAGTCTTGTTACACGGTAATCTGATGGTGGAAAACACTTGCTGTCCCTGGCACATACCGTGAATCTCCATTAAAAAAAAAAGTGGAGTGGGGGGGGGGGGGGGGTGCTTGCTTGGATGGGGTCGGTCGCTCTGCATTTTATGGCCAGGATATTTGTGTTGCTGTGGCTTCCATTAAGGTGGAGTGTTTCCAACCTTGTCCACAAAGTTTGTGGAAGTTTGGGTGTTGGAGGAACTTCAGTGCTACCAATGCAAGTGCTTCGTCTGCTGCTGCTAAGTGAACTGTTCTCAAGCAATAGGCTCTGCTATGGTAATCCCCCCCTGCCTCCCTTTGTTTTTTTTTTTTTTTTTCTGCCATAACTGCACTTTCCATTCCATGGCACCTGTGCGTATACATGTGTCCACCAATCCATTACTTATTCTTGTTTGTCCAGTCAACTGCCAGCAGCAAAGCTGCTTTAGCTCGACATAAATGTCTGCTCTTTTCATCCTCCAAATCTTGCTTCACTCCAAGAGCATGCGTGTGCCGATAGGGCCAGGGTATAGCAAGAGGGTGAAAGAGAGACAAAATGTTGGCAATAAAAGAAAGATGAGGAGAAACAGACAGAAAAGAGGGAGGAAGCAAGCAAAGAGCTACACTGTTTATCCCTTCCAATCTTTGAGTTCACCAATTGCTCTTTAATCTTGACTGCTCCTGCTAGCTTTCTAATCAAACTTCAAGATCAAGAAATATAACTGCCAGGGGCTAAAAGCATCTATGAGAGCCTAGTTATGATGATTTTGATTGTGCTAACTATTCTTGTATACATCTTTAGTGTATGGCTACGGACCGCTGACCAAATGAGGGTAATATTCATGGGGTTGGACAACCATTTTTAAACTTTCTAAACTTATTCAACAGTCCCGAACGAAACCTGTAAGGACCAGGAAAACGAGTTTCGTTTGACAGCAGTTTCGTTTATTTTGTTCACTAAGAGACAAAATAGGGATACAGAATTCGTATACGAAACCAACTATATGAGAGGATTATTAGAGCCATATTAGAGGCAGTTTAGTGGGCATATACTTTATATAAGCAAGCGTAACATTCAAATTGTCAATTCTTCACAATTTAATCTAATTCCTGCACGGTATGCAGCACTGACTTCCATATCTGAACAGACATTGTCTATCTTCAATACAACTGGCAAATATTTTCAGAGCTCAGAACTGCAACTTTATCTTGTATCTTAATCTAGGACTGCTAGTATATTTCTGTATGGGTGAGGAAAAAGTGAACACTGAAGATATTTTGTTGAATCTAAGAACACGAAATTTATAACTACTTACAACCATGCCTGCTCATAGCTACCATTTCATGAGACTATTTGAATATTTGCCAATTCCACCTTGACATCAACTCAATTGCAATCGTTCAAAATACCACTTTTCTTCTAATGGATTTAGAGTATCAAGTCTTGCTTTGCCACGTATAGTTATCATTCTATATTATTCAATGTGCTCATTTGCTTTTCAACTCTTACGGTTTGACAAAAAATCTTGCTGCAAGCAGGACGCATGAAATGTTCGATATTAATATGCGAGTTTTTACGATCCAAAATCGGAATGACCGAGGCATACTATAGCAGAGGGCTTCAAAATTTTTTGCCATCTTCTGTTCCTTATGTCCTGACATTGCACAATACGCGGACCTCTACAAAAATTAACCCACAAAATAAACGACTGCTGCAACTAGGATTGAACCATGTGTGATATTTTAAAAATTCATGCTGTACAAAAAAAATAATTGCATATTTGGAATGGGGACACAAATATAAATTGTGCACATTTCATTAAAATTCATCAATGAACACACCTAAAAAAGCCTTAACGGAATGCGTCTACCGTTAAGTAAATTGTATGATTGCTGTTCACGTGATGATGGTGTTGGCCAATGTTGTGGATGCCAATCGGTCAAAATAGCATTAGCAGGCCTGTGGGGCTATCTTGAGCATCCAGTGACTCAACAGTAGTGAAAACAAGTGAAGTAATGGCAGAACGTGGTGTAGCATTTATTTCACACTATTTACAAAAATGTTATTTGAAATTGTTCGCTTCAACCCCAGGCATGAGTTTTTGCATAGTGAAGGGTAAGCTTTCCGTTGGACCCAAAACACTGCAAGAAAAACCACGAGTACATGAAATAGCAGTCGCACCTCTCAACCTCACCCCCCAAAATTTCACAATTTCCGTTTCATAAATTGCAAAAAACACAAACCTCATAAAGGTTGCTGATCTCCTGATCCAAGGAGGGAGCAAACGCTTGGTTTATGTACAGAAACTGTATAAGAAAGAGCGAGCACGAGTAGTGTTTCAGAGCACTTTCAAAACACCAAACGTCGTCATCATCGCAGCACTCCGTGAAAAATGACACCAACATAGTAGTTCATCGTGCACACTTTCAAAGCAACACCAGCCAAGTTATTTTGTTCGAACATGCAGTTTATCGTTTAAAAAAGAGCAACGTTCATTACTTCATGCCTTCCATGCAATCCAATTACTTTCGCTCTGAAAAACACTGATCATGTTCTGGTCGGAGCATTTTTTCGGCTGTTTCGCTGTGTGCTATAGGCCATTGCTACTGGTTGTAAGACATTTACAGACTTATTCGTTATGTCAGTGATAGTAGTTGTACCACTCAACCTCAGATAAGTTTGGTCACAAATCAGGATAGACGTTGAATCTTAAATTATATTGGTTGATCTTAAATTATATTCTTGATCTTCAGTTTTTTTTTTGCAAAAAAGCCAATTGCTTTGTTAGACACAACCAATTGAATTGAACGAATGCCTGGCTCTATTAGCCATAGTCTTCAGATAGGGAATACTCGCGCCCTGAGTGGCCGGTGACTTCCTGCACGTCAGATGCGTAAATAAATGTTGTTTCTCTCCTCTACAAAGATGCCTACAACGCGAGTTGAATGGCTGGTCTTCCACCCTCTCCCGTTTTCTACTCCACTCTACATGAGGGTGCCGGCTGCAAGCAGCGGTTGCGGTGGCCACTCCGAGCTTCCGAAACTGGCGAGACATGTACAGCAGTCCTAGAGGCAGTGTCAGCCATAGAAGCTGCGTCAATGGTTGCGGTAGCATCACTATACCGAAAGCAGAGTCAGCTGCAAGCGCTTCTTGCGGAGACTACACAGAACTACAGGAGACCTCTCGCCGCAATGGAAAAGCGAGTGACGTCGCAGGCACCTCGCGAAGGAGGCATTGATTCAACAGACAATCAGGCCTAGGAAAACATAGGGCATGGTGATTGCCTTTAACTCTAGCGTAGCGATTATGATGTGAACTTAAATGAATATAAGCGAACTAGAAATAGTCATTTCTGTCAGTGAGATTTCAACACGCAACCTACAGATGTGTAGTTCTAAGGTTGTGGGTCCTGGTCCCGCTGACGAAAAGATTGATTTTTTGCCCACATTATGACATAATCAATACACTAATTAGGGCAACTTTCAAAGGGCCCTCGTGTTTTTCTTGGCTGTCAGTGGTATTCATTTGGCAGTAGCTGTGGAGTGTGGGCAAGCACACTGGCAAAAATATTATAGCCGAGTTGTTCGCTGCAGTTGGATCAAATACCTCGCACGTTTATGTACAAAGGCCAGAGTAGAATATAGCATACCAGGGACTCCGATTGGTCAAGCTTGAGGTATCTCCTGACGAAGTCCACGATGTCCATCACTTTTGATGTTGGCGAAACGGCCCACTTTCTTTTGGCCATGATTGGAGCGTCACCGGTCGCCTTTAGGAAGACATCGACTGCAAGCCAAAACAATGAACGCAGTGTAAACGTGTCAAACTTGCGAGAGCGAGCAACATAAAGCACTTGATCCACGGCGGCACTGCATGCAACTGCCGCACGAGCGCTTTCGATCGCGATTGACTCCCTTCGGCATCATGCGCAAATAACGATCGAGAAATCCGATCTCCATCGACTTCGTCGCCATGGAACTTGCGCCGTGCAACACACGCGCGCAAACATCACTCTGTGCGAAACGCCTTCGATTGCAATCGAATTCCTCTATCGCAACTGACAGCCCCCCTTCAGTATCGTGCTGTGGCCAATCGGAAGCGATTGCAATCGGGCCATACGGCGATCGAAAGTGCAGTTGGCTACCGGGTTCACCTTCGCGTTTACGTTGTAAGACGTTTTGGCCTCTTTGCGCGGCTACAACCAGTGAAGCTGTGCAAACGCGGGGCGTTACCCGTCTCTCGTTCACGCGAACGTCAATGGGTCGTGAAGAAACTGACTCTTTTTCTTGTCAGTGCTGTTAGATCCGACCGAGTCGCCCCTGTCTTTTCGGGCCTCTGTTTTCTCGGGAGACGCGCAGGCTTCCGACGTGTTGTCCTCCGCGGCGTTGTCATGATTTCCAGAATCCGTCACTGGACTTTCAGTCTCCTCCGGCTGCTCCGACATGGTGGAAAAGTAAACAAACAAACCAAACTACCCTTTCGGCTCGACTTGGCTTTCGACTCGAACGGCAGTCGCAAAGTAATTTTGTAGCCAACACAAATCGTATTCTCTGAGGCGGCAAGCATGGCGGCTGCCGAAGCTTCGGTTGACGTCGTAGCTTGCGACGAGAAATCAGGCGAAGATGGGACGAACAGCCCAGATTCTTCGAGTGAGCCACTTGCCACAACAAGCTCGATGCCGGACGATTACGTCTATCAGGCTCCCAGGTTGGGAAAGCGTTTCGATTTACGCCGAGGTGGCCAAATTTGCGCGTCATACGCTAACATGTATTTGAATGCGTGCTCCGCGGTTTCTCCTTTCTTTTACGCCGGCCCCTGTCAGTGCGACGTTGAGAAACGGCGCGAAATATTTGGCCGTGAGCGTACTTAGGTGTCTGATTGTCCTCGTGAACGCGACACGCTCGAAAGCTCCACCTCGAAGCAGTTGCTGGCAAGCTCTGCACGCATTGTGGAGCATTTGTCGACGCGCTAATCGATTTCAAGCCGAGTACGTCAGTGCAGTCGTCTTCTGTAAGACGTTATTGAAGAATTCATTGTCGCCCTCAATGTCATTTTGAGGAGCTATTCGGAGTGACAATCGACAGCTACGGTTCACACTAGCAGTACGTTGTGTGCTTAGTTAGCACACCCTAAACTGAAGTAACCTAGAGCTTGTGTCACTTTTGGAGCAGAATTTGCCGATTATTGTCTCAACGTGCGCTTTTGCGAAGTGCTGTATTGCGGATTGACTGCTTCTAGCTTCAGCTTGTCGCGTTCACAGATTTTGACGACCAATTGACTTCAACACTTGCACTAGTTTTTTTCTGCCACGTGGTGTAGGTAAACCCTGCTAATTTCATACCTGGATTACCCAATGATACCGCAATTACCGAGTAATATTCAGTTGATGAACTGAAGCTGGAATTTGGGAATTCCTCTTAGGAAGACTCGCTTACACTCCATTTTCTTGTCTGTGCATAGAAAATGCCAACAGATATATGTCAGCATTTCTATGTAATACCTTACAACACGTTACATTATATCTGTACTCTACAGCATCATACCTTAAAACACAATGTGTTGCAAGGTATGATTATTATTTACTTTGTCACATACTTTGTCTTTATTGGATAAAAAATTAGGTTAACTGGAAGAGTATTGAAAGCTTGGTGAGTTGGTACGAATACATTTTGAGAAAATGTTTTTTTCATTCACATAGCAGACAAATGCGTGAGCAATGTCGCGCTTGTTTGTCTCCTTAGCCCAAGTCCTTTGTTTTGTGCTCGCTGGAAATTTTCTCAGAGTGTTCGTTAGCCGGTTTCAGGGTTGTGAGGCTCGCAGGATAGCACAATGATTGTTCATTGTTAAACACAGTTTCTGCGCATGACTAGCTGTGCGTATGTACATGGTCCTTTAGCAAATAAACTTTGCTTGAAAGTTGACAACTGCATCTGCCGTCTGGCCTGTGTTCATCTTTTGCGCTCATTTCCATTACACCCAGACCCGCCACGGTGGTACAGTGGTCATGGTGCTCAAATGCAGACCCACCGGTCGCGGGATCGAACACCCAACCGCCTCGGCCACATTTTCGGTGGAGCTAAAAATGCTGGAGGCCCACGTGCTTAAATCTAACTGCACATTAAAGAACACCAAATGGCTGAGATTTCCGGACTCTTTTGCTATGGCGTCTCTCATAATCATATCATGGTTTTGGAATGTTAAACCTCAAGAAGTAATATTATTACACATTCCACCTGTACCAGCTAGCTCGGCTTTCCTTCAACTGCATTAAACTTTCCTCGCATTAGCGACTTCTTTTATTTATTTTTTTAAGCAAAGCTTCTACGAGTTACAGATTTCAGCAAGGGCATAGTTTGTTAAAAAAACGGTGCCTGCGTGTGTGTAAACATGTGGGTGCACATGAGTACGGCCGCCTGCGTTTTTATTTAAGATAGTTTTCTAATAATTGATGCTCTCTCTATCTTGGGCTTCACGATCAGTGGTCAGCCATTACCAGTACGGTTATCTGATCTCTTATTGATGTCGCTCATAATTTCGCGTTGCCACATTTCGCTGTGGCGTTTCATTGCGTCGTGCATGACCATCATTGTCGCCTGTAGCATCAGAAGTGTTCCGATGCTAAACATGTGGGTGCAGGTCAAGTTCCTGGCACGGAGGAAGGAAAAAAGTTAGGAGAGGGCATTGCACAATGAAAAAAAAAAGAAACAGAAGGAAAAGGCAGTACAAACACCAGCATTTGCTTGCCCTCCTTTTCCCAATAAAGGAAGGGCTCCAAAAACAATTTTTTTCGTTATTTTACTGCAGTGGTGCGGACGTCTTCAAGTGGCATCAAGGGCGCATCCACGACAATGAGGCCAAAGTTTGGCAGGGCACGAAGCGGCTGGAGCCAAACGGAACCGTGGAGGAAGCGGAGCTGGTGGAATTGTTGAGGAAGAGCAGAGCCGACATGCTTAATCGCGTCGGATCGTTCAGACCGTAAGTCTGTCTGCCGTGGCATGCAAAGCGTGTGGGACTGTAGACGCTGTATTCAGGGTCTGTCTGTAAAGAAGTAAGACTGGGTTTGGTAAAAAGAACCACTCCATCTGTACATATTTATTGAAATCCTTGAAAATAGTTTGCCTGGGCAGTCATAAATCGAGTACAACACAAGCTCCATGCTCCAAAGGCTTCCTGAAAGTCAGCTGCCAATCTCTCTTAGAGACTGTGATAAGAAGGAAGCGCCGTAGCAACAGTGACCATTCTGGCTTCTCTGAAGCTGTGGAAACGGGAAGATATCGGCCGGGCTCACATCAGGGCTGATGCAGTTTGTACACAGCCCCGGTGACTCCCGTTGTACAGAACCTGAAGGGACTTGGAAATTATGTTCCACTCAGGTATTCCATTTGCTGGGAAATGAATGGGCATGCCGAATCAAGGGTGAAACCCACCATACTAGAGGCAGCTTTTGTATTCAAGCAACAGTGTGATGTAAGAGAGATCCATTTACCAAGTGCCTACTGTATTTCGAACTCCTGAGGCTGTGTGTGTGACTCGAAAAATTTTTTTTCTTTTTACAGCATCGACGTCTTGCAAGCTCTTTGGGACGAGGAGGAGAAGAGAGTTGTCGTCACCAAGCATAAGGTGCGCAATTAATTTGCCCGCATTATCGACGTTGCTGAACATGTACACCATTGAAACAAGGAGCTTCAAACATTCACTACGCATGCAGAAACCTTATTCTCTCTGTGCACTTTCCTAATTTCCTGCCTTAGAAAGCAGCTGTTGTATTTGTGTGCGTGAATTCGAGACCAATTTTTGGGACAGAGCAATTATTTAATAACGTCACGACTATGGTGATTCTACTCCGGCAGAGCCGCTGAAGTGGCGCTGAAGGGACGAAGACTGCTGTTGTTGGTGTGGGGCTGAGTCCAGGCTGCCCTGTTGACTTGTAATTCTGTGTGCTCAGTGTAGTGTCATCACGATGGGATGCTGAGTGACAAACCCTTAATAAATTCTCCCCGTAAAATTATTTTGTTGGAAGTGCTGCCATTTAAGCGGCTCTGCTGGAGTGGCATTTCCATAGCCATGAGAATTCTTAAGCAATGGATCAAAACTTCAGGGAAAAAGAACGCAGCATCTGCCCTTTTTTTTTTTGCCACATTATTCTGCTAATATGTTACAGTGAAAAAAACTACTGCATACGCAGTGTATATTTAAACGAAAGATCTGTGCTGAAGGGGCACTGACACCAATTTTGAAGCGTCGTTTTCTCCATCATCTTTGGTTTTAATATCAAAGCCGATTTTCATGGCGCATCTACCGAGACGGACATTGGCGTGGGGTCAGGCCGCAGTGTCAATTCTGGTGACATCATGTACTAGTATGGCTAGTTCCGGTGACATAAGGTGCCGAAACATTCAAAATGGCCGCTTATGCATTACCGAGGGAGCCGCGAAGCAGGGTTGCCGTGGAAACGTCACGATATCTTGCGGTAGCATGTGTTTAGAAGCTTGTACCCTGTCGGAATGACATAATACAGCAGGTATTTAAACTAGCTTATCATCACCATCATCATCAGCCTGACTTACTTATAAACTAGCTTAGAAAAACATGTAAATAATTTTTCAAGGAGCACTTGCACTTACAGAGCATCTTCTCGACTCTTAAAGACTTGGTTTTTTTATTTGATCATAGGTAATGATATGATAATTATCATTACCACTGTAATAGAAATCCATAGCTTGTATGTATGCATTTGAACTCCGAAGTATGAGGATTTATTGTCACAGCCTGGAAGTGGTGCACAAGTTTTGTTAACATGATTCTTCCATTCTAATTTCGTGCAGGGCACATACCTCAAGTTTATGGGCACCAAAGTTGGCGACCGCACGGTTCTCCACCCACACGAGGCACTCTTCCTGCTCGAAGCGGTAACTCACCCAACCCCATAGCCTCCTGCATAGTATTCATCACTTGGTAATTTTATCCACGTATCGTTGTGAAGCGGATGTTGTTATAGCTGTGATTGTGGTCCACAGTCACAACGTTGTCTTAAAGCGTGTTTGCCCCGCCACGGTGGTCTAGTGGCTAAGGTACTCGGCTGCTGACCCGCAGGTCGCGGGATCGAATTCCGGCTGCGGCAGCTGCATTTCCGATGGAGGCGGAAATGTTGTAGGTTCGTGTGCTCAGATTTGGGTGCACGTTAAAGAACCCCAGGTGGTCGAAATTTCCGGAGCCCTCCACTACGGCGTCTCTCATAATCATATGGTGGTTTTGGGACGTTAAACCCCACATATCAATCAATTAAATCAATCAATCTACTCTGTCAAGTGAAGGGTGAAAGTCGAGTCGAGGAGCGTTTGTGAATACGGGGGTAAGCGTCTGTAGATACCTCAAATCGGTACAACGTTGGTTCAAGGCACTCGATATTCTATTGCAACAAAAGTACTCTCACAATGACTTAGTTTATCTGTGTTATAGCATATAATACTAATTAAGTTGTAATTAAATATTTATTCTGGAGTCATTTTTGTTCTGTTTCTGTATAAACAAAATATCAGGCTAGAAGTTGGGATGAAAGAAGGTGCCTTGTTGCATAAACACGGCGAAATCTAGTTTCTTGCATGCGAAGCATCTTCGCGATGCTCTGGCGATTTTGCATGACAAGGTGGCAGTGGATTAATGCAAAGCGCATTTGTGTTGTCTTCTAATAAAAGCATGCAGTATGATTACAACGACCCGGCCCTTGCAGTATGATACAAACGTTCGGTGAAATGGTTTGTCTAAGCACCTGCGCTGCACTTTTGAAGGTGGTTCAGCATGAGGCGGCAATGAATGAGATTACAGTGCGTTTTTGTTGTTACCTGTTAAAAACATGCCGTGCATGCTTTTAACAACATGCACTGAATATATGGTTGGTTTCTTATTTAAATACTGCACCTATGTTTCTATGTAAACGAAACATCTTTTAAACGGAGCATACCCTCCTGGTCCTCTCGGATTTCATTTAATTAAAATCTGCCGTACTTCACCTAAAAACAGGACCGCTTTTCATTTGCAACGCTTTTGAAACGGTGACTTGTGGCACATTTATGAATCATAAACATTTGCCTGTCTTACACTGAAGTGCATGTCATTGTCGTGTGCTTGCAGAATCAGTTGCTGCTGATGCGAGATGGCACCATGATGAGCGTCTCGGAGGCCTACGAGCTTCTCTTGAAGGACGGGGACGACTACGACAAGTATCTGGTCTACTCACACATTCTTAGGGCTGGATACATCGTCGTCCCACACAGGAAGCAGTGAGAACGTGTTTTGCTTTCCTTTTTTATCAACTGTATGGGGGATCAAAAGTTCGCTGGCCCTTATCCCATGTATTTCTATGGAATATTGACCTGGGAACTTTTGACCAGGACTGTAAATTCCACAGGAGCTATATAGTCTAAGTGTCCGTCTAATGGACTGTCCATTTCAGCTTAACTGTAGTTTGGCGAGCAGCATGCTTCCTTTCGGGTTCTTCTACAGCATAATTTTGATATCACGAAGCTTTTGCACCTGTCCATTCAAATGAGAGGGATGGAATGTACTTCAACTCACGCAGCATCTAGAGATCAGCTTTTGGCCGTGAACATCTTGGAGGCGGTGCATGAACTCTGGTTCTGTGATTGTTGTCCATTCATTGCATCATTTTTAAGCATCTGGGACCCTCTAATGTGCAAAGACAGATGAAAACAAGAGCACGGTGATGCCATAGCTCACCGCTTTCTTCAGTAATAAATGGGCTCTACCGAAATAGATGTGGTCATTAGAAGGGCACATCGAAAAAAGCTTCCCAGTCACATATTTGCCATCGCTGTCACATTCCCCCTAATGTCCAAAATTAATGACATCGCTCCATGTTCTTTGTGGAAGTGAAACCTTGCAAAGGCTGCAGACTGGTGCTGCTAGAGCAGTTATCGAGTGCAGCGGCCAGCTTCTTTGGGCAAGGGAGCATGAAGAGGTGCTGGTGGCACGAGGGGGGCTGCACTGCTGAGACAGCAACTGCAAACGTATGACCAAAAAAGCGTGATCATGCTGGCTATCGTGACGTACATTAGACAGCTCCTACCCTTGCACATCCTGCACTCACCGCTTACTCTGCATTGAGGCAACCGATAGCGCGAAAATTTCTTCACTCCTGGAGCAACCGCACTTCCCTACACTAACATTTTGTAGACTTATGAGAGATAGGGTCGTGAAAATTTCTTAAGACAATGATCTTTCTTGGGATACATGAGCACAGATATTTTGGTCTGTCTGTCTGCCACACGAAACCCCTGCCAAAGTTTAAGCTCAATGCCCAGCCATCTTGAACTGGTGGCTGCATATATACTTGTGAGCAGTGTCGACCAAAAAGCAAATATCATGCATATTTGAAGCGTAACATCAATACATATTAGGCGACGTGTTCTTTTACTAAAATATACATAGATACATAATTCTATAGACCCTAGTGTTTCTTGGGCTGCGCTGAAAATGTGACGCTATGCACGAAAGAAGGCCAGCAGAAGACTATCGTCTTTTGACAGCATTTGCAGCGAAGCACGCAGATACACAGCCAATTTTTGTCTTCCAGTGTTACTTTGTATACCATTCCAATTGGATGTTATTGTATTCATTGCCTTGCCCTTGACGCCAAGTTGTGATTTTTTATTTCTTAGTTTGCGTCTAAAACAAAGCTGTACTTCGGCGACCACACCTAACTTATATATGGTAGAATCTTGATAATAGAAATGACATGGGTTCGTGAAAAATATTCTATTAGCTGAAGTTCATGTCATCAAAAACTGTGGAAAACCAGTATGCCTAGTATCTGGCAAAAGAAAACTGGATAACATTTTTATTTGTTTATCACGGCTGCAGCAACATCATACACTGCTCCAAACGATTGTCAGTAGCTTTTGGCTGTCGGAAATCATTCTAGCACTGGTAATTATACCGGCAAAATGCTCTGTGTTCCATAACAGCCAATGCCCCCTCGCAATCTTGGTACGCTTTTTCGCATCATACCGGTGTACTATGGCACTAAATGCCTGTTTACTGCTGGTAATACTACTGGTAGTGGTTCCAGGAATGGTAGAGTAAGCGGAGTGGGTTGAGATACGCTTGAAATGGCTGGCATGGTTGTCACACATGTTTTCAGTGAGTGACGGAAAGAGATGTACATTTAAAGGCTTGTTTTCTTGTTAGGCACAATATTAGTGAGAACTAACAGGCAATGATGCCAGAGCAAGTATAGGCGATGTTATTATTAGAAGTAATTGCAATGTAAATGTGAAGAAAGAAAAGTGGGCGAAAAGATAACTTGCCATCGGCAGGGACCGAGCTTGCGGCCTTCGAATTTCCAGCAAGTTAAACACCACCTCCTACAGCTGATTAGTGGCAGTTATGGGGAAAAAAAAAAAGTCACAGTTTCGGTACAAGGCTGAAGCAATGAATGAAATAGAAACACATACGACTGTTATACGAAGTAAGGCTAGGATATTTGGGAACCATACGAAATGTAGTGAACACGGTCAAATGGGCGTCGAGCTGCAGCGTTTCTCGTACGTGCAGCAGCACGTCCTTCTCGTGCCTGGGCACGTATGCAAGCCCGCCTTGCTTCAGTGCGACCAGCATTCCATCGGAGCTGTTCCGCAAGTGTTCGTACAACACGCAGTGGCATCACAAAGGCTGAACTACGTACAGTTTTTCTCGCCGGCGTTTTTCTGGCGTCTCCTTCCTTGACGTCAGTCTGCGTCAACGATACCGGTGATGGTAGCGAAAAGTACAGTTCCAACGCACTTCAGAAAAACCTCAGGTTGTTCCAGACATTGCAGTGTGAGCGTCGAAGCCGGAAGCACCTGGATGGTGGGGGAAGCCTGCTTGCTTGCTTGGTTCTTGATATGCGACTCCCACACACCACGAGTGATGGGCTATGAAACCGGCGGTTGAGACATACAAGCTTTGTTCAAGTATCTTACTTTTAAGTCCATTGACGGCAAGCCAGTGGTGAATGGTGTATACAGTCGAGCCCACATATTACGACCCCACTTAAAACGAACTTTCACTTAAAACGAACTTTCACTTAAAACAAACTAGCACACTGCCGTTTGAAATAAACTTAAGATCGCCCTTATCGCTTCTGCTCTTCGAAACATGTGCATCACGTTTTTTTTTTTTTTTTTTTTCGGGCAAAAAAATTTTGTGTTTCACTCGCAACTTTTTTAAAAGCTGTGTTTCATTTACTACGAACTTCGAAATACAGCAAACGGATGCCGCGTCAGTTATTATAAGCATTATCATATTCATTATATTCCATATTATATTATATTATTATTATAAGCAGGCTCGACTGTATATATAGCTCGCCTTTAGTGAGATAGGTAGCACGAACGGCGTGGCCTAGTTGGTTGACGCAGCACGCTGACGAGCGAGTGCTCGCTGATTTGAATTCCCGGTGGGTGTCTTGAAATTTTTTCTTTTGACCTATTTTTTTTGTGCCTTTTATATATATGTGTAAACAGATACATACCCGAGACATGACGGCGAAAATGAGCCGAGAGTGTTCATATATTTGCTACCGCAATAAAATGTGTTAAATTCGTAATTTTTTCTACAGTTTCTGCTTGAAAACAACATTGTGTTGAGCAATTTCAAGGCCCACACCTTCAAATGGTGTGAAAATTTCAGCGTCAAAAGTTTCATTGTAACCCCTTAAGTGTGTAAACATAGCTGAGCCACAGAAGCAAGGGTGCAGATAGCTGTGTGGAAAACTTTGTAAAGCTTGTCTGGGTTGTACGATGAGCTGTTTGCAATTGCTTTGTGTTGCGGCTCTCCTGATTGTTGGTAATTCTGTCACTCGAGTGCTGACCTGAAGGTGTCTCAAAAATGGCAAAGTGCCATAGCCCCACGTCCTTAAGTAGTTGCACGTTAAAAGAACCCTGGGCAGTCGAAATTTCCAGAGTGACTCCTCTACGGCATCCCTCATAATCACACCGCGGTTTCGGAATGTGAGAGCTCGGCAAATGGTGTTTAAATGAAAGCGGTAGGTGCGTATCAAACACAAGTCACCATCGATGTTAGCACGAGTGATGTTGTCATAGTGACGTAATGTGACGTCACGTGATGGCGCTGTCACTTGACAATCTGACACTGTCACCTGGTCATACGTGGGCTAACCGTGAAGGCACGTGAGGTATAGAGAGATAGTAATGCCTCACATCAAAAAAAATTTGGGGGGATTGGAGGGTCAATACAATTGGCTTGGTGGAAAAAAAAAGGATGGCTTTCATGTTCCGGTTTTCTTAGGCGAATGCATAAGGTATTGTAAAAGTTTATAATGTTGGTGCTTTTGCACTTGCAGGGTCAGCCAGGAATCACCGAAACCCGCTAACGAGGAAACCAAGGAAGTGAAAGGCAAGCAGCACGATAGCGACGACGACGTGGTCTGCCTCGACGACTCGGACGATTCAGACATCTCTGTCGTCGAGGTGATTCCGGCCAAGTTTCCCAAGCTTGACCCTTCTATAACGATAACGCGGGTGAACAGCTCGAAGAGGAGCCTCTTTCCGGAGAAACGACGCTCCCAAGCCAACGACCTCGCCTTCCCGCAGTATATTGCCGGTCAGCCGCTGGTCCTGAAACGACCGCCTCGCCACCTCCTTCCCCGGAACGTCTACCCTTCCCGAGAGTGGTACGAGGTTGACCCCACCAGGTGGTGTTTGGAAGAGACTGCCATCAGGTAGGGACGGGCGCATCTTCAGGTGCTTCAAATATTTCAACGAATGTTACTGCATTTTGAAGTGCACTAGACTCTCATTAACTCTCGTTAAATGCAATCCGGAGAGACCAAGAAAATATGCTCTGTCTAACAGGAGTTTCATTTACTGTGAGATCAACAGTGTTGCAGTATTTAGGTACGAAACCTATTATAGGAGAAAAAGAAAGTTCTTTCATTTAGGCAGCAATCCACCTCTTTCACAATGAGACTGCGTATGTGCCCTTTCCGTAGTGAAAAGGTCACGCAACGCCCCTTTATTTTGAGGGATTTGTTCCGGCAACACCGGCTGCCTCAGCCCGAAACCCTATGATACGACTGAGGGCAGCACAGGAAAACAAAAAAGCAGATTTCCTTTAAAAGATTTCAATTTATTGAGAGTCTTCTGGATTTGAGATGATCGTATAGATGTACAGAGGGCATCAAAAGTTCCCCGGCCACTATCCCGTGTATTTATATGGAAGCGTGGCCTAGAAACTTTTGGCCAGAAATGTTCATTTAATTGCCTGTTAATCTCCTGTAAAGGGGGTTTTACTGTAGCGCAAGAATGCTGTGCTGTGAAACTAGCTACTTTGGCGAAATCTACACTGGTGCAAAGCCACATCAACGTTAAATATACGTATTACCTGCACCTCAATAATTATGCCTTAAAGGGACACTAAAGGCAATATTAAGTCGATGTTGATTGCTGGAATAGCGATCCAGAAATCTGGTCATGCTATTTTTGTGCCAAGGGAGTGCTTAGTTCGAAATAAAATCACGTTTTAGTGGTCGTGGTCGTGATAGCGCACTTCAATTCCCCCGCCTGGAACCAACTGTCTCGCATCACTGTTGCCGTGCACAACGTTGCCCAGCTCCACTGCGCGGCCGCCATTACTAGTAGCAGCAGAGCAATAGTAGCGGGATCCAAAGCACCAACAATGGCCATTGAACAATTTTTAGTCATGACCTTTGAGATGGTAGGCTTGCCTGGTTCAACTGGGTCCTGCCAGATGGCAACACCTGTGCAGTTTAACCTGTCGGAAATTGAAGTTTAGAAGATTTTTCTACAGGCCTGTGTGTGCCGAGTATAACAAATGTTTAAAACTTAACGTATTATGCTGCTTATAAATATTGCACCCTATCATTATTCAAATTTTTGCCATAAATAAACTTTCTTCCACTTTACTTTGCTTAACATTTGCAGATGAGATTGAAATTGATGCATGCCTAGTCACAATTCTTTAAAAAATGCTGAAAATGATGAAAATGCTAACTTTTTTTTTTAATGCAATAATACTGTAATATGTGTGATATACACACAAACCTCGTTATAATATAATGGGATATAACAAAACGGATATAACAAAGTAAATGAATTTCCCCTTGAAATCTCCATTGAGAACGATGCATTTGAAACCTTGTTGTAATGAAGTGAAATCGACCTGTAAATGTATATAACGAACTAAATTAGTCTATCAAATAGTCTATAAAAAAGGACCGACCGTAGTGTGTTAAGTATATCGTTTTCTGCGAAGTTTGACGCTCGTTTGGCACAGCTCTTTCCAAACTCCCGCGCCGACCTTACAGCCACGCCTTGCGCGGCTTAGAGAGCCGTCCTCCCCACAACCAACGGAGAGAATTGAGGAAGCGCTCAGCGGATAACATGATCGAGAAGCGGCATCGCGGTTCAAAGCGGTTTCCCTCTCACGACGGCAACGACTGCGTCTTCGCTGCTACCATGGCAGCTACCCTCTGCACCGAGAAAGGAGGACTCTACGTGACAGCTTTTTTTTCCCTCTCTCTGCGTATGCGGCCTTGAAAGGACAAGGGCCTCCGCGTGCAGAGATTGAAAAGGGAAAAGCGTCCACAGGCGCGTCGCAGATCGGCATTGGAGAGAGAGCAAACAATCCGCCACAGTCTTTTCTTTCCTTTTCTTTTTTTTCTTCTTCGCGGGCCGCGCTGAGAGGTGCCGCCGCGGGATTGGGCATTGTGCTGAGAGCATTTTCAGAGCGCGGTATGTTCGAACTAACCGTCACAAGTGCTCGCGCGTTCCAATTACAGAGCGTTTTCGCCCATTGGAATACACATAGCTTTTACGGGACCTCGGCGTGAGGTCGAATTACCCAAAAGCTCAAACTAATGAGATTCGATTGAGTTTCTTTTCCGTGGCACGCGTGGTCGCGTAGCGGTACATCGGAACGCGAGGCGGTTTCCTTCTTTGCATGCTTATAGGTGCGCCCATCTGAGCATACATTGCCACAAACTGTTATAATCGATATAACGAAATAATTATAGCTCCCCTTCAATTTCGTTATAACGAGGTTTGAGCGCATATTATTTGCTTCGAACGTCAAATTTACTATTCGCCCATCCCTACCATCAGGGAGAAGCGGAGAAACAGGGGCTGGTATGGCGAACGGTCGTCGGAAAACTGGGACCAAAGGCACAGCTCTGGACGAAGGAATCCCGCTATCCCAGATCTGAGGCCAGACATGCAGTGCCAAGACAACAGACAGGCTTGGCAAGCGCCAAACGCTTCGTCTTCATGGCACACACCGAATAACTTGGCACAATTTTTCCCGGAGCAGTGCCGAGATGGCAGAACGTGGAGCAACCATGCGGACCGAGGTGGTTATGAAACCAGTCATTCTAGGGGTCCATACTTGAGTGGCGACGGTCCGTGGAACGATGCAGCTGTCCGAACCTCACCGTATGATGCACCTCCCTGCCAGCCCTGGTGGCACGGGGGAGGAGGATTCAGTGGTGGTGTTCCACCGCAACCGTGGAACTTTGCCGATGTCCGGGGAGCAGCCGGCATGGAAAGACCACCGATACCGCTACCGTGGGGTTCGGGCCAGCCCTGGCGCACTATGCCACCACCACCACTTCACCAGCTCCCTCCGCCACCACCATTGCTTCCAGGCTGGACATCTCGAAAGCCTCACGAAGGTAGTTCCAGCAACCAGTATGGATACTTTACAGAGGCCTATGCATCAGAAGCATCAGAGCGGAGCCAGGAGTCACGGAGGTTTGGGTCAGACTCATCATTCTACTCCGGGCCGGGTCGACCAGACCGGCCCACTCGTCCGAACCAGGCGTCGTACCGAAGAACTGCGCACAGGAATGACAGGTACTTGCATCAGCCTGCATATTACATTCAGGCACCAAGCGCATTAAAATACACATTTGTTCTTTTCTGGTTTTAAAAATTCCTGCCACTGTAAAGCCACCATTTTTGATGTAATCACATTCTCGATCATGTGGCGCCATCTGGTCAGCATTACAGCCCCGTGTGGGCTGGCAACACTTCAAGGAGAACTAAACCGGATGACCAGTCACATGTGCCCACAAGCATCTTCACGTCTTTTTGCACTCATGTCTGTTTGCCATTTCAGCATTTCGTTTCGCTTGCAACGAGTAGTGAGGCAAATCGGTGGTGCGTTCTGTTCAAAGAACTGACAATATGGGGAAAAAGGCAATGTGGAATAGTATAACACAAGCAAACACATTATCTATTTATTTGACAAAACCTTCTGTTTACAGTTGTAGTTCAAACATACACAAAGCACTTATTCTGCAGAAAGCATTGTAGCTCAAATAAATGTGCTACGTGGAGCGAGAAACTTGTGATCACACTACTCATGCTGCTTTCAGAGAATTTCCTGTCAAGTGTAAAAGGGAGTGCAGCTTGCTTCGTGTCGTTGTTAAAACAGAGTAGAGAGTACTCCAATTTTATGCTTAAAATGGAGTAAAGTACTTTTTGTTGTGCAAGTACTTTTTGTTATGCTTGGCCGGCAACTGTGATGCTATATGAGGTGCTCTGGAGGTGCTTTGTACTTTTCATAATGTAGACAGCTGAGTAGTACTCATTTTGTGCTTAATAAACTGGAGTAAATAGTGCTCTGTGTTATGCTTGGTAGGCGGTTAAACAAAAGAAATGCACCGGTGCCTAGTTCTTCTCCCTTAAATGAGGTGCCTTTTAGGATCAAAGTACTATGTTCTCATATTCCAATTAATTCATATTACAATGTAGGCACAGGGGTGTATCTTACACCCATCCGTCTGTGATATCAGTGCTTCTTGTAAGGGGGGTTTAATTGTATATAAAGTACCTTGAGGGCACTCTGTGCTACTTCTGTAAAACGACCTACAGAGTACTTCACTTAATGTAGACAACGCACGTGATCCTCGCCCTTTCTTGCGCGCACCCATCTCCATACCATTTCCGGCAGCAGTCCACGGCGAAACTGGCAGCGGAAACCGCACCGGCCGAGCCACTGGCAGTGCAGTGTTCGCGGGGGCCTCGACGAGGACGAGTATCCCTCGGCCCTGCCTCCCTTCTCGGCAGGGGCAACCAGCTGGTCCGAGCTCAAGTTCGACCTCGCCCAGGCCGAGCGCTCGGAGGCTCTCCTAGACGGCGAGGGCTCCGTCCTCTGGAAAGGCTCCATCAAGCCGCTGGTCACACCCACTCAGGACGTCTCAATACGTGAGTGGGGCGCGGCATGTCCTCTCGTTTCCACGCAACACCGAAACTCGATCAGACAGTCGCGATCGCATTCAAGCTATTTCGTTGAACACAAGGTTTCGTGACCAACGTAGACTGTGGGATTGAATCCCCTTACATGCGTATATCATTTGCCTGATCCCTACATCGCGTTTACCTCGGGAGGTAATAGATGTCAATTTCTGTGTTTGCACGCGCATTTCAGTGCCTGACAGGAAATGCCACACCTCGCAATATTGACATAATCCAGGGTGACCTGAAGCTTATCCCCAACTTCTGAGATGTTAACCGCTGTGACTGCCGGTGCAGCTAGTGTGATGTCGTGACGCTGCACCTATGCCAGCAGTCTAATATTTGGCAGTGGCTCATGAGTAAGTGCCCATGGTGAACATGCTGATAGTGTGGGAGCCTCAAGAAAGTAATTGCCACTAGAGGGCAATGGTAACTATGATGATGACAATGCAGCGAATGTGGTAGGTGAAAGGACACCAACAGACAATGCAGGGAGCGCAAAAGTGTATCACAGCTCTGTGAGCCACTTCACAAGCTAGACAGTGATAGTGGCTCCCGGCGGCTTGTCATTTTCGGAGCTCTCACAAACCGAAACTTGAACTAATTTGTCATCAACAGGCCGTAATTAATTATCTATTGCACACTGCAGCAAGCAATGTGCCGTGTTATGACTAATAAGCATAGGTCGGCGAACTCCCTCAGACTCAGATCGAGCCATGAGGATGAGTTTGAGTCCGGGTTAGTAATATTTTTGTGAGTCTGATTTCCGGCGAGTCTGGCTGAAGAAAATTTCGGGAGCTTGAGTCCGGGTTAGTCCAGCTCAGTACAATTTTCGCGAGTCTAAGTCCGGGTGAGTCCAAAGCTCGAAATGTATTTCATGAGTAATTCTGAGTGAGCTTCGCAAGTTTTGTCGATGTATGCTAATAAGTCCCCAGCAACATATTGCAATAAAAACAACGCCACACCTAAATTGTTGTGTCACTACTCTTAAAATCAAGAAACAGATTCTCGGTCCTTCAACATTAAAATTGTAATGTAGGGACACCTAAGAGCTACCAAAGCATCGTTTTTACCACTAACTTGTGCCTGTGCATGCGAAAAGCCCACGAGCGCGGGCCCTTACAAAGGTGGCTCCATGTTGGGCAATTCAGGGCGGGTTGATGCCCGTGTGAAGCTTTGATGGGCAGTCAATATGCAGAGAACGAATGCAGTCTGAGCAGGCCTAGAAAAAATTGCAAGGAGACTATCGGTGTTATATGTCTTATAAACTGCGAAATAAGAAACGCAACCACTATCGCACCTAGCACCATTCACTACGTAAGAGCGCCACCTATTGTCGAGATCATTTCGTGAACGGGCATGGTGTGCAGCCTGAAGGGACCAAGAAAATATGTTCTGTTCAACGCAAACTCTGTTTACTGAGAGATGACCTGAGTTGCAGCATTCAAGTGCGAAAACAATCGTATTTTGCAGTTGTTTTATTTAAGCAGCAATTTCATTTGACAGATCCCCGTATGTGAGATTTCGCTGTACTTGCCGTACGGTATTCCTGTCAGTGCTTAAATGACCCACTGCTTTGTGTGCATATGTTTCAGCGGGCATCGTCTCCCAGCTTCCCATAACCCCGGAGGTCGACCTTGTCAACGGCAGTCGGCAGTCGAGCAGCTCCACGTCGGACGACTCCGAGCCGGTGACACCCGACCTGGATGTGTATCTGCCTGCCACGAGTTACTCCAAGCGGAACCCTGGAACGCCCGAGTGCCGGGTCTGCGTAGTCAGGTGAGTCCCGTGTTGGAAGATGATGTTTAAAGCACATGTGCGCTCAAATCCATGTAATGACAACGCCACAAAAATACCGTCGCTTGTCAAGCCAAATTCCACATGCAACGATGGCCATGGTGATAAATTTCTAGTTTAGCTGGCATGATAGTGGCTACTCTGAACCGAAAGTGCTCGCCCCGCCGTGGTGGTTTAGTGGCTGAGGTACCCGGCATCTGACCCGAAGGTTGTGAGATCGAGTACCGGCTGTGGCGGCTGCATTTTCGAAGGCAAAAAGGCTGTAGGCCCGTGTGCTCAGATTTGAGTGCATGTTGAAAAAACCCAGGTGGTCGCAATTTCTGGAGCCCTCCACTACGGCGCCTCTCATAATCATGTGGCGGTTTTGGGTCCCATATTTATGGGACCCCACATATCAATCAATCAATCAAAGCACTGAAGGTGCTGTTATACCAGTAGCTGTATACAGTCGGCGACCGATTTTTCGGACCTGGCGGGGACCGAAAAAAAGTACGAAAAATCGAACAGTCCGAAAAATTCATTTTCGCAAAAAATCTGAAGTTTATTGCATCAGACAGGTTTAAAAAAGTCCTTGATGCTGCCTTGCCTCAAACTACGCTTGGAGGCAATTTGGTTTGCCCGTATTTGCGCCAAGGTGACATCGTCGCCGTAAACGCTCGACAAAATTGTCACCGCGTTGGCGATCTCCGACGGCTGCGGGCGGTCGTCGTTGTCGTCGGACGACGACCGCCATCCGGCGACATCTAGCTGCGAACGTCCACTCTCTATTAGCTTGATTATGGCAGCTTTCTTCTCCATCGTCAGGGTCGTATACTTCCCACGCTTCTTCACACCACCTGGCTCCCGCGATGGCACAGATAGCGGAGCCATGGCACCGAGAACACAAAAGAACACAAAGCCGCTGCGAAGCACACAACGTCTCGACGCTACGCGACACAACACGTGCAGAATGGCGACTGAAAAAAGCTGCAACGACAATAGAAGAATCCTTCTTTCGCCTCCTCCTCGTGCGATGTGATGACGATAGTGCTGACCGAAGACGAAAAAACGGCATCCATCACCGCGTCTTTTAAAAAGCAAACACGGCCTCCGAAACTTAAAACATGTCGTGCGCATTCCAATCTCGGAGGCAGGAAAAGCATTTGAAGACCAAGTTTAGCCAAGCCGACAGAAAATCCAACATGGCGGCGTTCACAATGGCTTGGAACGTGGCACAAAACGAGCGATTTAGTCCGAAAAATCGAACTTTCAGGGGCAAATTCGCCCGAAAAATCGGTCAAAACAATGCATTAGCTCTATGGAATCCCTGACGGTGCATTTATGAAGTCCGGAATATCCAACAAGTCCGAATTTTTGGAGTCCGGAAAATCGGTCGGCGACTGTATATATATATTGCAAAGCACTATGTCTTCTATGCAAAGGGGCATAAAATAATTCCTGAAGTCCTGCATTCATTTTTGCTTCTTATATGCGTGAACGTTTGGGTTATTTGTTTTTCTGTGCAGCGCCGGCAGTCTGTCGCTCGCATACGTCCGGTTCCAGCTTCTTCTTATTGGCTAGTCAGTTATATGATTTCCAAGCAATGAGTGACACTTCCTGTTCCAGAAACTGAGCGAATGACCAGACAACCTGTCCCACAATGGCCACCTTAGTCACTCATTGCCATTGTGTGAATTTTAAAGGAGGAGTTTCAATGATGAGTTACTCGTATGTAACCTCATCATATATGCGGTCATATGCTAAACACTATCAGTAGGAGCCTTAATATTGCATATGTTTCGAAGACAAGCAACTTGGCAGAACGTGTGATGGGATTTTAGTGGAAATATAAAGACCTTGAAATATAGTGATAGATTGAGGAATCATATTCACGGTGTGAGTAAGATTAGTGTTTTCCAAATCATATTTGAAAGTCACAAGAAGCCGTCAGATTGCACAGCGTAGCAGAAAAGCCTTGAAGGTGGATTATGGAGTCGTTTGCTTTGCTAACTTTAATGTACGTACTCTGATTCTTTCATGCACGACACATTTAATGCTTAAAATTAGAGTACGTGTAAATTATTATTCATCTGCACTTAACTCTGCGCTGCTTATGAGGTTAAAAAGAAAGAAAGGTTGCACACTGAAAAGTGGTGCTGCCTTTGTGGCACGTGACGAGACGCGGTGCATGCGCAGCAAATCATCGCGCAGAGACACGAATCGCTGCCGAGCTGGCCTCCCACTGTTTGCCTATACTATGTTGTGTGCACACTACTTCATAGTCATTGCCAATAGAAAACTTGCTCATAAATGTTTTTCAATGTTTTCTGCGCGGCCATTCCGTGATTAACACTGTGATTAGTAAAATTTTTATTGTGCTAAACAGAAGTCACAAAAATCGGTTGTGGTACTTTAAGAAGTTCAACACTGATTTCACTTGCACTGGGCTCGGTCAGGACATCTTTGTGCGCCTGAAAGCTTCTCGTCCAGGGAGGTCCAGGTGTCCAGACAATCTACCGTGCGTTTGAAAGTCTCCGTTGCTCGGTTGCATGATGAAAATGTGTGCGGACAACGTGTTGCGTGGTCTCCTGAGTGCGACATACAGCACATTTGGAGCTACATTCATGTCTTATCAAAGGAAGGCGTCGGCGTCTTTGTGCAGCACTTAGCTGTAGTCTGCGCACTAGCGTCCCCTGCTCACACTTTAGTAAAAAAAAGTGGTAGCAGGACACTCAATCCAACATTGAGGCTATGGAGGCGCTCTTGCTGTGTCACAAGAAGGATCACCCCATGTTTGGTTCCTAGAAATTTAATGCGGGTCCGTATTGTGACATAACTGATATTCGTGTTGCAGTTTCATTAAGCATGAAAGGCTTTTATCTACCACTGTTAGTGGCCTTCAAATGACCTTGAGTGAAAAAGCCCGCACCATTATCCAGCACTCAAATTCCAGACAGCATCGCAAGAACCAAACGAAAGCAAGCTCATCCGGATAATCAACCAGAACTTAAAAAAGGGCACTGTTTGGCCTCTGACCCTTTATACGAAATCTAGCTTATATGCTATTGAAGCCTTAACAGTTGTTTTTAGAGTATTGCTTCTGTTTTGTTCTTAATGTGTTTCAGACTACTGCCAGAGTCCTTCAATACTTTTACTGGTCATGAAGCTTCAGCGAAAGTTTGATAGATATAGGGGGCGCTTGTCCGCAGTGGGGCATCAGAGCGGCCCCGGTGCTGCAATGGTACGGCACGCGTTGGAACTGTAAAATGCGATTAAGTGTGCCTGTGAAGATTGATTACATCAGAGTGACGTCACTTTCAAGGAAATTTGGGGAGGGCCTAATACAGTGAAATTTAGCATCGAGTGGGGCCTAAAAGCTAGAAATTCAATGGATACAAACACATGCTGCTCCCACTGCGATATGCTACCGCTTTAAAAGCATGCTTCTTTTTTTTTTTCCTGAAGCATATAGTGGAAGTTTCTGGACAATCCAGAGTTCTTCAAGGACTCTGGCCAATCTTAAAGCATCGAGAAAGTGCAATGTTTGCAACTCTTTACAGCGCTGTGGAATCTTGAAATGGCGAGAGCACCAGGCTCTTGGAGAGAACGGACACAGTAGACACGGTCGGAACAAACCAAACTAAACGCACATTTATTTAAGGGGCCAGACTGGGCTTAGACATTTTTTGTTTATTTCTTCAGTGATCTTGATTAAACTGCACAGGGTTATGCAGTTTTTTCTGCTAAGTTCAAATATTTAATTAGTTTTCCTGTAACTCACCTTGTTCCTGAGATAACTTAAGCTCACTCTATATTGTTTAAGGCCGCCATAGAAAAAAAGTGCTTAATTAAAAGTGATATTTAGGATATGCCAACATATAAAAATGACTATAGAGTGAAAGTTGTGGTGTACACGTATCCCGAAGGAGTACGGCCACCAGCGTGGGTCCGGTCTTAGCCAGCCGCAGGGCACGCGTTAACCGTCGCCGTGGCAAGAACGCGATACTGCTCAAAGTCGCAACACTTTATTGTGGCAACACCAAACGCAGTACAGCCTGTTGCAAAGGCGCGACGGGAAAGCAAATAGGCTTATCCACGTCACAGGCACAGAAGTACTACACAAGGTGGCACGAGCACGTCTCTGCGGTAAAGGTGATCCACGGAGACACCGGGACCAGGGCCCGGTTTCTCGAGCGAGGGCAAAGGCGCTCGCGTTGGCTTCGGAGGGAGACGGGTCGGCGAAGCTTGGCCAGGCACTAGGGCACCGTACCGCCCTTCGGCCGTGCGTACGCAGTGGGGCAACAAAAGGTGAGCGTTCGCCTCGGGCGCGAGGCGCCGTCAGCGAAGTCCGACGAGCCCTTGAGCGACGGGTGTCGACGGACGGAAAAGATTGCGTGGCTCACCGTCTGCAGTCCCAGAGAGTATCTATCTGCCCGCTCCCGACACAGCGTGCGAAAACCTCTCGGGAGACTCTGCGTGCGGCACTACAATCAAGATCCGCTATTGGGTGAGGGGGGTTAAACGTCACTCCGCTCCCCCAGCGCGGCAGACAGCAAAGGAGGGGAGCAGAAAAGGCGGCAAAGCCCGCACAAAGGCAGCGGGCTAGCCTCAATTCCCACAAAGTATGGAAGAGTGTTTTGTTTTTTAGGCCTTTATTGGTTATTTTACAGCAAAATGAACTATCCATTTTCAAAAGCAGTTGGAATTGTGTTACCATTTGGATTAGTAATTTATTAAAAAAGGCATGGGCTCTGAATTCTGCTCCCATACTTGCATTCTACACACATAGAGGTTTCCACTGCAGAGAGAAATATTGTTGTACCTGCCCTAGCTGTAGAGATATTGAGGCCTCAAAATTGAATAGTCGCAAACTTACTTTTTTGGGAAGATGGAAAAAACTGAAAACACACAGCTTTTTCAAAAAGCAACAATCATAATGCGCATGTTTTGCAATCCTCATAAAGGTGCTCGTAAATTGGTAGTAGAGCTTTAGACACAGGTGC